CCCTGTTTAAACATTTCAATCTCCTTTTCCCAACACCATAAATCAACAAAAGCATCAGTATGCATGAAATCTGTGCTCCGTGGTTGAGGCTGATGCCGGTCCTTCAGCTCGCCGTAGCGGTCGTCCCCCCTGTGTGTGTGTGTGTGTGTGTGTGTGTGTGTGTGTGTGTGTGTGTGTGTTTTCCGGTCTCTCTCTGTGGAATAGTATCTGTGTTCGAGGCCTGTCACTACTCTCCCCGTTACCGTGCAGCTGTAGGTAGAAGTTGTTTGTGCACCGCGCTTGTCTTTGTTCTCTGAGAGTAACGTGTCCGGACTACGCTTTTTTTACTGCCTCTGTTTCCATAGCAACAGACAGCACGACCATTCACCGCTCCTCACGGCGACGGCGAAGACCGAGTGAAGCCGCATTAAACGGGTGCCATAGATCTGGAGCTCGCCTCAGCCAAAAAATCGAATCAGTCGTTCAAGTGTTTTTCGTTTTGTGAGATGTTTAGATCTGACACAAAGTATTTTTATTCCACATTTAGACTTGATTTAAGCTCTACTTTAGACCCGGAATAGTCCTGTTTATATCTGGGTGAATTACTGCACAGTGAAACATCTCAGAAGGTACATGGTGTGAAAAGCTTTGAGAATCACTAGTTTATACTCTACAATATTAAACGCTAAATATTGTATATGAAAATGCTTTATTTATTTTATTTTTATTTTATTTTTTTTTACTTTATTACATTTTAATACAATTACAAGAATGAAAACATAAAAGAAAGAAATAAAACAAAATTATATTCGAAATCTAATATATACAGTTTACAAATAAAGTAGGTGTTAAGGTGGGGGGGGTGGGGGGGAGGGGGAGAGTAAAAAAAAAAAAGAATAATTATTCGGGTTGCGTTTTTTATTGTTTCAGTTCTGCCTTGGTTTGCGGAGTTTCTGTATATGTATGTGAATGTGTATGCAATGCAGGGGTGCATAGGTGCTATGTCGAATGTGGTCAAATGAGTCTATATATTTTACTTAAAAAAAAAAAAAAAAAACAAATATAGGGTTTATATATATACACATGAAAGCACATGAAAATGCTTGTATAATATGTCTATGACTGCATTTACTGCTATTTTGGGACCTTTGTGGTTAGGTCTAAGATGAAAAAGGCTTTATGTAGCACTCATATGCCTCAGATAGTGATTGTATTGTATCTACATGGTTGTAATTTTAAACTATTTTGGTTTATTTTTTTATTTTATTTTCATGCATGTTAGCAATGCTTTACTTATTTTTATTTTTTGTTGGAAACTATGATGAACAAGAGGTGACTGCTGCCTCATGTGAAATGCCTGAAATGAATAAATAAACAAACGAACAAACAAACTATAACACATATTGGTTGGTATTAACACAACTTGCGGTTGCCATGGTCTTGGACATATTTTATTTAACATAGATATAACTTCTCATTCACAAACCTGACCTTAACTGTCTTTCTGTTGGAGGTTGAAATCATTGGCTGTCGGCCCAATCCCAGACCCACCTGAATAATGTTGAAATGTAGAGCCTGCTGGTCGGGGAATTATACAAGTCCTTTCAGGTTAAATACTGTAAATGACACGTTTTAAATGAGCCTTATTCCTGAAAATATTCCTGCTGCGCTTGAGTGGGCTAAAAATGGTGTTTCTTGTTATTGCGTGCTTGACAGTTCAGGTTTTTTCACCTAAAATGCAGACTTTGTGAGAAAGAGAGAGAGAGCTCTGTGTAGGTATAGCGTCCAGTGTTAAAGGAGCTAAGTGCAGTAGCTTCATACTGCTACGCACGATAACGAACTCGAAGCTAACGAGTGTTCGATTTAGAGGTTTTGGTTTGGCAGGACTTTATGAGCTCTGTCTGTCTCAGGTCTCTGCTGAAGTAGCCTGGTCTTACCATGTGTAAACTCTGGTCCATGATCTTTTCCTACATGTACGTCTGGTCTTACCATGTGTAAACTCTGGTCCATGATCATTTCCTACATGTACGTCTGGTCTTACCATGTGTAAACTCTGGTCCATGGTCATCTCCTACATGTACGTCTGGTCTTACCATGTGTAAACTCTGGTCCATGGTCATCTCCTACATGTACGTCTGGTCTTACCATGTGTAAACTCTGGTCCATGATCATATCCTACATGTACGTCTGGTCTTACCATGTGTAAACTCTGGTCCATGATCATCTCCTACATGTACGTCTGGTCTTACCATGTGTAAACTCTGGTCCATGATCATCTCCTACATCATATCCTATAATGTCTGAGCCACTCACTTTGATTTTAAGTGAATTTTTGTGACATATTTCTAAAAATCAAAGTGCACCAAAGGTAAACGGTTAATAATGTCGCTTCTTTCGTTTTTCTAGCATCCACACCTGTGAGTGGACTACTTTTCTGTTCTCTATAGTGTTTTATTTGTGGAAGCGTCTCGGCTTTGAGCGGTGGGCTCACAGGAGTGGGGAGGGGGCAGAGTGTCCTGGGATGACACAGTCAGGACACAGGGGGAGGAGCCTGACTCGTGCTCATGGGGAGGTGCAGCTGACGTGTGATTGGCTGAGGCCTGTCCTGGTTCGCTCCAGTCTCTGCACTGCAGTGGGACTGAACAGGCTGAGTGAGGAGACATGCCCCCGCTGCTCTCACTTCTTTTAAAACACTCATCTTCTTACTTTAAACGTAAGGCAGTCATGAAGTCGGTTTCTTATGTACCTTTTCATCCTCTACCCTTTTTTCTATCATGTGAAAATTGTGCGAAGGCTTCAGATTCACACAGGTTAGAAAGCAAGAACAAAGCCATACAACTGTAACCATGGAAACTGTAAGGCGCCCCAGCTAAAGAAACTATTACTGCTCTCTCAGGCGGGTTTAACATGGCATTATTCATTCCCTTCGTTTTACGGTAGAGGTAAAAGTCTACTGTAGCCACATCTGCCCCCAATGCAGAGACCAGTGGGACCATGGGTTTGGTGCTCCGGGATATTGAGATATTGAACAGTGAGAAAACGTTAAGCATTGAATTCTCTTTGCACATGGTCCTTGTTATCGGCAAACACACAAAATGAAGTACTTTCATTGAGACATCGCCATTGTGTTGAGCATTGGCGTTTAATTACCGGAAAGGATGTGTGAATTCTGGGTGTTTTAAATGAAGCAGAGCATTTTGATTTTGGTAGATTTGAAGTTGGCTGGATGACGTTCCAATGGCTGCGTTGGGATAGTGTGATCGTCTGTGGATTGACTTCAGTTTGCCGTGGCCCGTGACGGAGGCGTGGATCTTAATAATGCTTTAGCAACTGAATTGTGTAGAGTCTGGGCTTTAAAATCGCACCTAAAGAGTGACATAAGTTTCGGTCCTTGCCACGAGCCAAAACATGAATGAATGAATGAATGAATGAATGAATGAATGAATGAATGAATGAATGAAATGTTTTTATTTCGAGTTCAATATACACAACTGAGAGACACATTTATTTTAAATAACCAAGTATCAACTCGAAAAAGGAGTGAGAAGAAGTAAAACTTATATACTCCCACCCCTGTAGGCTATATCTCTTAGTCATCAGTAGAATTTTCTGCTTTTTGCAAATTAGCAAACGTACTTCACCTTAACCTATGCTAGAAGATACAGATAATAATAATGATAATAAAATAAATAATGATACATTTATAATCATTATAACATCGGCTTGATTTAATTAGCTAAGCAGTTTGTCGGTCAAGCCCGGTCAAACGGCATCACCAAATTTTAACGATATATATTGTAACAAAAGATATATCACGGTAAACAATGATATTAAAGCTACTTAAATAGAAATACATAGAAATAAAAAACATATCCACTCGATTACAAAGAAAATACATACTTTTCCCGTTAGCCCATTTCTCCAGTTAGTATTAAAAGATTCATTGATAATAGTAATTATTGGGACTTCTTCTCAAAGCTCTTCCTGATTAATGTTGTAGAAATAATGACAGATATATTTATATACACTTCCTTATGTGCCTTTTACAGCAGAGTATGTTTTCTCCTTCATGTAAAGCACTGTAATTCTCAGTCTTATTGAATGTTTTGAATGTTCTATATGAATTAGTAGAAATAAAATGGAAAGTTGTAACCAGAAAGTGGCCCTATTTTCTGTTGTATGCTCGATTGTGTTCTGAAACCGCTGTGGAGTCCTGTCAGAGCAGTTCTTTGCCACTTTTCAGTCCTGACACTGTCCTTCCCTTCTGTCCACAGGTGTACGTGGAGTTCGACGACCAGGAGTGGGAGAAACGGGAGTGGGTGAAAGTGTACGAGGACTTCCAACTGTTTCTCCTGGAGCACCAGCTGGTCTGGACCAAGAGGAAGGACACCAGGACGGGGCCCGGGGCTGGGGGAACTGCTGGGGGTGTTCTACAGGGGACCAAGGCCAAGCACATCCAGTGGCCTGCGCTGGTAAGAGCTGGTTATTTTGTGATTTAGGGTCTTTAAGATAGAAGGTCACATGGGCTAGTTTTGATATATCTCTCTGTATTTTGCTTAAATTAATGCATGTGGTTTGTCCAGTGTCCAGACATGCTGCAATACCACCCCGGGCCTGTAGGGGTGGACCCGGAAAAAGAATTAGCCAATGCTAACATATAGCATTAGCAGACCTCTGGAAAACGTCTTTACAGGATGGTCCAAAAGTTGTCTCTTGGCCCAAAGCTCTGTTCCACATGTGTGTCAATGCTGAGTGTTCTGGACCAGTCTAGTTTAGTCGCTGTGAGTTTTTTGAAGTCAATCGTTTAAATGAATGGGGCTCGTGCAGCTGACTCATGCGCAGATGTGTTTTTTCACATTTTCCAGCCCCCGCGGCCATTTTGAAACTTCCCACAGAAGTTGTGGCACATTAGTTAGAACGGTGGAGACAGGTGTGAATACGTCCGATAATATTTACAGTCTATGGGTTTGTTCTGACAGAAAATCTTGTAATCTTGTGAATAGATCTGTCCATATTCTGTCTCAGTTTGATTAGAAAACATGTCGTCTTTTGAGTGAGGAACTGGTGAGATATAATTCTCTAATTTGGAGAATTAAGTATCTCAGCTTTAATCACCAAAATCTTGTATTGCGTTTTTTGTAGTTGTCATTGTTGTGTCGTCTGGTTTGTGTTGCTGATGCCTCTTGACTGGGACTTTCTTAAACGAGATCTCTGAATCTGAATGAGGATTGATGGAGTTGTTTGCTCTCAGGAAAGACCAAAACAGACCAAATCAATAAACAATGCCTGAATAGTATCGTCATGGCGATAACAGTGCGATATCCATATTGTTGTGAGTTGTTAATGTGTGTCAATCATGTGTTTCTGGCTCGGTCATTGGTCAGAGAGAAACACGTACAGAGATTGTCTATTGGAAACAAAACAGGAGCTCTGTTTAAAATGATCTTAACGAGGTCTCACTTTGGCAAGACTTTATTTTAGATGAAATAACATTATATATTTATATAAACATTATTAATGTATAGATCTCTTGTTATTCATGCTTTTCCTGAGAGTTGAGATTGCTTTCAGTCATTCAACTTTTGGCACAGCATCAAAGCAGGCTTACATTAGCCCTACATCAGGCTTACATTAGCTCTACATCAGGCTTACATTAGCCCTACATCAGGCTTACATTAGCTCTACATCAGGCTTACATTAGCCCTACATCAGGCTTACATTAGCCCTACATCAGGCTTACATTAGCCCTACATCAGGCTTACATTAGCTCTACATCAGGCTTACATTAGCCCTACATCAGGCTTACATTAGCCCTACATTAGGCTTACATTAGCCCTACATCAGGCTTACATTAGCCCTACATTAGGCTTACATTAGCTCTACATCAGGCTTACATTAGCCCTACATCAGGCTTACATTAGCTCTACATCAGGCTTACATTAGCTCTACATCAGGCTTACATTAGCCCTACATCAGGCTTACATTAGCCCTACATCAGGCTTACATTAGCCCTACATCAGGCTTACATTAGCTCTACATTAGGCTTACATTAGCCCTACATTATCTCTACATTAGCCCTACATCAGGCTTACATTAGCCTTACATTAACCCTACATTAGCCCTACAGTAGCTTTACATTAGCCTTACATTAACCTTACATCAGACTTACATTAGCCCTACATTAGCTCTACATTAACAATACATTAGCCTTATATTAGCTCTACATTAGCCCTACATTAGCACTACATTATCCCTACATTAGCCCTACATTAGCCTTACATTAATCCTACATTAGCCCTACAATAGCCTTACATTAGCCCTACATTATCCCTACAGTAGCCCTACATTAGCCCTACATTAGCCCTACATTAGCCTTACATTAGCCCTACATTAGCCCTACATTAGCCTTACATTAACCCTACATTAGCCCTACATTAGCCCTACATTAGCCCTACATTAGCCTTACATTAACCGTACATTAGCCCTACATTAGCCTTACATTAACCCTACATTAGCCCTACATTAGCCCTACATTAGCCTTACATTAGCCCTACATTAGCCCTACATTAGCCCTACATTAGCCCTACATTAGCCTTACATTAGCCCTACATTAGCCCTACATTAGCCCTACATTAGCCTTACATTAGCCCTACATTAGCCTTACATTAACCCTACATTAGCCCTACATTAGCCCTACATTAGCCTTACATTAGCCCTACATTAGCCCTACATTAGCCCTACATTAGCCTTACATTAGCCCTACATTAGCCCTACATTAGCCTTACATTAGCCCTACATTAGCCCTACATTAGCCTTACATTAGCCCTACATTAGCCCTACATTAACCCTACATTAGCCCTACATTAGCCCTACATTAGCCTTACATTAACCCTACATTAGCCCTACATTAGCCCTACATTAGCCTTACATTAGCCCTACATTAGCCCTACATTAGCCCTACATCAGACCGGCTTCAGACCAACTCGACACAGGCGTAATCCACAGCCTGGTGTTGGTCGTGTTGTCCTGAGTTCTGTCTGGACCAGAGTCTGTTGACCTCATCCGGGCCATGTTCACAGTCCTGTCACTTTTTTTTTACCAACATCCAAAAAACTACTTGTATTATCCCACTTTTGTAAACTGCCTTTCGTTTCGTAGGACAAGGCAGATGGTCGAGTGTTTGCGTCCCGTTTAGTGAAGTGGAGACCTGCCCACAGACACAGAGCAGTCAAAGCTAATCCCTCTTACATAAGTGTGAGGGCTCAGACAGAGAGCGGCGCTGCGCTCAGGGCTCCGTGTCCTGCTGCTGTGCACGTGGGGCGTTGTCAGACTCTTGGCAGCTCGCACAGGGGCCAGTGTGACCCAAATGTTACAGCTACACAGGCTTTAACTGTGAAGATACACTGAGCAACAAACTATACTCAGCACGCCACTGCGACTTCTTAAAGAGCCCATGACCCAGAAACAACTGCTCCGCTCCCAGACCTGAAGCTAAGCCCTAAAAACACCAAAAACACAACATCATTGCATCATTCATGTTCCATTTATTTGAGAAATTTCTTATTGGACACCTGCTGTTACGTGGTGGAAAAGAGGAAGGACCCAAAATAGAATACTGCAAAAACAAAACAGAATGTAAAAACACAGGAGTAAGTAAGTTAGTAAGTTTTTTATTTATACTGTATACCGCCTTTTCACTGCAGATCTGAGTGTCAAAGCGGTTTACAATTGTTAATTTTTGGGCATTTGTCTCTCACTCCACACAGAGATGGGAGGGGCCAGAACAGGAGGCACATGCCAGAACTATTGGACATATTTTTAGTGGTAGGGGAAACCGGAGTACCCGGGGGAAACCTACGCAGACACGGGGAGAACATGCAAACTCCACTCAGAAAGACCCTAGTCCGACCGGGATTCGAACCCGAGGCGAGAGTGCTATCCACTCAGCCACCGTGCCGCCCACGGGAGCTGAGGACAAAGACAAGGACCACGGAACAAACACTTCATGGACTGACGATAAGAGGGACAGAGCTCAGGGCGGAAACAGGAAGTAAAACTCAAAAAGACACCAGAGAACAGACAATTACAAGATAAAAGGTTGTGAGTTCGACCCCACCTCAAGACTTTCTCCATCGACTTCCTCTGTCTGCTGTCGTTGCGTCCTTGGGCAAGACACTTAACCTGTGGGAACAGCAGGTGCCACAGTGGGGCGGCTGCGGCTGTAAAGTGCCAAACTGCCGTTGTGTCCTTAGGCAAGACACTTCACCCCCATTGCCTAGAATAAGTCTGGTGTGTGTGAATGTTTGGTGGTGGTCGGAGGGGTTGATGGCACAGACTGGAGTGAAAGAATAATAATGTGAAGCGTCTTTGAGTGTCCAAAAAAGCGCTGTTTAAAACCGATGCATTATTATTATACATCTGTTTGTCTTTACCTTTATGGACAAATCTATAAAACTACACATAGATGATTTTTTAGCACACCCAGACGTGTTTGAATAAATGCATAAATCAGGGACCACTACTGTACAAAGCAGCTAACACAGCAGACTGTCTACAACACACTAATGCAAGTGAAGTGGAGATTAAACCCGGGAAAAGCTCGAGCAGAGTCACGGGCCTTAATTAAAGAAGGCAGTTTGTTTTCTTCTGCTTTGTTTGTAAAGAATTAAATATTGATTATATAAAATATAAAATGAATATATTGATATATACTGTATGGGGTGACAGTGGTAGAGCATTGGCTTTGGATTCGAGCCCAACATAAGACTTACTTCCCGACTCCCACTGATGTCTGCCGTCGTTGTGTCCCTGGGCAAGACACTTAACCCCACTTTGCCTGAAGCCCCCGCTGAAAGATCAAGGCTCCTGTGGACTCACCACCTGCAGGAGGATCAGTGAGGGGCTGGTGCTCTGTGACTGGGTGTAGCTCTGACTGCCACCCCCCCGACCCAGAAATGGATTAATGGGAAGAAAATGGATGGATATATGCCTAATTTTGGACAGATATTTTCTGATATTTCACTGTTTTCCATTTTTCTCATGTCGCAGCTCTACACGGCAGCTCAGTTTTGCTCTGGATGTGTTTATGTGAATAGAGGAAGACTGTTTTGAAGACGGCAGGTTTTCAGCAGCATTCACAAAAACCCATTAGTCCCCTTTGACTTTCATGTAAACCTGAAGTGCTGCTTGGTCTGGTCCAAACCGGCCTCAGAGCTGTTTCCTAGTACTGGATCTTTACAGCACCTCGGGTTGATGTTTCTGACTAAGACTGGATCATGACTGGTTAGCTTCACTGTAACGTGGACACTGCCGTCTGTGACTAATTGTGAATAGTGTTTGAAAATATGTCACAAGATAAGATTACCATTATATATACCATCAAGACTGTTACTACGGCGACCACTGCTCCTGACGTAAGCGTCAGTGGCATCAGGATGGGTCAAATGCAGAGGATTGTATTACCCTTGTATGGGGATTAATAAAGTGCACCTTTACCTTTATAATATATAAATAAATAAACTTGACATTATATACTATACCCCTTTGACCATATGTTCAACTGTTTACCAGTCGTTTGGGTTAGGGTTAATACATTCCGTCATCCATAATCCTTAACCAACGGTAAAACATGATTTGTAGAGAGAGGCAAGGCAAGATTATTTGTATAGCATAATTCATACACAAGGAAACTCTAAACAGTTCTGAACAAAACAAGACCAAAACTTAACCAGCCATTCCCAAAGAATAACCCCTTAACCCTAACCTTAACCATCTTACTCAGACCACCTTAACCCTAACCTTAACCATCTTACTCAGACCACCTTAACCCTAACCTTAACCATCTTACTCAGACCACCTTAACCCTAACCTTAACCATCTTACTCAGACCACCTTAACCCTAACCTTAACCATCTTACTCAGACCACCTTAACCCTAACCTTAACCATCTTACTCAGACACCTAAAATTTAACCAGTCACCATTTAAGGACTTGTCTAAAACTAATTCGAAAGTAGGATTGTTACTTCCGGTTTCGTCCCGATTCCGTATATGATCTAGTGCCGACCTTCTGTAGAGCCACAGTCTGTAGAGTCACAGTCTGTAGAGCCGCAGTCTGTAGAGCCGCAGTCTGTAGAGCCGCAGTCTGTAGAGCCACAGTCTGTAGAGCCGCAGTCTGTAGAGCCACAGTCTGTAGAGTCACAGTCTGTAGAGCCACAGTCTGTAGAGCCACAGTCTGTAGAGCCGCAGTCTGTAGAGCCACAGTCTGTAGAGCCACAGTCTGTAGAGCCACAGTCTGTAGAGTCACAGTCTGTAGAGCCACAGTCTGTAGAGCCGCAGTCTGTAGAGCCGCAGTCTGTAGAGCCGCAGTCTGTAGAGCCGCAGTCTGTAGAGCCGCAGTCTGTAGAGCCACAGTCTGTAGAGTCACAGTCTGTAGAGCCACAGTCTGTAGAGCCGCAGTCTGTAGAGCCGCAGTCTGTAGAGCCACAGTCTGTAGAGCCGCAGTCTGTAGAGCCGCAGTCTGTAGAGCCACAGTCTGTAGAGCCGCAGTCTGTAGAGCCACAGTCTGTAGAGTCACAGTCTGTAGAGCCACAGTCTGTAGAGCCACAGTCTGTAGAGCCGCAGTCTGTAGAGCCACAGTCTGTAGAGCCACAGTCTGTAGAGCCACAGTCTGTAGAGTCACAGTCTGTAGAGCCGCAGTCTGTAGAGCCGCAGTCTGTAGAGCCGCAGTCTGTAGAGCCGCAGTCTGTAGAGCCGCAGTCTGTAGAGCCGCAGTCTGTAGAGCCACAGTCTGTAGAGCCACAGTCTGTAGAGCCGCAGTCTGTAGAGTCGCAGTCTGTAGAGTCGCAGTCTGTAGAGCCGCAGTCTGTAGAGCCGCAGTCTGTAGAGCCGCAGTCTGTAGAGCCGCAGTCTGTAGAGCCACAGTCTGTAGAGCCACAGTCTGTAGAGCCACAGTCTGTAGAGCCGCAGTCTGTAGAGCCGCAGTCTGTAGAGCCGCAGTCTGTAGAGCCGCAGTCTGTAGAGCCGCAGTCTGTAGAGCCGCAGTCTGTAGAGCCACAGTCTGTAGAGTCACAGTCTGTAGAGCCACAGTCTGTAGAGTCACAGTCTGTAGAGCCGCAGTCTGTAGAGCCGCAGTCTGTAGAGCCGCAGTCTGTAGAGCCGCAGTCTGTAGAGCCGCAGTCTGTAGAGCCGCAGTCTGTAGAGCCGCAGTCTGTAGAGCCGCAGTCTGTAGAGCCGCAGTCTGTAGAGCCACAGTCTGTAGAGCCACAGTCTGTAGAGCCACAGTCTGTAGAGCCACAGTCTGTAGAGCCACAGTCTGTAGAGCCTTACATCTGTGATCCACGGATTACATCAGCTCCAATTCCCTGGAGGAACTCACGGTGCTTCCAGAGTGGCTCCCATCACCTCTTCAGACACAGCCGACAGGAGATTTAGGCTCTAATAACACGCATGTTCTTTCATTCACATGCTAGACGGACTGTGAATATTGAGCCTCAAAATATACCATTCCCTGTATATTGTCGATTATGTGATTATTGGGGCCGGCTTACCTTTACGTGTCCAGTGACTTTGATCCATCTCAGCAGTCGCTCTCAGGATCACAATCATCGTTGTCATGGAGACTTCAGTCCAGTGGTGTCTTGACTGGTCCCAGGAAGGGCCTGTGCGGCTGCAGGTTTTAGTTCCAACCAAGCAGGAGCACCCCAGACTCCACACGTTTCCTCAGATCTCCAGGTCAAGACTGGACTCACTTGAGGAAATGGGTGGAGTCTGTGTGCTCCTGCTTGGTTGGAAGTAAAACCTGCAGCCGCACTGGTCCTTTTAGGGATCGGTTTCATTTCGTGCTAACCCATGGTTTTTCATTGGTCACCTTTTCTTGTTCATCTGCACGTCTGGGGAGGCTGCTCACAGTAGGGGGAGGAAGTATTTACTATTACCCTGTGAGTTCTGTTTGTGTGTTCACGTCCTGGTGATTTGTATGTCTGTCATAAAAATAAAAATAAAGTCATGAAAATTAAAAAATCCATCATTGCCACGGCCATATGACGTCCTAATATGCCAATGAGATTGAGATGGGTATATTTAATTTAATTTGGGCAATCCTTAATATTTCTCTAATTTACAGAAAGCCTCTATCTCTTCTCACAATTTAGTTATAGACTTTTGAAATAAAAATGGCGGGGGAAAAACTGTTGGTACTCAGAGGGTTAATCTTATCTAACTATCCACACTGTGCAGTCCCTTGTTATTATAAAGACCCAATAATTTGTTCGAACACGGCATCGGTTACCTGTAACAATGCTTTTTCTTCTGTCCCTATCAAATAAACATATAATAATAATAATAATAATCAAAACGCAGCTCACTGAATGTGGAGCTGAGGTCAGACGCCCGCCTCGCTGCGTGGACCGGTAAAGGACTGTTCCCGGTGTTGTTGTCATGGTGGTGTTTCAGCCGTAAATCGCTTCTTTACTTTTGCCCTTGTGCGAAAGAGAGATGTGCTTTTCTTCTTTGTTTGCTTTGACAGCGCCGCAGACGTCTTGAATACGACCGTGTCTCCTAGCAACAATGGCCCACTTTGGCAGATGTAGCCCGGCCCACTTTGGCAGATGTAGCCTGGCCCACTTTGGCAGATGTAGCCTGGCTCACTTTGGCAGATGTAGCCTGGCCCACTTTGGCAGATGTAGCCTGGCTCATATTCACTTCATCTGGGCTTGAGTCGTGTCCTGTGCTCCAGCCGTTTGCTCTTTAACTCCACAATGAAAATGTGTCGGACTTTTTCCCAAAAACTCTGGTCATCATTTCATTCTCAGCTTTTCTCCGGTCCGTAAAACCTAATATAATGACAACAGTGATTACTATATGGACGTATTGTTGTGTAAATGAGGTTACAGTGTTTAAGGCAAATGGGAGGATATTTAGAGAATGAAATGGTATGTTTAAAGGAGACATGTTAAACTAAATACGCTTTTGTTTTAGTCTCAACTGATGTATATCTGACTAATTCATGGGTCAGAAAACACCACCTCTGCCCTTTCTCCATACTTACGATCGATAGCAAACGATCTTATAGCCAAACTGGATTAAAGACCCACTTCTTGTTGACATTTATCTCATTTTTCTCAGGTAAGCAAAGATCCCATCCATCTCCACAATGTACAAAAGTAAATACACAAAGTAACCGCAAATACAACAGATTCTGTAAATGAAACCTTAGACACAAAATTCCACGTTTTACCATTTTCTCTGTGATTTCTTTCTCAATTTGACACTATGGAATGTTGTTTTCCTCGCTTCATGGATGGTGATGCTTTCTCAAACGAACCACATAAATAAGGGACAGTAGAATCTTCCCGGCTGATATGAAAAGTATTTGTCCGGCGGTGTAGTTTCTCTTTTGTTTTGTGTTGCTCCTGATAACGCTGCTTCTGTTGTGTCGCTGAATGTACTTGATTTCTGTGTTGGTAAAAGTGGGTCAGGGTTTAGAGACTGATATTACCGTGGCAACCAGCCTTTAGCCTCTTCCCCAACCACTCATCTGTTCAAATGCAAGTCACTTTCAAGCAAATACTATTAACTCATTGACTACCAGCCGTTTTTGATTAATCCACTGATTTTAATGACCCACAGAATATTGTGTGTTGTGACTGTGTAGAATATGAAACCAGATTCTGAAAGACCAGACTGTCTACTTTCATCAGCAACAATAAGTTTGTTTCTAGCTAGTTTTTTTCTCCTGTAATCTCCAGTCAGACAGAGGGAAGGTTGACAGAAATCCCCGGCCTCAGACAAATACGTAGGTTACCTGCGTAGCAAACTATTGATAAATAATGTGAATTTTGTGTTAATTAAGCTTCAAACTTTGCTGAGCATTTAAGGAAGTAAAAATAAAGTTGTGTAAATGGTGAAGTCCTTTGAACTTAAAATGCATCTTTAGTCAGCAGCTTGAACCGCACTCTTGTGGTCCTGGTCTGGTCCTGGTCTGGTCCTGGTCTGGTCCTGGTCTGGGTCTGCTCTCATGGGTCAGAGTGTGTTCTGTTTGTCAGTCTGAGCAGCAGATGGAGCGGGATGGCTGTGATCTATGTGCCACACAGATGTAATATTTAACTGTGCTTGGGCGGCACGGGTGGCTGAGTGGTTAGCAGTTTGGTCGGAGGCTTTGATGGACCAGTGTGTCTCGCTTTCTTCATCACTGTGTGTGAATGGAAAAATATCTGATTTCTGAACATTGTACAGTGCTTTGGGAGAACTTGTCTGTAAAAGGCACTATATAAATAAACATTACTTTCTAAAGTTGATGTTTTTACTTGTTGTTTGAGCACTAAAGCCTAGTTTATACTCGCGGAGCTTACGGAGGTGACGTGACGTCACTTGCACAACGCGTTGGTCACCGCAAGGCCCTTACGTCGCCTGCCGCGCAGCATCGAAATTTTCTAACTACGTAAGGGTCGCCGCAAGGAAGCTCCGCTGTGATTGGTCCGTGTGTGTGTATTGGAAGGAAGCACGGAGCGGCTGCAGCAGGAGCATGGACGAGGCACTATGGAGCAGAGAGCTTTGTGCTTCGAAGGAAAAGCAGTTTGGGCTCAGAGCCTGATATACAGGAGACAGTGGACTATCTAACATATATATAACTTATATCTAACCAGGGACGTGCAGTCAGGGGAGGCAGGGGAGGCAGAGCCTCACCTGCCATTATTGGAAACTAATAATTATTTTAGTTTAAATATATAATTTATATCTACTGTCCTATGCTTTTAATGTATATTCGGCACGGTTCCCATCAGTTTTGATCATTTCTGAAGTCAAAATCGCCGAAATCCCGTTATTCCTATTCAAAGAGACGAGGTGAGGCAGCGCTCCTGCGTGCCTCACCTCAGACCGCTCCCTCACAGTGTGTGTGTGTGTGTCTGAGTGCACTCAGCTCGTGCAGTTGATATATCACCGTTTGTTTCAAATATCCTGCTTTAAAAACATTTTTTAAACTCCTCTTAGTGTTTAGTAGTGTATTGCACGTATGTGTGTACAATTTATACTTAGTTTAAGTCTTTTGATCGTAGATGAACACACAAGGAAAAAGCTTGGCGTGAGGCAGGCGGTATCTGTGCCTCACCGCTAGGGGTGATAGTGAGCATAAAGTTCATACCAGAGTTGCTAACAAACAATCAGCCCAAAATGCTATTTCTTTTGCTGGAAAATGGATGATTTGAATGAAGATTTTTTTTCTCAATTGGACTTTCAAACAAAAAGAATTAATATAGACTGGGAGACCACCACTGGACTTACGAGGTTAGTCCGGCTGCGGGGGAGGAGTTTGTTAATCTGTGTTTTATGTTGAACATTGACAGATACCGGCAAAGTAGTGCTTTTCCGAAAAACACTGATTCAAACACTGCTCAAGAGTTCTGCAACTTGTTTAAATTATTGTTTATGTTCCTCGCGTCTCTCTCTCCTCGCGTCTCCGTCTCTCTGCTCCTCTCTGTCTCTCTCTGCTCCTCTCTGTCTCTCTCTGCTCCTCTCTGTCTCTCTCTGCTCCTCTCTGTCTCTCTCTGCTCCTCTCTCCTCGCGTCTCCGTCTCTCTGCTCCTCTCTGTCTCTCTCTGCTCCTCTCCGTCTCTCTCTGCTCCTCTCTGTCTCTCTCTGCTCCTCTCTCCTCGCGTCTCTCTCTCCTCGCGTCTCCGTCTCTCTCTGCTCCTCTCTGTCTCTCTCTGCTCCTCTCTCCTCGCGTCTCTCTGTCTCTCTCTGCTCCTCTCTCCTCGCGTCTCTCTCTCCTCGCGTCTCCGTCTCTCTCTGCTCCTCGCGTCTCCGTCTCTCTGCTCCTCTCTGTCTCTCTCTGCTCCTCTCTCCTCGCGTCTCTCTCTCCTCGCGTCTCTCGCACCTGCGCTTCTTAAAGATGTTGTTTGATGCGGAGCAGAGTCAGCAGCTAGATTTGTTGTGAGATTATTAAAAGAAGCTGGTTCTCTTATCTTTACAGTATATAAAGTTTGTGGATGTCATTGCATTGGTGATTAAATGCTATTTTATTTGAATAATGATTGTAAATCTGACTTTTAAAGTCAGTGCCTCCCCAATCACAAACCTCACCGCACGTCCCTGTATCTAACATATATATAACTTATATCTAACATATATATAACTTATATCTAACATATATATAACTTATATCTAACATATATATAACTTATATCTAACATATATATAACTTATATCTAACATATATATAACTTATATCTAACATATATATAACTTATATCTAACATATATATAACTTATATCTAACATATATATAACTTATATCTAACATATATATAACTTATATCTAACATATATATAACTTATAAACTGTTCCTGTCTTGTTTGAGTCGTAGCTGCGTTTGTTGCTTTCCTCCTGCACTCGTAAATCGTTCATGTTTGTCTCAGATATTTACCACTATTATTGTTTTGCTGTTTGTGCTGAAAACTATTTAATAATAACTATGTTTTCAACAAGAACTGTGTCTTTATTCACAGCATCACAGTTGAAATGACTTATAAAATAATGAATCCATAAAACTATCACATAAACCTACAGTAGAAACACGTGTAATGAGCTCAAACAGCTTTGTTTGTTATTGTTGTTCTGAAGAGGACAAAGTAGCAGCGTAAATGGGACCGCTCCTGTGTGATCGCCCTCATGTGGTTTGTTGTGGGATTACAACATTCTCCTCAAAACTCCGTAAGGGGAACGCGCCAGTATAACATCAATTGTGCTTACGTAGGTCCACCGCAACCGCTAACGTAAGCCACGCCGCGCAAGTATACACTAGGCTTTAAGGTTGACTGTGCTATATCTGCCCGGTGCAGTGTGTATGTGTGTGTGTGTGTGTGTTTGCGGCCCGGTGCAGTGTGTGTGTGTGTGTGTTTGCGGCCCGGTGCAGTGTGTGTGTGTTTTCTGCCTGGTGCAGTGTGTGTGTGTGTGTGTGTTTGCGGCCCGGTGCAGTGTGTGTGTGTGTGTTTTCTGCCTGGTGCAGTGTGTGTGTGTGTTTGCTGCCCGGTGCAGTGTGTGTGTGTGTTTTCTGCCTGGCGCAGTGTGTGTGTTTGTGGCCCGGTGCAGTGTGTGTGTGTGTGTGTGTGTGTGTGTATGTGTGTGTTTGCGGTGCTCACTGTACTCTGTAAATCTGCCACATTCCGCAGTGACCCGTGTGGTTCAAAGGTCACGGCTCAGGTCTTCACACCGAGGGTTCACTTCGCTCCTACATTCTCTCTGCTCACAACACGGCACTGAACCAGTCTCTGTCGCCGTGACGACCAAACCAGGACAACAAAACCATATCCACTCATGTTTACATTTTTAGATGAACATAAGGTTTTTTAAATGTAGAAAGTTGACTTAATCCTGTATTTTAGTTTTAGCTGTTTTTTTAAACTGTCTGATACTGTGTTTTGGGTTTTCCCCCTGCCATATGTTATTTTATTATTATTTTAAAGGTGATCTACTCCTTTGAAATAATAAGACCAGACTAGACTTCGACACACGGCTTTGCAATGAAACTCTTCAAATCTACTTCAAGCTTGGAACTGAAATCTACCTCTTTGGGGAAAAAAATTGGGGTTAAAGAAAACGTAATAACACACTATTTGTGTTTTTAGTGAATCTTAGAAAATCCAAAAATAAAAAATTACATTGATTTCTTAAAGGAGTGAATGTTGAAGGGTTAAACTACTTGTGCTGTTTGCTCCTCATTCCTTCTTTTCTCTAAATAATAATAATTTCCTCTCTGTGGGACAAATTAGGAATTTCTTAATCTTAATCTTAAAATGATAGTCTGGACTTTGTCAGAAAACAGAGAGGGCCTGGTTAGTTCTGTGATGGGAGACCTCTGGGAACACCAGGTACCACAGTGGGGCGGCTGTGTCCTTGGGCAAGACACTTCCCCCACATTAGAATGATTCTGGTGTGTGTGTGAGTGGTTGGTGGTGGTGGGAGGGGCCAATGGCACAGACTGGTTGCTTCTCCTCGCTACTGTCAGTGTGCCCCAGGGCAGCTGTGGCTTCAGTAGCAGTTTATCACCACCGTGTTTGGCGTGAAAGGATAATGATCTGAAGTGTCTTTGAGTGTCCAGAAAAGCACTGTATAAAATCAATCCATTTTTATCTGAAATGCACGGAGGATTTTGGTTCATATTATGTGTTTGTGCTCAATATAATCTTTAAGAAGATATTTCTATTAGGATTTGTCTTTGGTGATTTCAGATTATGATTGCATTTGTCATTTCATATATTGTCATTTCTCATTTGTATCTACTGGTGAAGAAACAACGTATTATAATATATTACACTTGAAAGGAAATGTCTAATTGTTTTCTCTTCTCATGCTCTCACTAAAAGCTGTTTTTCAGAACGACTGATGCAGCTCATGCCTCTGTTCTTGAGACGCCTTTGTTCTGACATTTTCCAATCTCAGTCGACTCCAGGGAATAACCACTGTTTAAATCTGTTCTGTGACGGATCACGTGTGGACCACGGACAGTAAACATGTTATTGATCCGTCATGGGAGACGTGGCGTCATCGATGAAAAAGATTAAAGTCCTGAGCTGTAGTGGAGCAGTTTCCATTTGTCTGAGACTTGTTCTAGCACTTTCATATTTGATTACACAAACTCTTACCTTTACTTTCTCATTACAGAAAGTTTGTTTTCATAAAAGTGTTGTATACTGCAGACTTTGTTGTCTTAAGTGTTTATACGTATCAGTATTGTAGTTTTTCACTGATGGTGATAATCTTTTCTCTCGCTGGACTCAGGCTGAGCTCATTCATTCTCCTGAGCTGAGACCGAACCCAGAGCAGCCGGCCCTAAGCCATTTCCTGAGTCGAATGTGTGTAGTGAGTGTTGTGTACCTGAGATAGTGCTCAGTCTTGTTGTGTTCCTTTAAAAGTCTTGTGCAGCGCTCCGTGTGGAGAGAGCGTGCGAGCTTGCGTCAGCCTCACTCCCTCCTTCTCCTGCCCTTCCCCCTCCCCTGCTCCTCGAGCCTCAGCAGCAGTTAAAATGTCGGCAGTGGAATAGTGTCGTGCTCGGGCCGTCTGTCCTCTCCCCTCCGATAGGCCGAGCCCAAGTGGATTTGTGGAGCTGTGCCTTGCCGTGCCAGGCCATCCAGACTGAGGTAATGGAGGGGGTTGTGCGGCAGCGCGGGGCCGTAGCCATTAGCTCGGACTCGGGCGGATTCTGCAGTAATGATGTGTGTTTCAAGCTGAAACATGAGAGGAGTTGGCAGGAGAGGTTGGGTGCACTTGTGTTGTCTGGATTTGGTTAACTGTGCCGGGCTTTTTGGGATGAGGGATATTTAACACGGCGGTTGGTTTGGCGCATAAAGGGTGCGACATATGGGCAGAACATACTCCCACACTGACAGCCTGGGCTCATGTGTGACATCATCTCATTCTCCACACACTGACGAGACTTTACAAAGTCTTCATGTGGTTATGTCTTCTTTAGACTGTTTTTGGATTCCTCCTCTGTCTCTAGAAACTACAACAAGTTTCAATATGAATCCGAGCGGAGCAAGAATCAGTTTCTATCATGAGAGAAGCATCTGTTTGGATCTGGGACTATTTCTGTGCGATGCAGCTTGGTTGAAAAGATTTTGATTCAATGCAGTGATTCTTTCATTTAACAAAACTATAGGATGTCAAGGAGATAAAACTAATAGAAAATAACCAAAATAACCGTTGTAGTTGTATTGTAAATCCATTATGTAAGCAGATGAGATGATTTATTTGGTGCAAACGTTGAGTAAATGGGTGTTTACTACAGTTGCTAGTGGTGAGTATTTTTAACCGAACCCCACGCCCTCCTTCTCTGTCTGGAGTTCCACTGATTGACATTTTAAATATAGTTTTGGGCACAGCGTGTTTTGAGAATACGAGTGTCCATTGTTGCTGAACTTCAGGTTAGTTTACTGTTTATTCCGATGACAATTATCTGATCATACACTTACAATACACAATACAATACAATTTATTCTTGTATAGCCCTAGGTCACAACAGAAGTCATCTCAGAGGACTTAACAAAACCATTGAAATCACCAACACAGGTCAGAGAATCAACAGTTAAAACACATGAAGAATATAAAGCACACACAGAAGAAAATGTCCATACATGTTGTAGAATGCTAAAATGTCCTGATCATCACCAATCCTTTCTGTTGGACACTAACTGTCCAACAAGACCCTCCTGCATCCACAAGGAACAACTCTTAAAAAACCCAGTGGGAAAAAGTGAGAAACCTTGGGGAGAACTAGGGAAACCCACAGGGAGGGAGACCCATTTGAGAAAGGGATCCGCTCCTCCGGACTTGGAGACTCTAAAGGATAATTATGAGTTTATAAATGCATTATTCTGCTTGATTCTCAGCGTTTTCTCGGATCAACAGCTGCCGAAAGATGCACCAGATTAACACATTTTAACAGGGATTAAAATACAAATATCTGGAAAGTAGTGGCTTCTGCTGTAACTAATTGGAATACATGTTGCAAAACAGATCTGTCACTCAGTCCAACGACGGTTTGCAAAGCGTCTGAAAAGAGGAACTGATGAAATGTGTGGTTTCATTGGTGGAAAATGTACAGAAGCCGAGAAATGATTCGAAGTTATTATTGCACAGTGCTGTTGGGACCTGTGCTGCTTTTGGTCATGATCAGACCCTCCTCAGACCAGACGCAGACCCTCCTCAGACCAGACGCGGACCCTCCTCAGACCAGCCCTCCTCAGACCAGACGCGGACCCTCCTCAGACCAGACGCAGACCCTCCTCAGACCAGCCCTCCTCAGACCAGACGCGGACCCTCCTCAGACCAGACGCAGACCCTCCTCAGAACAGACGCAGACCCTCCTCAGACCAGACGCAGACCCTCCTCAGACCAGCCCTCCTCAGACCAGACGCAGACCCTCCTCAGACCAGACGCAGACCCTCCTCAGACCAGATGCAGACCCTCCTCAGACCAGCCCTCCTCAGACCAGACGCAGACCCTCCTCAGACCAGACGCGGACCCTCCTCAGACCAGCCCTCCTCAGACCAGACGCGGACCCTCCTCAGACCAGACGCAGACCCTCCTCAGACCAGACGCAGACCCTCCTCAGAACAGACGTAGACCCTCCTCAGATTAGACGCAGACCCTGCTCAGACCAGACGCAGACCCTCCTCAGACCAGACGCAGACCCTCCTCAGACCAGACGCGGACCCTCCTCAGACCAGACGCAGACCCTCCTCAGAACAGACGCAGACCCTCCTCAGACCAGACGCGGACCCTCCTCAGACCAGACGCAGACCCTCCTCAGAACAGACGCAGACCCTCCTCAGACCAGCCCTCCTCAGACCAGACGCAGACCCTCCTCAGACCAGACGCGGACCCTCCTCAGACCAGACGCGGACCCTCCTCAGACCAGACGCAGACCCTCCTCAGACCAGACGCGGACCCTCCTCAGACCAGACGCGGACCCTCCTCAGACCAGACGCAGACCCTCCTCAGACCAGCCCTTCTCAGACCAGACGCAGACCCTCCTCAGATTAGACGCAGACCCTGCTCAGACCAGCCCTCCTCAGACCAGCCCTCCTCAGAACAGACGTAGACCCTCCTCAGATTAGACGCAGACCCTGCTCAGACCAGACGCAGACCCTGCTCAGACCAGACGCAGACCCTCCTCAGACCAGACGCGGACCCTCCTCAGACCAGACGCAGACCCTCCTCAGAACAGACGTAGACCCTCCTCAGAACAGACGTAGACCCTCCTCAGATTAGACGTAGACCCTCCTCAGATTAGACGCAGACCCTGCTCAGACCAGACGCAGACCCTGCTCAGACCAGACGCAGACCCTCCTCAGACCAGACGCAGACCCTCCTCAGACCAGACGCAGACCCTCCTCAGACCAGACGCAGACCCTCCTCAGACCAGACGCAGACCCTGCTCAGACCGACCGAAGCGGGAAAGCAGAGACACCTGTTGTGTTGTTGTAGAGCTTGGGTCCAATGGGTGAGGGGTGAATGAGTGAGTGTGAGTGTGGGACTACAGATGGACATTAGCTACAGCTCCTGTTGTTCATTCATACACTCTGTCCCACACAAACTAATACAAATACAAAGTTTGGACTGTTTAACTTTCTGCTCTTTCCTTTACAAAGTTGTTTTAGTAAAGCTTATGTTGTAAATTGTCTCGCTTGCTCCACTGTAGGAGTCTATTCTAATGCCTGAGACCCAGAGTGCTCGTGCCGTTACTTTAGAAGACCTATTTTAAAATGAGTTTTGAGTCATTGGGTCTGTCTGGTGTGTCATTAATAATAATAATAATACATTTTATTTTAAAGCGCCTTTCGAAACAGCCAAGGACACTGTACAGGACATAATAAAAACATTAAAAACAGGAGCAACAGAATACAACAGAAGTGCATTATGGGATGGTGGGTGTGCGTGTGTGTTAGGTGGGGTAGGACCATGGATCTATTGGAAGGACAGAGTCTGAACAGATGGGTTTTGGGTCTGGATTTGAAGAGTGGAAGAGAGTCAATGGTTCGGAGCTTCTGTCAGTGTGCCCCAGGGCAGCTGTGGCTACTGTAGTTGTTTAGCACCACTGTGTCCAAAACTACCGCTACATGAAACACATGTATAATTCTTATCTTAACTACCCCGTGGGTGAAAAGAGAGGTCCCAGATGGTCCCAGATGGTCCCAGGCTTAAATTCCTGGTCTTCAGTAACAAAAATCGTTTTGTAAAAATTGTAGATAAGGTTGTATAATTAACACATTCTCATTAATCTGCCGTTGTCTATTTGTAAGTGAGAGGTCCCTGGCCAATCGTCTGTATGTGACTATTGTGTTTAAATGGAAAAAACATTCAAATATGTAAAAGTCTGTGTTGATGTGTTGATCCATATCGATGGCAGTTGTTTTAATGGACCAAAATAAAATCTCACTTGACAAATATCTGAGAAAATGATGATAAAAAAGGCTCTGTGTGATATTTACAGAATATGATCCAGTCCCAAAACATGAGCAGAGCTTGTTGTTGATGCATTGTGATTAGCCTGGAGTGGATTTGGGTGTGTGTTGTTGTGGCGGTGTTAGCGTAGCGGTGTCAGAGCAGATGTCTCCCTTGGGAAACTGCTAAGTGCACATAAAGTCAGGCTTGAGTGGAGTGCTCCCCGACAGCAGCAGGAAGTGAGCGTACTTCCTGTTTAAGTGCACTTCCTCTTTGTGTGTCAGTTTGACTCGTGCACAGACTGGATCATGAATGACTCCAAGTGATTTCAGCTCGATTCTTTTGATACGAAAATGAAAACCGCAGCGTATTCATAACAACGACGCTGTGAGTGTCTTGTCTCACAGCTGGCAGCCTGTTTACACCACGTTTTATTATCGCCGCGGCTTAATCTTAATCAGAGCGAGGCAGGTACTAAAATGTGTTATTAGCACCCAGTGGACAAGTGTGAAGGCCGCACTGAGACACGCCAGACACAGCAAATGTACATGCCAGGGCTTAAAGGAGCAGTATGTAAGATTTTCATGTTAAGTCATCATTAAAGGGCCCTAATCTGTCATTGTTAAAGGGCCCTAATCTGTCATTGTTAAAGGGCCCTAATCTGTCATCATTAAAGGGCCCTAATCTGTCATCGTTAAAGGGCCCTAATCTGTCATACTTAAAGGGCCCTAATCTGTCATCATTAAAGGGCCCTAATCTGTCATCGTTAAAGGGCCCTAATCTGTCATCATTAAAGGGCCCTAATATGGGCCCTAATCTGTCATCATTAAAGGGCCCTAATCTGTCCTCATTAAAGGGCCCTAATCTGTCATCATTAAAGGGCCCTAATCTTTCATCATTAAAGGGCCCTAATCTGTCATCATTAAAGGGCCCTAATCTTTCATCATTAAAGGGCCCTAATCTGTCATCATTAAAGGGCCCTAATCTGTCATCATTAAAGGGCCCTAATCTGTCATCATTAAAGGGCCCTAATCTGTCATCATTAAAGGGCCCTAATCTGTCATCATTAAAGGGCCCTAATCTGTCCTCATTAAAGGGCCCTAATCTGTCATCATTAAAGGGCCCTAATCTGTCATCATTAAAGGGCCCTAATCTGTCATCATTAAAGGGCCCTAATCTGTCATCATTAAAGGGCCCTAATCTGTCATCATTAAATGGCCCTAATCTGTCATCATTAAAGGGTCCTAATCTGTCATCATTAAAGGGCCCTAATCTGTCATCATTAAAGGGCCCTAATCTGGCATCATTAAAGGGCCCTAATCTGTCATAATAATAAACTGCTCTTTTCCAATACTTCTTTAACTGATAACAGTAGTTCAGAGATATTTGAATTTCTAAATTACTTTTCCAGCCTCTAAATCTTGTTATTGTTTTCATTTTGATGTCCCGCCCTCCACCGTTTCACCAATCAGAAAGTCCGTGATCCGGGCGCCAGAACTCACCGCGTGGAGCTAATCTCACTGGTAAAGTACCATGTGGCGCAGAACTAAAAAGGTCTCGTTATGATTCTCAAATCATTAACGACAAAACAAGGAATAAAAGCAGGATTTCTATCTTTGTGAAAAAGGTGTTGGTTATAGATTTGTTGTTGACAAAACTCTTGTCTATTCAGCTGTTATGGTCCCAGCTGGATTCGTCTGCATATCTGGCAACCTGAGTCAGGGAGAGTGGGAGAGGCTGCAGTACCACTTTTGGCCACATGTTTACACACTGCTCCTTTAATTTATTTGACTTTTTCTTATAATGATTATGAAGAGCAGAAATGAGACCAGAAATGAAGTGAGTTGGCTGGATGTGTTTTATATTATTTACCTTTGAATGAGTTCATTTTAATGGATTATTTCCAGAAGAGAAAGGACTGAACCTGTCATTTTACATAAACACACATAATTTCCTCGTACAGTACTTTGTTTTTCTACATAAACAACAATAGTCTTCATTCACAATCGCTGTGTTTAATAAAAATACAAAGAGATTTTCAGAGCTTTTGCCTCGCTCCCTGTTAGTGAACTAAGACCTGCAGCTCACGGACAGAACAAGACGATATTCCTCTTCAAACCGACCATTATTCACATCTGTGCGTGACCAAAGCACATTTGCATCATGGGTCAGAATGTTACAGAGACTTGTGGTCATTTGTTTTCCTGGATTCTGAACCAAAGAGTTCAGACTCAAACTGTACGGACTTTAAATGGGTTTAGGATAACGGTATAAATTGTCACATTTGTTTTACATGTATTGTTTTTGAAGCTTCCTTGGAGTTCCCTTTTGCAAAAACACCAACCAATCTGTACAAATACAATGCGTATAACTTGTTTTGTGAATGAAGAATTGAAAGTTGTGCACGTCACGCCGTCTCACCACAAGCACGTTTTCAGTTTCCGCATGAACACGACGGCAGAATGGATTCGGACCCAAACACTAAAGTATTAAAAGAGATGAAGGTAGTGTCTAGTTTCTCATGTGGGCTCTGACCAACACACTCCTCAATTATCCAGCTCTGACAAGCTCCAACTAATTCAGATTCATTTATTTGCCATTTGCAGTAAAACCACATTGGAATACATTTGCAAAAGTCCCCAGTGTGCACCAGACAAGAACAGACATAAAACAACATTAAAAATACAGAAATAAAACAAACAAAACAGTAAATAATCAACACTGTGAGATCGATCGACTAAAACAGTTTCAGTACAAAGGCAACATCATGAAAGGGCTCTGTTTAAACTGATAACAGCTGAAAGAAGCTATTAGCAGGTTAGCATGTCCTGCACCTCAGTGAACCATATCTTCTGCCAGAGGGAAGAAGCTGGAACAAGGCTTTTCCACACTGTAAAGAATTCCCTTGTAGAAAAACGGTAAAAAGCTGGCAAATATGGTTCCAGGGATTTCACGCTTTCTCAACATGGCATTACCGTTGCTAATTTTAACGGTTTAAGACTGTTTTACTGAATCACATTTTGCCTTTGTGATTAATTAATTTTGTTATCTAGAAAGTGCAATGTTCTAAAGAGATGATGATTCTGATTTTATTCATTCAATCAAGAATGTGTCTCTTTAGTCTTTTTCAAAACAATAAATGACCCTGAATCTTGTTTTTCTGTTGCAGTCGTTCAAACCGGTGGTGGGGAAGAGCCTCCTGTCGTCCGTCACGGCGGTGGAGTTCCTCTTGGACCGACAGTTGGACTTCCTGCCTGAACACACCGCCCTGCAGCCGTACCAGGTAGGACCCAGGACCCAACCGAGGCCCCGTCTGAATGTCTGCTCCAGAAGTCCAGTGCAGTCATCATTAAAGGGCCCTAATCTGTCATCATTAAAGGGCCCTAATATGTCATCATTAAAGGGCCCTAATATGTCATCATTAAAGGGCCCTAATGTGTCATCATTAAAGGGCCCTAATATGTCATCATTAAAGGGCCCTAATGTGTCATCATTAAAGGGCCCTAATATGTCATCATTAAAGGGCCCTAATGTGTCATCATTAAAGGGCCCTAATATGTCATCATTAAAGGGCCCTAATGTGTCATCATTAAAGGGCCCTAATCTGTCATCATTAAAGGGCCCTAATATGTCATCATTAAAGGGCCCTAATCTGTCATCATTAAAGGGCCCTAATCTGTCATCATTAAAGGGCCCTAATCTGTCATCTTTAAAGGGCCCTAATATGTCATCATTAAAGGGCCCTAATATGTCATCATTAAAGGGCCCTAATCTGTCATCATTAAAGGGCCCTAATCTGTCATCATTAAAGGGCCCTAATCTGTCATCATTAAAGGGCCCTAATCTGTCATCTTTAAAGGGCCCTAATATGTCATCATTAAAGGGCCCTAATATGTCATCATTAAAGGGCCCTAATCTGTCATCATTAAAGGGCCCTAATATGTCATCATTAAAGGGCCCTAATCTGTCATCATTAAAGGGCTCTAATCTGGCATCATTAAAGGGCCCTAATCTGGCATCATTAAAGGGCCCTAATCTGTCATAATAATAAACTGCTCTTTTCCAATACTTCTTTAACTGATAACAGTAGTTCAGAGATATTTGGATTTCTAAATTACTTTTCCAACCTCTAAATCTTGTTATTGTTTTCATTTTGATGTCCCGCCCTCCACCGTTTCACCAATCAGAAAGTCTGTGATCCGGGCGCCAGAACTCACTGCATCCTTTACCTCCTTCTCCTCCTTCCTCTCCTTTACCTCCTTCTCCTTCCTCTCCTCCCCCTCCTTCTTCTTCTTCTCCTTCTCCTTTTTCCTTCTCCTCCTTTGCCTCCATCTCCTTCCTCTCCCCCTTCTCCTTCTCCTCCTTCCCCTCCTTCCTCTCCTTCCCTCCTTCTCCTTCTTTCCCCCCTTCTCCTCCTTCCTCTCCTTCCCCTCCTTCTCCTCCTTCTCCTCCTTTGCCTCCTTCCTCTCCTTTCCCCCCTTCCCCTCCTTCTCCTTCTTTCCCCCCTTCTCCTCCTTCCCCTCCTTCTCCTCCTTCTCCTCCTTCCCCTCCTTCCTCTCCTTCGCCTCCTTCCTCTCCTTTCCCCCCTTCTCCTCCTTCCCCTCCTTCCTCTCCTTCTCCCCCTTCTCCTCCTTCTCCCCCTTCTCCTCCTTTCCCCCCTTCTCCTCCTTCCCCTCCTTCTCCTCCTTCCCCTCCTTCTCCTCCTTTCCCCCCCTTCTCCTCCTTGCTCACTCAGTCAGAGCAGGGAGGTGGAGTCTGGCTTTATTTTGCCAAAAGAAAATCTTGAGCTAAAATAGTCCACCATTGTGTTTGTCCTTTCACCTGTTTCTTTGAGGCTAGAGTTTTATTTTCATTACTTTAGAGTTATTATTAATTTATCTTGTGCCGTGTGCTCCTCATTCCTACTGCTCTGTAGCTTGTGATGCAACACTGAAATTTCCCCGCTGTGGGACGAGTAAAAGATCTTAACGTAGCTTCATTTAGCTTAATTTAGCTTAATTTAGCTTCTTTTAGCTTCATTTAGCTTCATTTAGCTTCATTTAGCGGTTTGCTAACGACTGGGAGTAATGTCCTTTAGAGAGAAATACTGCCCAGAGAAAAATGACAATGTTCACAGTAAAATGTGTTGTGTCTGTGGATGGTTTCCCAGAATGCTTTGCTGTCACTGGTGTCTTCTATTCTTGGTGCAGCGTGTCCCTGAGCAGGAGCACCGCTTTCCCTTATGACCCAGTTAGATCTGTGGAGCCTGTGTTGCTTTAGGGCAAAATACTTAAAAATAAAGAAGTATTTGTAATTATTTGTTATTGGTTGACGTGTTTTGACAGGAGAAGTTACTTACATGTGTGGCTATTTTCAGTTTGTCCCAAAGGAGACCAAGCCATTGACAATTATAGTATATTTGTATTTATAAATGCTTGTATATGTTTTTTTTATTTTTGCTGCTACTGCACACCTGCATTTCTCATACGGGACTTAACTCAGATTTTATTGATCCACAGGGAGATTGCGTTTTCACAGTAGCTCGCATTGTATTCCTCAATAAAAAGAACATTAAAGTAACAATTTAAAGATAAGAATAAGAATGATATTTGTGAGAAAAGAAGAATCTGGATATAGGTGCTCAGGAATATACATATCTGTGAATATGAGCACATTACTAATTATTTATGACACTCCATTGATCTGAATGTCATTTCAAAACGTTCTACCGCTCATAATTTCTTGATAACGGACCTCTCAAAACATTATGACGCAACCTGTGCTTGTAATTCGGGCGTTCTGCTCTCCCAAAATTCCATCCGATGGGCGGGGGAGCGACTGAATTTTGCGTTGCATTATGGGTAACACTTGCCTTCGCAACTTCCGGTTCTCTCTGCCCGGCGCATTTTCTCTAAATGGTTGAGTGTTTTCGTCATTTTCTGTATGCAAATACATTCCCGTCTCTAACTAGTGGCATATCGCGCAAATCATCCGTCCAATTCACATTCTTCCCTCTTAGCTGAACTTCATTCTCATTGTTACATCTGTCACTCGCACACACAGCCGTTTTCGTTCACTCTGGTCACTGTCATCTTCTTCTAAATCTTCATAAACACCATCCGCTCGTTGAACTAGCAACAACAATTCCTCCTTTCGTTTTCCCACACTGCAAATACCCTTTCGCTTCAACCTTTCACACAATTCAGGCACTGTCAATCGTTTGTTGTTTTCGTGAGCCATATTCGCCATTGTATGAAATCAACCGGAAGTGAACTGGGCAACAAACGGTGTCATTTTTTGATCACAGCGCCGCTCAGTGGATGGAATTTTGGGAGAGCAGAACGCCCGAATTCAGGTGTGTAGATTATTCCGCAAGTAGTTCCGGCCACTCCGGAGCTAGCCACGCTCAATAAACGCTAATACCAATTAATCAACACACTTAAATGTTAATCGGAGAATACATTAAACAGTACATTCTTACACAGAGGTTTTCAGAATTATCTGTTAATGTTTTCATGACAAAAATAATCCAATTATTTATTTAGGTTAAGTTTATATTTGGGTCACTCGCCGCTGATGTTCAGAATTCTTTGTTCAGTTTTCATGGAGTTCCAGTGAGTTCTAGTTTGGAAGTTGCTAGCCTAACTGGTTTGGTGAAGAGGGAGGGGAGGGGGGGAGTGGTTTGGTGAAGAGGGAGGGGAGGGGGGAGTGGTTTGGAGAAGAGGGAGGGGAGGGGGGAGTGGTTTGGTGAAGAGGGAGGGGAGGGGGGAGTGGTTTGGTGAAGAGGGAGGGGAGGGGGGAGTGGTTTGGTGAAGAGGGAGGGGAGGGGGGAGTGGTTTGGTGGAGAGGGAGGGGAGGGGGGAGTGGTTTGGTGCAGAGGGAGGGGAGGGGGGAGTGGTTTGGAGAAGAGGGAGGGGAGGGGGGAGTGGTTTGGTGGAGAGGGAGGGGAGGGGGGAGTGGTTTGGTGAAGAGGGAGGGGAGGGGGGAGTGGTTTGGTGAAGAGGGAGGGGAGGGGGGGAGTGGTTTGGTGGAGAGGGAGGGGAGGGGGGAGTGGTTTGGTGCAGAGGGAGGGGAGGGGGGAGTGGTTTGGAGAAGAGGGAGGGGAGGGGGGAGTGGTTTGGTGGAGAGGGAGGGGAGGGGGGAGTGGTTTGGTGCAGAGGGAGGGGAGGGGGGAGTGGTTTGGAGAAGAGGGAGGGGAGGGGGGAGTGGTTTGGAGAAGAGGGAGGGGAGGGGGGAGTGGTTTGGTGCAGAGGGAGGGGAGGGGGGAGTGGTTTGGAGAAGAGGGAGGGGAGGGGGGAGTGGTTTGGTGCAGAGGGAGGGGAGGGGGGAGTGGTTTGGAGAAGAGGGAGGGGAGGGGGGAGTGGTTTGGTGCAGAGGGAGGGGAGGGGGAGTGGTTTGGTGAAGAGGGAGGAGAGGGGGGAGTGGTTTGGTGGAGAGGGGAGGGGAGGGGGGAGGGGTTTGGTGAAGAGGGAGGAGAGGGGGGAGTGGTTTGGTGGAGAGGGGAGGGGAGGGGGGAGTGGTTTGGAGAAGAGGGAGGGGAGGGGGGAGGGGTTTGGTGCAGAGGGAGGGGAGGGGGGAGTGGTTTGGTGCAGAGGGAGGGGAGGGGGGAGTGGTTTGGAGAAGAGGGAGGGGAGGGGGGAGGGGTTTGGTGCAGAGGGAGGGGGAGGGGGGAGTGGTTTGGTGCAGAGGGAGGGGAGGGGGGAGTGGTTTGGTGGAGAGGGGAGGGGAGGGGGGAGTGGTTTGGAGAAGAGGGAGGGGAGGGGGGAGGGGTTTTGGTGCAGAGGGAGGGGAGGGGGGAGTGGTTTGGTGCAGAGGGAGGAGAGGGGGGAGTGGTTTGGTGGAGAGGGGAGGGGAGGGGGGAGTGGTTTGGAGAAGAGGGAGGGGAGGGGGGGAGGGGTTTGGTGCAGAGGGAGGGGAGGGGGGAGTGGTTTGGTGCAGAGGGGAGGGGAGGGGAGGGGGGAGTGGTTTGGTGGAGAGGGGAGGGGAGGGGGGAGGGGTTTGGTGAAGAGGGAGGGGAGGGGGGAGTGGCTTGAGTTGGTGCTACGGCTAAGCTAACAAAATCGCTTACTGCACCTTTAAGTTAAAAACGTTAAAATACATATCTAAATACAGAATCAGATGATGGCTCCAAGATGTGGAATATGTTTAAAATAAAAGTGTGATGTTGCTCAAAATCTGTATAATTTTGCGAGTTTAAATGCTATTATTTTAAAACCCTTTTCCGCCTACATTCAGTCTGCGTTCTCTAGTGACTTATTAACAATTATTTTAGTTAATATGTAATGGACAACTTGCCACAATCGTTCCACTTCCCCCCCTCAGCCCTAAAACAAACAGTACAAGTGTGTGGACGTCTGCGGCTGTTGTCTATTGTGGTGCTGAGTGGATTGTTGTGAGATTTAAGGCGGAAACTCAGTGATAAAGCAGTTTTCTGTGACTTTGCTCCCAGACTGGATACTTCGCACTGTTTTGTATCATTCAGTGCGAGAATATATACATTTATCAACTCTGGACTGTGTTGAAATATGGAACAAATTGGCCACAAAAGTCTACAAAGAAGGCATTCATTCTGTTTTGTTTTCTGCTGGGCGGCACGGTTCTCAGCAAGGTTCAAATCCTGGTTGGAACAGGGCTTTTCTGAGTGGAGTTTGCATGTTCTCTACGTGTCGGCGTAGGTTTCCTCTGGGTACTCCGGTTTCCCCTACCGCTAAAAACATGTACAATAGGTCTGTGCCTCCTGGACTGGCCCCGCTCCCATCTCTGTGTGGACTGAGAGACAAAGGCCCACATTTGTAAACAGCTCTGGTCTGTGAAAGGCGCTATATACACATAAATATGACTTACTTTCTTACTTATACAAAGTTGTGTTGGTTCAGGATCTTGTCGTTGCCACCTTGAGGCAGACACTCTCCGCTCACCGTCCTCGCCGCTGTAAGAATAGACGTCTAATATTAGCAAGTGAAAGTGTATGTGAATCAGAACAGCTGGTGTGGTCGCTGTGGGTTTAGCTTGTTATCGTCCTGCTCTGTTTTTAGTTAAAAGTCCTTTGTCAGTAGATCCTTCCCATGTGTATGTTGTGTGATTTCTAAATGTTTTTTTTGTCACAGCATGTGTATTGTTTGATGTAATCCCAAAACAATAGCACCGCAGGAGCTCTTTGAAATGTATTCTTGCAGCTCTGTGTGTTTAATGTGAATTTAATCTCTAACCTTTTCAAACTAAGGCTGGGTCAGATGGAGATGGCCCCACGTGGTCTTTTGGTCTTTCATTTTACTATTATAACATTCTATTGGCGTTAGAGACATTTCTAAAATTCTTTATTGTTATGTACTTTCTTTGATAACTATTCAGTTCAATGTATTCTTGTATCGTCCTAAATCACAACAGTTGTTTTTCTCAAACCGTTGAAATGGTCAACACAGATCAGAGAATACACAAAGACTATTGGTCCATAGGGAGTTTGACCAATGTTCATGAATGTTGTAGAATGTGGAGTGTCCTGGATCATCATCACAGACTCCTGCATCAGAGGAAAAACTCTAAAACCAGTGGGAGAAAAGTGAGAAACCTCGAGAGATTCACATTGAGAGAGAGATCCACACGGAATAAGGCCTCGTTTATACGGAGACAATGCCGCAGTAAAACGCTATAGTTGGATGTCGGTTGCTACCCCCCGTTGATACGGAGACTGTGTTCCAGGGGAAAACGTAAGAGTTAAGATCCAGCCTCAGAGTGGGACAGTTCAGATATGCTGCTCAGCAGGGGGCGCTCTTTCACACCCGCTGAAGAAAAAGGTGTGAAATCCCTGCCTGATCCCTGATGAATTTGGACATGAGCAGTAGCCGAGAATTAACGTAAACAGCAATGGCGGTGGGTAAGCTAACGTGTGCTTTGAGCGCTGCACAGATGAGGATTCTACACCTTCGTTCGTCCAAACGAGACCACGCAAAGCTCTAGTTTCAGTTTCCATAATTATAAGTTATAATGCAGGCTGATGTTGTTGCATCTTCCACGTCTTGCAGTGGATGTTGTTGAGGAAGTGAGTATATTGCTGGGGAGGGGGGTGTGTTGTAAAGTTCCTCTGCCCCCTACTGTCCGGGCGCTAGAACTACATTGTTTTTGATCCTCGTATTAACGCTGTGAAATTAGCATAAGGAGCCTGGTTGTTTCTGTTAATAGCTTGGAAACATCTGCGCAGCGCCTCCACATAAACAGGGCCTAAAAGCACAAAGTAGTAGAGTTTGAAAGACCAAAAGTCATGGATGCACTTTAGATTCTGTGACTGTGTCTGTTGTCTCCAGGATCGGGACAGATTGTGGCCTTTTGCTCTGCCTTAGTCATTTCTTTGTGCATAGTTTAGTGATTGTGTAAAGTGGGGTCTTAAGCAGCTTTGTGTGTGTTTCAGGATGACGTGGACGGCCAGAGCCCACTCCTGAGAGACCACCCACAGCTGCATGAAGAGGTCAAGTGCTGGCTCAAGGACCAGAAGGTTCAGGAAATTTTTATGCAAGGTAAGATTTGTACGTCCAGCGTCTGAAACCTCTGAGGTGCTACAAGCTCTGTGTGAATATTCATCACTCAAAAGCTCACCATTAATAGATAATATATTATTTAGGGTTAGGTGGGTGCAAAATGCTCAGAAAATCACAATAGAAATGAATGATAAGTTTGAATACAGAAGTGTGTGGACTTTTCTGTTGTTAGTTTAGATCAGGGGTCTCCAAACTGTAGCGCGCCCTTATCAGGTAACTCGCCAAAGGATTCAGGAATTGGACTCACGATCCTGAATTATAACATTTTGAGTCATTAAATATCAAATTCAACAATACATGTTTTCTTCTGTTCACTAATGTAAGGTTATGCAGTTATATGTAGGGGTGGGAACCTCAGGGAACCTCACGATACGATGTGCGATACAAAGCCCACGATAACGATTCTCTCACGATATGACGTTGCAACGATTATCGATATATTGGTCATAAATATACCTGCGATAATATTTTTCTTATATTTATGGCATAAATTAAGTTAAAAAATACACTTTGTTTCAAGATAAATGGATAAAAAGTGTCATGTGTAACTTTAAAGTGAACAGGCAAAAAGGCCTTTTAACCATTTTAGTAAAAATCTGACTTAATCTGTCTTACATCCCATGTGTTGTAGAATGTGTAATGTAGCCATATATAGTAGTAACAATGGTTTTTTTCAAGTAAAGCTTAGAAAAAAAATTAAAATAAAAGCATACTTAGCAAAAGCATATAGATAATCGATTGCGTGAGAAAGTATCACGATACATCACATATCGATATATTGTCCCACTCCTAGTTAAATGGCACATTTTACATTAGCGACTACAGTTTTATTACAACTGCAAAAAATAGTAGCTCTCGGCCATTTCTGTTGTGTAAAAGTACCCCTGGTTTAGATCAATGTTTAAGTTTCCAAAGTGAAAAACATAACAGATGTCGTAGTTTCTTTATGCCACACATGTTGAGTCCTTATGAAAGATGTTGTGATGTTTGCAGGTCCATACTCTCTAAATGGCTACCGTGTCCGTGTGTATCGACAAGACTCTGCCACCCAGTGGTTCACTGGCATCATTACACACCACGACCTGTTCAGTCGCAATATGGTTGTCATGAACGACCAGGTAACTTCCAGGGCTGCACGGCATGACTAATGTGTTTGCTCCTTCTTTCCTGGTACTAAGCACTCTTCACCTCTGTGGCGCAGGTGCTAGAGCCTCAGAACGTCGACCCCTCTATGCTCCAGATGACCTTTCTAGATGATGTTGTCCATTCACTGCTGAAAGGAGAAAACATTGGAATCCAGTCAAGAAGAAGGTCGCGCTCGAGCCAGAACAACAACAACAACTCCACTCATGTGAGTCTGTGAGACCCTTTACACCTGGGCTTTTGTCTGTAGTGTCTTTCCGTCAAATGGAAAAATACTCATAAATGTTACTGTTACTGTAATCCCAAGCACATGTATGACAATAATCCCGCTGATTGGCTCGAGGAGTGAGGGGTGGAAGATGAAATGGGTTCCTCACAGTTTCCGAGATTTCATGAGTGACATCGCCATGGCAACAGTCAGTAAACATCTTGGACGGTTCTGGGTCAAAGCTCCGCCCACATTCATAGAGTCCAGCTCAGGGATGTGGTATAGAGGTTAGCCACTTCTCCTCACAGCTGATTGGCTCATGTTGGGTTTTCAATCTCTAAATTTAGATTTTTGTTTTTTTGTGTGATTCGATCTGATTCTTGGCCCATTGTTTATGCAGATACAAAACCAGCACAAAAGCATAATATATGATTAAAGCTGAAGTAAGACACAAATGAGAACAGAGGAAAATCATTTAGAAAGTATGTTTTTCTCAGCAAGAAGGTGGGGTTCAAATCCCAGTCGGACCAGGGCCTTTCTGAGTGGAGTTTGCATGTTCTCCCCATGTCTGCATAGGTTTCCTCCGGGTGCTCCGGTTTCCCTTACCACTAAAAACATGTACAATAGATCTGTTCCTCCTGTACTGGCCTCGCTCCCATCTCTGTGTGGAGTGACAGACTAAAGCCCACATTTGTAAACAGCTCTAGTCTGAGAAAGGCGCTATGTACATATAGATGAGTTACTTACTAGTTTGTAGAAAGTCTTGTATTGAAGCAGTATATCACTGATAACACGGCGTTGGATGTTTTGAATAAGCGCTAAGATATTACAGCTGTTGTAGATATAGGTCTTGTATCAGAACATCACTTCTACGATTACACTGAACTGAACCACACGTGTCTGCGCAGACTTTCAGAGGTCCAGGTTCACTTACAGTAAACATGTAAACCAGTCTGGATCCATGTCCTGTAAACCCGGCTGTGGCCAGCAGATGTCACTGTGTTCGCAGAAAGGTTCACTTACATTGACCCTCCTGCCAAATGTACTTGTGTGAAACATGAACCATCACAGCAGAAACCTGGTCTTTCTCATTAACACAATCTTTCTTGTCTCTGTTTTGGTTGACACGTTAAAGATGGCCGGAGGGAGACCCAGCGGAACCACAGGCGCAACTCAGGTACCTCCCTTACTTCATTACTTACTTAAATACTTCATTAATCTCATTACTGTTCATTACTCTAGCCTCTATACGTTTTGTTTTGTGTCTTTTCCAACTGTCTCTGTACGTTAAATGTTTGTTGTGTTCTTGCAGACTCATTATACCAGAGCTCAGGCCAACAGCCCCCGCCCCATTATGACCTCATCAGGCAACACTAAGGGTTCCCAGGGTTCACTGCAGCAGACCCAGCAGCAGGCTAACCACTCCCCCAGCAGCTACACACGGGAACCCAAAGAACCACGAACCGCCCGCGCATGCCGGAGGAAGGGCTCTGACAGCAGCCTCCCAGAAGAGGACAAAGACTCCCTGGCAAGAGGTACGGGGCCCAAGCACGTGGCTCAATAAGGGACACAATATCATAATGCAGACTTTTATATAAATATATTTCTAAATAGCAAACTAGGGATATTCTTCAAAAGATAATAGTGCAAAAACCATATCTACTTCATTAGTTCCATCCACATAAGAGCATAAGCTACACACCTCTGGCTCTGATCTGCTGGATTTGACCCAAGAACCTGGCAACCCACATTGTTTAGCATTTCAAAACACATCAGCAATAACAGGTTGACCTTGTTTACCTTGTGTGGGGACTGATACAATCTGGGATCAGTTCAAAGTTAAGTCTAGTTTCCATCAGATGATCCTGTGCACGGGTCTATTTAGACTTTTCTTGTTAATTTGTATTTATTATATTAAAGAGACTCTTTAATATAATAATATAATATAATGTTCTCTGTGTGGTCTAATAAAGTCCGTAGAGAATAAAAACTGTTGTTGCCAGAATATTCTGCCTCAGAAAGTGGATCTGAAACACTGATCCTCCTGCTGGACTTTAGCTAGAGACTTTAAAGTGAAGTTTTTACTAAATCACAGAGAGAGAGAGAGAGAGAGAGAGTGGGAGAGCGAGGAAGAGAGAGAGAGAGAGGAGGGGGGGAGAGAGAGAGAGTGGGGGGGGGGGGAGAGAGAGAGAGTGGGGGGGGGGGGGGGGGGGAGAGAGAGAGAGAGAGGGAGAGCGAGGGAAGAGAGAGAGAGAGAGGAGAGGGGGAGAGAGAGAGAGATGCAGAGAGGGAGAGAGAGAAGGAGAGGGGAGGGAGAGAGAGAGGGGGAGAGAGAGAGAGAGGGGGAAGAGAGAGAGAGGGGGGGAGAGAGAGACAGAGAGAGAGGGAGAGGTAGAGAGAGGAGAGAGAGAGAAGGAGAGGGGAGGGAGAGAGAGGGGGGGGAGAGAGGGGGGAAGAGCGAGAGAGAGGGGGGAGAGAGAGAGGGCGAAGGGGAGAGAGAGGGAGAGAGAGAGAGAGATGTAGAAAGAGGGAGAGCGAGAAAGAAAGAAATGTAGAGAGAGGAAGAGAGAGAAGGAGAGAGAGAGATAAGGGGGAGAGAGAGATGGGGGGAGAGAGATGTAGAGAGAGGGAGAGAGAGAAGGAGAGAGAGAGATGTAGAGAGATGTAGAGAGATGTAGAGAGAGAAGGAGAGGGGAGGGAGAGAGAGAAGGAGAGGGGAGGGAGAGAGAGCTAAAACCATCTTCCAGTTTCACCAAACAAACTGTAAACCTGAATGAGAGCCTCATTTTGTGTTTTTAATCTAAACTTTTGTTCTGAAAAGGTCGACAGTGATTTCTTCCTGTTTTCTGTCATTTAAAATGAAAATATTCAGTTTCTTCTTGTGACATTTTCACATCCGTGCCTTTTTCTTCCAGACTCAAAGTCAAAGGCAAAGCTGGTGATGAACAAGCGCAGAAAAGGAGAGGAGGATGAGAAAAAGGCAGGTCCTAAACGACTAAAGACTGAAATCACGTCCGATCTTTCAGAAAGTAGTGACTCTGAGAATCCACACAAGAGGACCGCCCACTCCTCCTGCTCCTCCTCATCCTCCTCTTCGTCGTCCTCCTCCTCCTCTTCCTCCTCCTCCTCCGAGACTAACTCTGAGAACGAGCTAAAGACTCGAAACAGTGATGTCAAAGTAAACGTTTCTAAGATGGAGGATGAAGAGAAACCTCTGATCCAGGGATGCAAAAGTAACCCGTGGCCCGAGCTGCTTCTGTCGGAGGAAAGCAAAAAGGGACTTCTTAAAGAGCCTTCTGCGGCGATATCGAAAGAAGAAGAAGAACTGGTGGCAGTAACACAGATCACTCAGTCTCCCCAAGGTACGTCCTCCACAGCCCCATGAACGAATGAACGAATGAACGAATGAACGAAAGAACGAATGAACGAATGAACGAATGAAGGAAAAACATGTTTACAATGTTTACAATGTATGTGCAATTTGTTCCCTCAAGGAATAGATAAATTAAACAATCAAGTCTGAAAGGGAGCAGGAGGAACTGATGTAGCCCCGCCCCCTTTTCTACTTTAATCAATTTAACAAAACAACAACAACAAAAACTGTTCCGACGTCCTTTTAACAACTTCAAGACTTCAAGATTATCCAACCAGACGGACTAAAACGACACAAGAAAATAAAAAAAGCTATACACATATTTATATACAATATTAAAAAAAAATCTGTTGGATATCTACAAAATAACTGGATTTTAAATTATGTTTTGAAATTAAAAAACATGGCAACGTTTTGAACCAGCTTACGTACGATTCCATGATTTTACCCCGCATTCAGACACACAAAAACCTTTGAAATGATAATGATAATGTCTCTTATACATGACTTGTGCAGTTTGGTAGGATGGTAAATTGTTTAGTTTGAGAAGTTTTGCATGAATAAATAGTGAATGAATACTGTACTCAGTTACTCAGCGTTTACAGACTGGAAGTAGCAGCTGATGTTTGGAGACGCTGGTTTTTCTCACGCTGTTTTAAAGCCGTGGGGCTCTGCTTTCAGGCCACTAAAAATGAAACTGTCATAAAATCCATGTATCTGGCTTCTAGTTCAGGAGCTTTCACATCTGGCCTCTGTTACATCTTTAAATAAGATTGTTCGGGCAGAAAAGTGGAAAATTGAAGATCGTCTCTGAGGTAAAAGTGTCAAATACAGTATTGTATGATATGGTATCGGTACGGCGCAGATGGAACCACGGTCGAGGTGGTACGAAAAAAGTACGCAAACTCTGATACCAACACTAGTGGAAATGCAAAATAACCGCGCCGTACCGTACCGTACCGTACCGTACCGTTACTGTGGAGAAGCGGCAATAGTGACTCACAGGGCTCTTTCTTACAAGTTTGCGAAAGTATGTTTCTAATTAGATAAATACTGGTCTGATTCAGTCACAACATGTTTTTACAAGACTCTATCTGTTGGGACAAACTACAACCCCAGACCCCAGCTGTGAGTGAATCCTGCAGAATAGTAATGTTAGTATTGATTGGCTGCTGAGGACAGAGTGTGAGAAACATGCGGATGAGTTTTCTGTGTGTCTGTGCAGGGCCGTCCCAGGGCAGCGTCCACAGCAACAGTGTGATCGACATCTCAGACGACCCCCAGGCCACCGTGGACCAGGAGAGCTCTGAGGCGGTGTCTGCTCTGCTGGCCTCGCAGAAGGCAGAGTCCACGTCCCTGTCCCCGTACCTGCCCCTGAACCCGTCGCCCGTTTGCTCGCCGCCAGTGCCCCCCTCGCCTTCAGAGAGCCGCAGAGAACCAGAGCCTGCCCCACAGCCCCACAGCATTCTGGGAGGTGCCCCCACGGTCCCTAAAGCCCCAAACAAGACTGAGACGGCCCCATCGGAGGTGATCCGGTACGTGCAAGGGTTTAACTGAACATAACTGGTTTGTGAAGAGAGATCCGATTAATGAACTAATGTATATGCATATTATTATAAGATAAACCTTTATTTATCAGCGGGGAAATGTCATTGTCATCGTTTACACGCATCACAGCAGAATAAAAGGAGTTATGCACACATCAACCTGATCATTATTAGAAAATAAGTTATTTCTGCTGTATGACTATAGATGTTGTTTGTCACTGATCCTGTGTTTTCTGTTCTTCCAGAGCCGTCACATCTGTGTCTGAAAGTTTGGAGAAACCAGTCATTCCTCATGTGGTTCAGCAAACGCCCTTTAGCCACATACATTCTGGAATCCGGAGTCCCCCGCCGCCGGTTGAAGAGAGCCGAAAAAGCCATCTCCAGCCAATCCATCCGCTCCAGAGACGCAGCCCAGACAAGAAGAGCCCCAGTCCCAAGCCTGTACCCCCCGAGGCCCACAAAGTCACCCCCCAGCACCCCTCACATCCTCAGGGCCACCCTCAGAGCCACGGCCACCACCCTCACATGTACCCCCCCACAGGCCCGGAATATCCCAGGGCAAAGTTCTCCCCAGGACTCTTGGACATTTCTAAACCTAAACCAAACACCTCTCCAGAGGTGTCTAAACATAAAATGCAGCGATACTCTGACAACTGCTCTTCCCCTGTGGGTCGTCTCTCCTCAAAAGTGGACTCAGGAGACACGCCCCGCTCCAGTTTTAAACCAGTTCAGTCTCGCTCAGAGTCAGCTGGACGTTGCACCCCCACCAGCACCAAAAGCCCTCTGATCATTGACAAGAATGAGACGTTTACTGTTTATAGGGACCCTGCACTTGTTCGTTCTGATGTCGACAATACTCCCTCGGTCTCCTCCAATCACGTAGCAGCATATCTGCACCCCCACCTGCACGCTCTTCCCTCGCCACACTCGCCCTGCCTAACGCCCACTCCCCACCTCCTGGCTCCTCCACACACTTCAGGCCTACCTCACCCACACCTATTACCTCCAGGGGTTCTCCCGTCGGCCTCTCTCCTTGGGGGCCCTTCTCGGCTCGACTCTCCTGGTGCTCTGGGTCACCTGGCCCTGACACACCAGCAGCAGTTCCTTCAGGTTTACACTCATTACTATTACTATTACTATTACTATTACTATTACTACTCATTACTATTTCAACTCGTCTCCTCGAACAGTGTTGCATTTCATGTGTTTATTGTAATTAATACAATTATCCTTAAAGCTACAGGTTGTAGTTGTCTTACTGTTTTTATTACAATTTCAAACCCTTTTCCTAAAATGCATGTTTAGTTTTTAATTGTCCATTACATTTTTTGTCTTTATCATTTTCTACAGGGTCAAGGCCCTCATCCTCCTCTCTTAGCCCAGGCGCACAGTGGAGCAGCAGGATTGGGACTGTACCCAATCCTCTGGCAGTATCCCAATGGAACACCTGCATCTTACCCCCCAGGCCTGAACCTGACCCCCGCGGCCAAGTGGGTCCACCACGACAGCCCAGTGTCAGTCAGCTCTGAGGCTCTGCGGCGGGTACGTTCAGCTGCAGGACACACATGACCTTATATGGTTTGTCACGTCACGTTCTCATTCAGTGTTTGTTTCTGCAGAATACTGCCAGTCCGTGGCTCCATCAGGCCGGAGCCGGAGCCGACGGTTTGGGTTTGCTGAGTCATGTTCCAGTCCGACCGGCCAGCGCCGACGCTCACCGCTCGATCAAGATCTCCCACACCAGCCCGCCCCTGTCCAAAACCTGCATGGACATCCATAAAGAGTGGGTCCCGAACACTTCACCAGAAACAGAACACACATGCACAAAATAAGGAATATAGAACACAGACAGGGGCTGGTGTAGCACAATAATGATGAATCAGACTATTATTCATTCTTTTTGACACCAAATGTTTTATTATTTTTGTATTAGTCCAATTATTCATTTAGTCGAGTCTAATGATCGAAAAAATAATAATTAATAACAAAATAATAACAGCTAAAATGCTTGCATGGATTGACACCAATGTTGGCTCTATCGATCTGCAATCAGCGTCTTCAGGTCAAATTATCGTTATCATCCCTGGAAACATAGTATAACAGTCGACCTCCGATACTGACTCCTACAGTCCAACCCTTCAGTGGTCCGTGTGGAGCATGAACACAGGGCTGTGGGGTCACTCTGACGTGAAGTCATGAAGATATAAAGATATAATCCTTTTTACAATACTAGTCAGGAAACCAAATGTTCTTCTTCTCCATGAGTCTGAAGGAAGGTGCTTGACTTTCCTTTGCAGTGATTCTGATAAGAAGAGCTTCATGGAGCCCATCAGGACCATGACCCTGGCTCAGTTGAAACAGGAGCAGAACGATCGCAGCCGAACTCCCACAGGAAAGGACCACCTCCACCGCTTCTACCCCGACCACAGCAAAGCCCGGCTCACTCAGGTACATGTCCTGGCTCACGTGGGCACACACCGAACTGCCATTTAGAAAACATGTTTGTTGTTTCTGCAGGAGATCATCCATGTGACGGACCGGGCCATTAAGTATAAGGAGGAGAATCGGCAGATCCTGAAGGAGAGTATAGAGGTCGCACCTTTCACCGCAAAGATCCAGCGATCCAACGAGCAAAGCCTGATCCGGGACAGAGACCACACCCGTGAACCTGCCTTCTCTCCACGGATTCTGGCCTCCCCCAGTCACAAATCTGCTCACTCACACCCCCACGTTATCCAAGAGAAAAGCAACTACTTTACTGCATTGTCCAACAGTGTAGTGAATGAGCCCCCGAGACTGTATCCGTCTAAGGAAAGTGCGTTCTATGACAAAGTGTCTGTGGGAGCATCCGGAGTGGTGGCCAGTGTCGGTGCAGCTGTCCCCAGTGCAGGGGTGCTGTCTCTGGGCAACTACAGCTCTAAAGGTTCTCTGTCCAAGCCTCCTCCCCTCATTAAGCACCAGCCTGAAGGAGGAGAGGGTCTGGCTGGGAAGATCACGGAGCAGTTGAGCCAACAGGTGGCGCTTGTGCAGTCTCACCACTTGCCTCACCACAGCCCTGTCATCTGCCCTCTGTCCTCCACCACTGCCCTGGCCGCGCAGCAGATCAGGGCCATGCCGTCTCTGCATCGAGCCCCTGTCTTCCACCCCCCTATACAGCACTCTCTGGAACGTAAGGAGCCTGAACGAGAGCGAGTGGTTTACAGCGGGCGTCTCTCTCCTCCTACTCTGACGCCCATTCAGCCTGTCAGTTTACTTTCAGGAGGCAGTAAGAGCTGTGTGGAGCAGCAGAAACCCCCCACACTGCTGCCTGAACTCAGGGACCTTAAAGCTCACGGAGCGGTCACTCACAACACATCCATGGGGCCTACCAGCAGAACAGAGCTGAACCAACTGGATGCATGGAGGAACAGAGAAATCATTCAGGAAAAAGGAGGAGTAAGGTGTAAGCCTCAAGCTGCAACTGCATCTGTCATTGTGCGCTCCTCTACATCTATCAAATATGACAGTTCTTTTGGTGCTAATAAAACTGGTGCTCTTATCCCAAAAGAAACGCCCCAGGGAAGATTTTACCCAGCAAAGCCCGAAGGAGAGAGCCTGAGGCCCAGTGACGGTGCTAAAGATACTGGGCTTAGCCTTGTAATCCATTCAAACTCTATTTTGTGTGACTCTGGGGTCCAATATAAAAAGATTCATGAGAGTGTCAAAGGCACCACCTCTATCTGTAGGCCTGTTGTGTCAGCCGCTCAGGACTTGGATTATTGTCACTCCCTGAGAGGTGGCATTGGCAGCATAGGTCCCCTGCATTCTGGAGAAAACCATGAGCGGCTGTCGACGCCCTCTCCTGGAGGCTCCGTCACAGGCTCTGATCAGCTCAGCCCCAGTGGTTCTGTCTCAGGTGGTAATCAGCTGTACCCCTCTTCATTTGTCCATCTGAAAAAGCACAAAGCTGCCTGGGCTGCAGCACAATCACGGACTTCTGTCTCTTGCTCTGATGTGGTGGAGAAAATGTCCACTCAGCCCTCACCGCCTCCAGCCCGTATGAGCCAACCCTCTCCTTCTTTTGACAGTAGCAGCAACAGCTCCACCAGTGGGTCCACAACACCCAACAAATCAAGCCCTATTCCTAATGGTCAGGCCTCTACTTCAGCCACATGCTCTCAACAATCAAACAACTACCATAAGCTGAAGAAGGCCTGGTTAACCCGCCACTCTGAGGAGGACAGGAGCACCAGCAGTCCCTCCGCTCCGCCTGTGGTCAAAGCCGAGAAGACAGTCCACCCCATCAGCTGCAGCACCTCCAGCAGCACCACATCCATGACCGACATGATCAAACCCTGCACCGTCAACCTCAGTGCCTCCACCTCCAGTGAAGTGGACGTTAGTAAAGACAGCGGCACCAGGGGTCAGTCTGAGGACAAGGCGGAGGAGAGGAGAGCTGTGTCCTCCAGACGGGGGCCCAAAAGGTCATATGAGTCCGGCTCCGAGAGTGGAGCTGATGACTCGGATACGAGTGAGAGCAAGATCGAAGGTCGTGCCAAACGTCAGCCCAAGCCCACATACAAGAAGAAACAGAATGACATGGCCAAAAGGAGAGGGGACGACAAAGATGACGAAGATTTGAAACCCAACGGCATTTTCCGTTCCGCTCGAGAAAAGACTAAATTGAAATTGGCCAGCAGCAGTGAGTCACCTTTTCCTTTCTACAGTCATGATGTTTTCTTTGGCCGGTCTTGACCGTTCTGCTTGTGTTTTCTCAGATGGGATCCCCCGCTCTGTGTTGAAGGACTGGAGAAAGGTGAAGAAGTTAAAGCAGACAGGAGAGTCTTTTCTCCAAGACGACTCGTGTGTTGAGATCGGGCCTAACCTCCAGAAATGTCGGGAGTGCAGAGTGATCCGCTCCAAGAAGGGCGAGGAGCCCATTCACTCTCCCGTCTTCTGCCGCTTCTACTATTTCAGACGGTAACTAGACTTTGGCCTGTTTCCCTTATGACCCGATGGAGCTGTGGCTCCCGGTGTCAACATCTACTGCATTTTTCTCATTCTGCAATTAAAATCTTGTTTTGGGCTGAGGAGCTCAAAAAATATATGACGACCACCTGACCTACATTTGGATTTATTAAAACAGCCAGATTATGAACACATTTCACCATAGTTTAGCTTCATGTGCTTTGCCATCCACATAAAAAGATACCTTCAAACTCTATGGGTGAGATTTACTTCAAGAAGTGGATTTTGCAGCTTCATACAGTTTTCTGAGAAATCAAATCTGAGCCTTAATTCCCAAAAAATTTCACAATTGTGGAAACTCCTTTGTTGGCGATCGTTCCCTAATTTGAAACACATTGTATTCAAACAGAATATAGCGCCACCTGCCAGACCTTTGACGCTATTACTCTCTGGGAACATTAGATGCTTTAGTGGGGGAGCTGTGGCTACAGTAGTTTATCACCAGTGTGTATTGAGTGAATGGATAATCTATAAAACTGATGTAATATTATTGTTGTTATTATTAATAATGTAGTATGACTGTATTTATCAAATACCAGGCTCACCTACACTAAAAATGGAGTGATCCGCGTGGACGGCTTCTCCTCTCCAGACCAGTTCGATGATGAGGCTCTTTCTCTCTGGGCCCCAAAGCCGGCAGAAGACACTCACCTCAGCCACAGCATTGCAAAGTACATTCTAGGATTCATCGGTGACAAGTTCTGCCAAATGGTCTCCATTGAGAACACTGCTGCAAGCTGGATTAAGAAGGATGGTAAGTTTCCAAACCATGAGCAAAAACTCATGGTCTATTTCTATTTAACACTTTAATTGTTCTGATGCAGCCAAGTTTGCTTGGAAGCGAGCAGTCCGAGGAGTGAGGGAAATGTGTGACGCTTGTGAAGCAACTCTCTTCAACATCCACTGGGTGTGTCAGAAATGTGGCTTTGTGGTCTGCCTGGACTGCTACAAGGCCAAAGAGAAGAAGAGCTCCAAAGGTGACGCTACTTCTGAAAATAGTTTCATGGATTGGATTCTGTTGTTTAGAAAAGACTTTGTGTAACAAATGTTTTTTGTTTGTTCAGACAAAGAACTCTACACCTGGCTCAAGTGTGTGAAAGGCCAATCCCACGACCACAAACATCTGATGCCCACTCAGATCATCCCAGGCACAGGTTGGTCTCTCTCTCTCTCTCTCTCTCTCTCTCTCTCTCTCTCTCTCTCTCTCTCTCTGTCTCTGTCTCTGTCTCTGTCTCTGTCTCTCTCTCTCTCTCTCTCTCTCTCTCTCTCTCTCTCTCTCTCTCTCTCTCTCTCTCTCTCTCTCTCTCTCTCTCTCTCTCTCTCTCTCTCTCTCTCTCTACATATATTTATATCTCACTGTGTAAGTGAGTATTCACCAACTCTGTTTGTTCCAGTGCTTTCTGATCTGGTAACATCTATGCACGCGCTGAGAGAGAAGCTGAACATCAAAGCTCATTGTTCTTGTGCAGCCAACAAACTCCTCTCCAAGCTTCCAAACACCAACGGAGTGTCCCAGGTACGGAGCCTGCACCAGGTCTCTGTGTGAGTCCAGTGTTTCATATCTGATGAACGTGTATCTTTTTATCTTTTAGGTTCTGCAGAACGTTCTCAACCACAGTAACAAGCTGTCAGCGGTCAAGGCCGAGTCCACAGGTCTACAGCAGAAGTCGGACCAGACTGGAACTAAAGCTGAGACCAATGGTGGAGGTTGCAGCCCATCCAGCGACACAGGCAGTGGTCTGGCCACGCCCCCAGAGTCCCAGTCTCCTCTGCACTTTCTGGCAAATCTGGCCGAGCAGAAGTCCAAAGAGGAGAAGAAAGGTCAGACCCCGTATGATTGTTTGCATGGCACTGGGTTGTTGCTCAAATGCATTCTTTTGTCTTGCTCTACCCAATAGAAAATAAAGAGTCGTTACTGGGTAAATCTGTGAAGGAGGAGAAGGAGGGGGACCTGGAGCTGCTGCAGCACTGTAAAGGCAACTCTCTGGTGAGCAACAGCACAGAGCAGGGGTCCACTCTGAGAGACCTCCTCACCACCACCGCAGGAAAACTCAAGCTGGGCTCCACAGACGCTGGGATTGCTTTTGCACCTGTTTACTCCACTGCCTCTCAGGTGAGAACCACAGACTCTTTCAAAAGATACAAAGTTTAGATCAGACTGTGATTATTCTGATCCAAATGTAACAAAAACAAAAGACAAGTGACAACATATTTTTAGATTAGCATTTTAAATATTTAGTTTTCAATGGATTATTCAACCAGAAAACTGAATGTGGATCCCATGAGGGGTTTCCTGAGCCATAACCACAGCTGTAAGGAAATGTTGGTCATCAGAACTGAAGGACGTGTGCTTCGATGCAGAGGAGAAGCTTTAGATTGTTTTGTTGTAACATTTAAAACCATTAAAATCTAAAAATACATTCTCTTCCTCCGATGTCTTCTGCGTTGGTTCATTAAACTCTTGACCAATGTTTCTCAAACTCTGGTGTGTGTCTCGCTGGTGGCACTTAACTTTCATGTTGCGTCTTGTTGCAGACCGGGAAAGGAGGAAGAACGATGCCCAATATCCTGGATGACATCATTGCCTCAGTGGTGGAGAACAAAATTCCTGCCAGTCGTCAAAACCTCACCTCGAAGCTGTCGCTCAAACAGGAGTCCGCGATCTTAAACAACAACAGCAGCTCCAGCCCCGGCGCTCCAGACGACTCCAAGACAGACAAAAAGAAGTCCGTCACTCCAGCAGACGAATCCACAAACCAGTATCCAGATATTCCCCACGGCTGGTTAAACAACAAGCGGCTGCTGTGGCTCAAAGACCATCGGAACCAGAACAACTGGAAGCTGTTCAGAGACAGCTGGAGACAGGGGCAGGTCAGTCACACTGCACACCCTCCATCACTGGTCAAACTCAGACCAATAATACTGCTCAGTCTGGTTTGGGTAGTTTAGAGAAGCGAGCAGAGAGCTGTGAGCGGCAGGCTGTACCAAACTAGATAGATAGATACTTTATTGATCCCTGTAGGAGAAATTCAGGTGTCCAGTAGCAGCAAAAATAAAATGGATAATTCTACAAAGCCTCTGGGTGGAGCAGGACAGGTCACAGCAGCAGAAGTGGAGTAGCCTCTGGGTGGAGCAGGACGGGTCACAGCAGCAGAGGTGGAGTAGCCTCTGGGTGGAGCAGGACGGGTCACAGCAGCAGAAGTGGAGTAGCCTCTGGGTGGAGCAGGACGGGTCACAGCAGCAGAGGTGGAGTAGCCTCTGGGTGGAGCAGGACGGGTCACAGCAGCAGAGGTGGAGTAGCCTCTGGGTGGAGCAGGATGGGTCATAGCAGCAGAGGTGGAGTAGCCTCTGGGTGGAGCAGGACAGGTCACAGCAGCAGAAGTGGAGTAGCCTCTGGGTGGAGCAGGACAGGTCACAGCAGCAGAAGTGGAGTAGCCTCTGGGTGGAGCAGGACGGGTCACAGCAGCAGAGGTGGAGTAGCCTCTGGGTGGAGCAGGACAGGTCACAGCAGCAGAGGTGGAGTAGCCTCTGGGTGGAGCAGGACAGGTCACAGCAGCAGAGGTGGAGTAGCCTCTGGGTGGAGCAGGACGGGTCACAGCAGCAGAGGTGGAGTAGCCTCTGGGTGGAGCAGGACGGGTCACAGCAGCAGAGGTGGAGTAGCCTCTGGGTGGAGCAGGATGGGTCATAGCAGCAGAGGTGGAGTAGCCTCTGGGTGGAGCAGGACAGGTCACAGCAGCAGAGGTGGAGTAGCCTCTGGGTGGAGCAGGACGGGTCACAGCAGCAGAGGTGGAGTAGCCTCTGGGTGGAGCAGGACAGGTCACAGCAGCAGAAGTGGAGTAGCCTCTGGGTGGAGCAGGACGGGTCACAGCAGCAGAGGTGGAGTAGCCTCTGGGTGGAGCAGGACGGGTCACAGCAGCAGAGGTGGAGTAGCCTCTGGGTGGAGCAGGACGGGTCACAGCAGCAGAGGTGGAGTAGCCTCTGGGTGGAGCAGGACGGGTCACAGCAGCAGAGGTGGAGGTAGGATGCTCATGTTTGCTTCTCTTTAGCCTGTGTTGGTGTCTGGGATCCACAAGCGACTCAACGCCAGTATGTGGAAGGCCGACTCCTTCAACCAGGAGTTCGCTGACCACCAAGGAGATCTCCTCAACTGCAAGGACCAAGTGGTGTCCAACTCTGGAATCAAGGAGTTCTGGGATGGGTTCGAAGACATCACCAGTGAGTTGTCATGGTCCTAAGAAGAAGAAAACGTTTAAAAATAATATCAGTGAAAAACAGAAATGTTTGTGTTTTCAGAGCGACCTAAGTCCAAAGATGGAGACCCGATGGTCTACAGGCTGAAGGACTGGCCTTCAGGAGAGGAGTTCATGGCTCTCATGCCCTCCAGGTACAGATGGACCGTCCACTCTGAGCTGCATTTACCTTTGACACCTTCAGAAAGTATGAATGTTGTGGCCAGACTTTTACTGATGTGTTCAAGGCTCCAGGTTTCATATTTTTCAATAGTTGTGCATGAGGTTCACAAGTCATTTAAAGCATTTCCATTTTCACATTTAAATCATTTGTTGATTAATCATTTATAATCAAAACATAAATGATGAAGCCACAGACTCAGACCTTCTGTCGTCACCTCCGGGCGCCTTCAGACTGTGTCTTTAATCAAAGGCGTGAGTTCCTGATGTCCTTGTTTCCTTCAGATATGACGACCTGATGAAGAACCTGCCTCTGCCGGAGTACTCTGACCCAGAGGGCAGTCTAAACCTGGCCTCTCATCTGCCATCGTTCTTCGTCAGGCCGGACCTGGGTCCCAGACTCTGCTGTGCATATGGTGAGCATCACCGTCACACATGGAGCTCCAAATACTCACTTGTTTCTGCTGCAGGTGTAGCTGCGTCTCAGGACCAGGACTTTGGCACCGCCAACCTTCACCTCGAGGTCTCGGACGTTGTCTCCGTCCTGGTTTACGTGGGAGTGGCCAAAGGCAATGGAGTTTTGTCCAAAACAGGTACGAGACTTTATTAAAGATCTCCTGATGGTTCCAGCTACAGCTACAAACATATGTCCCAGACTGAGGGAAACATGTTCTGTTATTCTGACAACACTAAATATAAATATAAAGACTAACTCTGGATGTTTGGGTCTCAAACGGCCTAAAGACGATTCTGGACATTTGTTATTCTTGCGCATCAATCTCTGACCCATGTTTTTGTTCAAAACATTGGTTTGTGATTAGCCAATCACAGAGTAGTATTGTGGGGAGGATACATGAATACCACAAACAAAACAATGATAACGTCGATGCTCTGATTCAAACACAGATCTCGACATAAACCAGGGTCTCCTCGTGACATGATTATTTAAGAAGGCAGAGAGCGTCTCCTTTAAAGTAGAGAGAGACATTATTGTGGTAAAGTTTGAAGACGCCTGTGAAGCATCACCTGCAGCACAGCTCATCAGACTGTGTTTACAGGAGTGTTAAAGCGGCTGGAGGAGGAGGACCTGGACGAGGGGGTTCGCCGCAGACTGAAGGACTCCTCCGAAACACCAGGGGCACTATGGCACATCTACCTCAACAGAGATCACGACAAAGTGCGGGAGTTCCTTCACAAGGTCAGTATTTTAGGCTCCTGTGTTTCCTCCTCTGTGCAGTCGCTCACATGTGCTCTCCTCAGCTCTGTAAGGAGCAGGGTCTGGACGTGGCTCAGGACCAGGACCCTCTGAGGGAGCACGGCTGGTACTTGAGCCGGAAGCAGCGGCAGCGCCTCCTGGACCAGCACGGGGTCCACTCCTGGACCGTGGTGCAGTTTCTGGGAGACTCTGTGATCGTCCCGGCAGGAGCCATGCTCCAGGTAACGACCATCTTTGGTAAATGTTTGTCCCTCATGTTGGTCGAGGATTTGGATATGTGCTATTGCTGTGTTGTTATGCCTCCCTCTTAATGTCCACTTTGTACTTATGAGGGCAGTCTCCTGATAATGTCAGTGGCAGATTTGCAGATGTGTGGATGTCTCTCTTGACTGGTGAGAACTTGTTTCCTCAGGTGCAGAATCTTCACAGCTGTATCCAGGTCATCAATGACTTTGTGTCTCCTGAACATGTGGCCAACTCCTTTCAGCTCACACAGGAGCTGCGGCCGACCAAAGAAGAGGTCAACTATGAAGATAAGCTGCAGGTACAACACAAAATCAGCTTCACACAGGACAGAGTTCGGCTGTTTAAATATTCTCTAGCATCCTTCTACTACAATGTTACTAAAGATAAACGACTTAGGGCCTGAGTTTGGCCTGATAAAGACAGAGATCATCAACCCAGGATCAGGAAGTAAACAAAGAAAACCAGAAGTGATGTCAAAATAAAACCATATACTAGATTATAATCCATTGTGGAATTCTGGCCCAGTCTTCCTTCCGAAAGTGGTCTAGTCCCTTCAGTCCCGGTGTGATGTGTTTCCAGGTGAAGAACATTCTGTACCACTGTGTGAAGGAGGCCGTGAGTGCCCTGAAGAGGAGCAGCACTGAACCGGACACGTAACGCCTCCCTGCGCCTCCTCATGCGGGACAGACTCTCAGCATCACCAGCAGAAGCTCCGCCCCCTCCCCTCGTCCCCATGGCAACGCGAGGCGAGGACCAATGCAATGTGTTTTCTTCTGTACTTTGTCCTTTTCTGTTGCTAATCGTTCACTCATGGTGACTCATTTCCTCTGTGAAGATGTATTTATTTCATAGTTTTATGAAAAGTTTTTAGAGAAAATCCTTCATGTAAATGTGACTTGTACAGTTTTTGAAATGTAGTTTGAGTTAAACGGCTCTACTGTGACAGAGGACACACTCGCACACACGCACACCAGCTAATGCCTGTAACTTTGGGAACCCATGCTCTATGTCCTCCCGCCATAACAAAGACTGCCAAACTGTACAGATGTAAGTATGATGTACAGACAGAAGGCCTATTCACTTCAGCATTTGATGAAACACAACAGTATTTACAGAAAAGATGTAATTTATTTAAGAAATTAATGTCTGTTTATGTTTTGTTAAGATTTACTATGGTGAACTTTTGAAGTTAAAAGATAATTGAAACTATATGTAAATATATATACATATATACATTCACGGAGGTATTTTTTTAAAACATGGCTTGCTTCAATTTAAAATTTTAAAGTGCAAGTGTTACATGCTTTGTACATTGAAGTTCAAAAGGGTTTTACATTTTCCATTAAAATGGATTTATCTAAAGTTTTCTGTGTTTGTGTTTTTAATCATTTCCTGGATATGCAGTTATTCAGTCTCTATAATGTCTTTTGTTTCTATTTCCCCAGTTTAGATCAGAGACAAATATAGAAAGTGTCGGTCTATGAAAATACATGTGTTACACTATCGACTCTAAATATTACTCTGAAGTACTTTGAATCCTGCTGTGGCGACAGTCGGCCGGCAGAAGGCGCTACAGAGTCGTGATGGTGCACAGTCCACACATGAGACTGACCTAAGCACGTGATCTACGGAAGGTTAATTTAAAAAGAACAATAATATATTTACAGTCTGGACACATCTGAACTGGTCCATGATGATGATGACAGACTGTAAATATTAAACATAGCCATGATGCTAGGTCCCGTTCAACATGAGCACGAGGCGGGCACGTGGTCTGTGACTGTAGTGAGGAAGAAGAAGAGGAAGAGCACAACAACAGAAAAACATCCAACACCGACCAGAACCGAACCACAGCAGCGGTCAGGACACGACAACCGCCGGTGAGGAAGAGGAAGAGGAGGAGGATGGTAATGATGATGATGATGATGATGATGATGTAGATGTAGTATGAAGAAGAATGTGTTGAATTTGTCTGATCATTAAACATGGCTCAAAAGTCCCCATCCCTCTGCACGCGCCGCGGTTTGGTGACAGTATTTGTAATCTGTAATCTGTAATCTGTGGGATAAAGTTACTCTGAGGAACATTTACCGCTGACGTCACTGCCTCGTGCACAGCTATACACAGGTCACAAGGAGTTCACGCACCGCACGCGCAGGTCACGCAAAGGTCCTCGTGGACATAATATGTAATAATAATATATAGACACATATCAATCATAATAATATTAAGAATGTATTCATATTTATCATCATTAAAATACAATATTAAGGATTTTTTATTTTATGTTTGTAATATTATGATTTATCTGATTTATATGAATAACAAGGAATTATCGCACCGCAGAGTACTTCCAGGTCAGACAAAAGGAGACACAGCTTTTTATATAATCTGTAACAATGTGTATAAGAACAAAAGACGTCATAACTGCCTTAAAGTTCAGACATTAGTAACAAAGTCAGAACACATTCTAGCTCAGGGGTCTCCAACCTGTGGCACGGGAGCTACCAGTAGCTCGCCAGCCACTTACAGGTATCTCGCCAAAGGATTCAAAATTTAACAAATGATCTTCAATGAATACATTTTGAGCCATTACTTATCTATAATTAGTATAAATACAGGGTTATACAGTATTATGGTCTATTTTTCATGTTTTGTCATAATTATTATATAGATTTTCATTACGACTGCAAAAAGGAGTAGCTCTCTGCCTCTTCTGTTGTCTAAAAGTAGCTCTCTGAATGAAAAAGGTTGGAGACTCCTGTTCTATGAAGTACTGCACATGGATCTATGCGGTCCTGCCCCACTGCCCCTGGGTGGAGGGGGGGGGGGTCACAGTGCAGACTCAGGGCAGCTCTAATAACTTTCAGATCTCGCTCTCAGATGCTCCGGCCTTTTTCCTGGAGATACTTGATCTGAAAACTTGTCCTAAAATAATAGAAAAAATATCTTTAGTCTTATTTCTTGTTCCATTGCTGCCAAATCCTGTTTTAAGACACAATTATCTCCAATTGTTTTCGGCAAATTTAGATCAAATGTCTTTTCTGTGATTTTTTTTTAGTGTAGTGACACCCATAAAACAATCATTCCTTAAACCTGAAATCTGAAAGAGCTTATTCTTGAGTCTGAAGAAATTGACAAAAGATGGAAGTCTGGGATCGTGAAGACAAATTATGGTTGTTCACAGCTTGGACATGTTTTACAGAAGACAAAACATAAGCTCCTCCCACAATTTTAAATAAATAAAATTGCACCAAAAGTCGTAAAATCGTAAAAATCCGTAAATCTCTGGAAAGAACCAAGAATCAATACAATGGATAATTTATAACACTTTTGAAGCATTTATGACTCTGTGGTTAAACTTGCAGGTGAAAGACAGATCCTGCTGGACTACTGAAGCTAAGCAGGGCAGGGCTTGCTTAGTGCTGTGATGGGAGACCTCGGGGATCACCTGTGGTTCGTCATCACCGTGTTTGGAGCGAAAGTTTAATGACATTTGAAGAGACTTTGAGCGTCCAGTAGAACTAACATTGCCCCTCCCTCTCTTCAGCTTAATCTTTTTAATTAAAGGGGATTATTTAATTAACACGTTCAATAATAATGACGACATTCACAGATATTACATCAGAAAAGTCACAACACAAGCTGACACACTAAAGTGAAATCTTGGTGAGATTTATTTACTAAAAATAACATAAATGATGCTTATTTTTTTAATGCCAAGTTTTTTTCTTGAAGATTATTTTACTAATTTAACATAATAATACTTCATAATTAGAGAAAAAGTCTGAGCAGTTTTTAAGCTTGTTTTTAAAGCATTTTTTCTTATTTCCAGACAACTTTTCTAGTTTAGATAAAATAAGTTTGTGATGCTATATTTTAATAAAACATTTCTCAAAAATGTTTAAGAAATAAGTTAAAAAAAACTTGAAATGTATGTTTTTAAACTAGAATCAAGTCGTTTGTGGCTAGAATTATTTAATTATTTTCAGAAATCCTTATATTTTCTTACGTTCAGATCATTTCTTATCATTTCAAGCCGTGTTTTACTTAATTTCTTACTTTTTCCATGGTTTTCCCCAGTGTAGGCAGTTGATAGTGAGTGTGTGAAACCCATTGCCCTGAGGTTAGTGTGTAGTTCAACAGCAGCGTCGCAAGCAGAGGCCCGCGCCCCCCGCTGGGACTTCACCGCCGGGCTCAGGTCAGGCCCCTGCTCTTCACCATTTGGCTGACTCAGAGTTGCCCTTCAATAAAACGCCTTGTTGTTTCTCTGTCATCTCTGGATCCTCAACCAGTGTTTTTCACCCAGTTTTTCACTTTTAAAAACATAGACTTTGTCCAGAGACGTGTCGATATTTGTAGAATCAGAATCCAGACTTTATTCTTTCGCTCAGACAAAAACAGAGACAAGAAAAGCAGCACATTCTTCTTGATTGACAGGAGAGAAAGACACTAATTGATAAATAAACAGGGAATAATAAGTCGGGTGGGGGTGGGACCGGGGGTGAGGCCGGGGTGAGGGTTTAAGTGAAGGGCAGAGAGTCAGTTCAGGAGGAAGGTGTGTGTCCTCTCCCTGACCCTCCCAGCCCACAGATGGAGGGCCTCATTAGGGCCTCATTAGGGCCTCACGCCACAATTATTATATCACTGTTTCCGTTTGATTATTTGCAGACACTCGGCTTTAATCGCATCGTCGAGAACTGGGACCTGGGACCTGGGACCTGGGACCTGGGATCTGGGACCTGAGACCTGAGACCTGAGACTTGGGACCTGAGACCTGAGACCTGAGACCTGGGACCTGGGACCTGGGACCTGGGACCTGAGACCTGAGACCTGAGACTTGGGACCTGAGACCTGAGACCTGGGACCTGAGATCTGAGACCTGAGACCTGAGACCTGAGACCTGAGACCTGAGACCTGGGACCTGGAGTCACATGGTATCTTCCTGGTCTGGGCCTCGTCCCATGGTCCAGGGATAGTACAAAAGTACTTTGATACAAAAGTACTTTTGTACTTAATACAAAAGTAAAGTGGGAAAATTTAGGAATTTAATTTGACTTAATATTACTTTATTGTTATTAATTAAATTTTGTTTTTTATGTAATATGATTTGATTTAATTTAATTGTGTTTAATCACATTTTAATGTTTTCAATTATTAAAAAATATATGTAATTAAAATGACAACAAATAAAACATAGATTAAATTCTGCTACATTTTTTTAAAATGTGGAAACCGTGGAAAGTCCCTCGACGTGAGGCTCAGGCTGCGACACATGACACAAGTCCAAAGTCCAGGCCTTTCTTTGCTGTAAATATGGGAGGATTTGGAGCATGACCTACTGTTGTGTCCTTGAGCAAAACACTTCGGAGGGAAAGTGAGGTGTCTGAGAAAAGTGTGAGAAGAAACAGAACAATGGTAAAGTTCTTATTTAAACTTGTCAAAGGAAAATCCCCAAAATATCAAGTCAAATATTCCAATATTTCCCCCATGCTTGAACTAGAGCCATGAGCACATTTGTGTTGGCGCCCTCTAGTGGCGCGTGGACAAAGTGATGTTTGAGGTGTGATGATAAAACTTTGATAGCCTTTTGAAAATATGATCATAGCCTACATTAGACACTAATGTCCCCAGCACGTGGTCAACTGTATTTATTTAAGACATTACTCAAAAGTACACATGGTTTTCCCCTAGTCTTAGATTGGATAGAGTTTATTTTACTAATGGTACTAGTTGGTCATGGGTTGCAGATGTGAAGTAGTTGAGGATGTTACCATGGTGACCACACAGTAAGGGCCGAATAAAACAAAAATGTGGATTTAGACATTTAGAATAACATGAGGTCATAGGTCCAGGGCCAGTTCCACCGCATGGCCTCCTGTCTGTGTGTTCTTTATCTTTCCCACTGAATGTAAAAATACCATATACTGTATTTATGAAACAATACTGTGTCAAGAACAACGACGACTGCAGCTCTCACGTTCACTTTAAACTGCGGCTGCCTGGGCACAGAGATGAAAGTGCAGCAAAAGGTTTCCAGAGCAGCAAGATGTGTAAAGCTTTTGCATTGGGGGCAGTGAGCAGCAGGTGAAGCTCCGTGCGTCCCCGTGCGTGTCCGTGCGTCTCCGAGGGCAACATAGATCTGCGTGAGGCTCCGTGGCTCAGGTTCAGAGCCATAAGAGTGATTTAGTCTGCTCCATGTTCCCGTCTGAAAGCCAGTGAACACGGAGATCTTTAACGGTGTGCTGTAAATTGATGGAGAACAATGAGGAAGAGGAGGAGCTCCCCTTCATCGGCGCAGAGCCGCAGCCGCGGATAGGAGCAGCGTGCGTTAATGTGTCAGCTGCAATTTACTAGTACAATTTGGCATGAAGTTTGTCCTGGTCCTGATGACTTACAGTGCGCAGCTTTTGTGGATCCAAAACCACAAACACAGTTGAACTTCACTGAAGAGTCATAAAGAAAAGCCTGGACAGAAGCACAAAGCCTGAGTCCTGCAGCAAAGTCTCTACATTAAAGTCTCTGCAGCAAAGTCTCTGTAGCAAAGTCTCTACATTAAAGTCTCTGCAGCAAAGTCTCTGCAGCGTCAGCGGTAACTGATCCACACTGAGCGACCTCCGCCGCAGCAGAATCACTATAGTCCAGAATAATGTGAGTGAACTCCACTTCACCCCTGCTCTCATCTGCCACAGTCATCAGCTCAATGCTTTCCAGATTCTTCTGTGGAACTAAATACGTGCAGGAGGCGACGTCACTATTCATATTATTATGATTATTAATGCTCCAGGCTTCTTCAACTGGGAATAACAAGATCAACGTATTTATTTAAAAAAATATATTTTATTAAATAAATTCAGATACATTTTAGTCGTCACAGAAGTGAAAAATATAAAGTCAGATCTACATATTTACAGAAGTCTACAATACATACATAAGTGTTCCATGTGCGAGTGCCTCTGTTTGTTTACACATATTTACAACATTAACGGCTCAGGTGTAGCTCATGAACTTGGTGGGCAGGTTGTCCACAGGGTACACTGTGGGGCCCGTCTTCATGGTGGGGGGTCCGTTGAGGAGAGTCCAGTGGGTCTTGGACACCAGTTCTACGAGAAGGATCTTGAGCAGGACTTTGGCGAACTCCTTCCCCACACACATCCTGTTGCCCCCCCCGAAGGGGATGTAGTGGAAGCGGGTGGAGTCGGAGCTGGGCGAGGACAGAAAGCGCTCGGGCTGAAACTCCTCTTTGTGAGGAAATATATCTGTGACATCATGAGTGTCGGAGATGCTGTAGATAATGTTCCAGCCTTTGGGGATCTGGAAACCCTGAAGAGAACAACACCATGAGTACAACATCAGACCATCGCCTCGACCAGAGAGACTCAAACATACATTTAGTTCAAACGTCTTCAGAGCAACTCTGAAACCTCCAGGGACCGGGGGGTTGAGCCGCAGCGTCTCCTTGATGACGCAGCCGGTGTATTTGAGCGTCTCCAGCCCCTGCATGGTGACGTTGTGGGGGTCCATCCCCTGCTCCTCCTGGAGACAAACGCGTGTCAGTCTAATATTCATTTATCCTTTCACATACAAACACTAATTTGGTTTAAAGAAAAAGCTAAACTCAGCAGTGACTCACCTTCTCTGCGAACTCTGTGCGGAGGCGGCTCACTACGTCTGGATTGAGGCCCAGGAACATGACCAATGAGGTGGCAGTGCTGGCCGTGGTCTCGTGGCCCCCAAACAGCAGCTCTGTGGCCGCCTCTTTAATGGCCTGAGAAAACCACATGTGTAAATATTGTGCTCCCTCATGCTCCCTCATGTTTCCCGGTGCTTGGGCACCTATACACACCTGCATGCTCAGGGGCTCTCCGCTCTTGCGGCTGCTGTCGATGAGTTGCTGGAGCGCGTCCTGGGGCCTGGAGCCCTTTTCACAGTCCTGCAGCTTCTGTTTGATATTCTCCTCGATCTTGGAGTGAATGAAGTTCCTGGCCTTCAGTCCCTGTGATGGAGAGAGTCAGTACAGAGCAGACACACACTGACAGAGACAGGAGGGAGGAGGGGGGCTCACCCGGTACAGGCCACTGAAGGGCATGTCTATGGGCAGAGAGAAGAGGTTTCGGACCATCTCCTCAAACGCCTCCACCAGCTGCTGCTCCTGGGTCCTGATCTGCTCTGGTTCAAAGCCCAGGAGGACCCTCATGGCGATGCGGAACATGAGGCGTTTCATCTCAGGGTAGACCATCACACAGCTGTCCCGGGACAGCCAGTCCTGCACTGCTGCCCGCACCTCCTCCTGGATGATGGGGACGTACAGCTCCAGAGCCTCCCTGGAGAAAGCCCGCATGATGGCCTGCAGACAGTGGTCAGAGGTTTAAGGAAAATGTACAAACTTTTTAAAGTTTTTACAAAGTGATAGAGTGGAGACTAGAAGTGCTGTACCTTCTTCTTTGACTTGTGCTGGATCCCGTGGACGCTGGACAGAGTTTCTGGGCCCAGGATGGTGCGCACAGACGCGGGCCATTGAACGGAGACCAGTCGGTGCTCTCCGGTCAGAATCTGCCTCACGTTGTCCGCGCCCATGACGCGCACGGTCGGACTACCAAACAGATGTGTGCGGTAGATGCAGCCGTACTTCTGACGCTTCATGTGCAGAAACTTTGTCCTCTGTTTAAAAAGAGAATCCGTGTGAGTTACACGTGTTTAACACAAACAAACAGAAGACCCAGGTGCTTACCTGAAGGATGAGCTGCAGCGTCTCTCCCAGGAAAGGCAGGCCCATAGAGCCGGGGGGCAGCGGGCGAGGGCAGCTGTGGTCCCGGCCTCTCAGGGAGTACACCTCCCATAACTTTAGAGCCACTAGGAGCAGCAGCACCGGCAGCACGATGGTGCACAGGAAGGTGGGCAGCAGTGTGTTCAGAACCATGGTGCAGTGAGTTCTCTGACAGCGCTGCTGGGAGCGCTCTTATAGGCTCCGTGCTCTCCTCCCTCACATAAATTAGTTCACACAAAGTTCATCTTTAATTGTGGCTGTCAAAGCCCCGCCTACAACCTGTGCGGCTGGCGCGCTGCGCCATTTGTTCAGACCCAGCTTTAATCCTCACCTCCTGCAGCAGCATTTCACTGAGAAAAGGTACTTTTCACTAAGACATTAAGACAATGAGTGAGAGCCAAGGCGCTTTTGTTTCCCCAGAGGCCACTTACGGCCTCCGTAATCCGCCTGCAGGGTGGACCTCTGGGTGGACCACATTCAGCCACTTCCAGCCTCTGGTGTCCTTTGGCTCCGCTGTGAGCGGCTCCAGTCCGCAGAGCCGCAGAAGCCGCAGTCAATCTGGACTCTGTTATAAAGTCATATCAGCCCCGGGTTCAACCCCGGGTCAGTGTGACGCACGCGCACAGGCGTACGCGCACGCGCGAGGTTATCCTCGGGCTACGCACAGAGTAAACAGGCACGTCAGCGTAAAGTGTTTTTACGAGCTGCGTGAGCGCGCGTGCGTGTTCCAGAGACAACCTGGTGCCGTGTGGAGTTTACGGGCTCAGCTCCCAACAGGACTCACATGACCCTCTGCCCCGGGGCAGAACCACAGAGCAGAGGCACAGAACTGTCCTCCTGTCCCACTTCTGCTGTGTGCTCTGTGTTCTATGTGCTCTGTGCTCTATGTGTTCTATGTGCTCTGTGCTCTATGTGTTCTGTGCTCTATGTGTTTTATGTGCTCTGTGCTCTATGTGTTCTATGTGCTCTGTGTGCTCTATGTTCTGTGCTCTATGTGTTCTGTGCTCTATGTGTTCTATGCTCTATGTGCTCTGTGTGGACACAGAGACGTGTGCAGAAAACGCATCAGGAGCTGAGGGGTGAAAAGGTAACGCAGTGAAACTTGAAAGAATGAATGGATGAGTGTTTCATGCTCCATTCCGTCAGTGCGTGTGCGCGTGTCCCGCAGCTCCTCCCCCGCTCGCGCTCCCTGACCCGCTTGTGACCCTGACATCTCTGTGAACTCTGCACCAAGTTCACTGTCCCAGAGCCAGTCTGCAGGAGTACAGCTGCTCAGGCGTGCGTGTGTCATCAGTGTTTATGTGCACGACTGGATCCAGCTCCAAGAATGTTTACACCTTCTGTTTTAGAAGTCTTCACCTGCACATAACCCTGACCATATGAACCACACCAGCTATTTGTGAAGCGTGCAGTGGTATGAGATAATCCTAGTTCTGATCAAAGAACAATTATCTGTGAGGGACACATGGGAGCACAGCGGCTCTGAGGTGTGAAGGTGAGGGGTCACTGCAGAGTCAGGCCGGTTCAGATCCAGGTCAGGGGCTCCACACAAGTCAGAGCCTGCTGTCGAAGCCCCTCACATCACACTGTACGCTCTCCATAAACCTGCACCAAAACAGCTGTACACAAACTACTCCAACACAAGTCAGAGCCATCCCAAGTGTTTTAGTGCGAGGCAGATGTGGAGCTGCTGCGGCCGGACTCCGAGCTCCAGGATGTGATGTGAATGAGCCCAGCGTCCTGTCTCCGCTGTATTGTTGCGAGGGGTGTTAAAGTGTTTGATGTCAGCCCTAAAATACTTGTCACATCTATTGACAGTCAGGAAGACGGTGCTTCCCCCTGGAGCGACACAGGAACGCCGAGCTGCCGTCTGCCGCCCTCACAGCCCAAACCACACGCTCAGGTCATAAACACCATCGTTTGCCACAGCACTTAGCCTTTGTAGAACATGAGGCCTCATAAAGAATTCACACGCACTCTCTTCACATCCAGTTTGGGAAGATTAGAAATGATATGGGGCAATAACGTCACTATGCATGACAGATCTAAAGTGTTTCCTCCGGAGCAGAGTGAGTTTAGGGCCGTGGATGAAGTGGAGCGGTCAGCAGCACTTTGTAAAGCGCCTGGATTTGAGGACTTTCCTGGTGTCACATTCAACATACAATAGAATACAAAAGCTGTGCTCTTTATTGTGAGTGGAGGTGTTTGGAGACGGCTGAGTGGAGTCACGGATAGGAATGATGCAGTGACCGACTGTTTGTTTTTATATTTTACAAAATATGCATTATTTACATGCAATTTACAGACATACTAAAACAATGTTAAAATAAAGGAAGAAAAATCCCCAGTGCAAAGGTTGTACAAGCATAAAAATGACAAAAGTAGATTGGATTTAGGACCAGGATATGGACATTATTGCTGCGGTGTGTGGAGTCATGACTCAAGACTAAAGCTTCAGTTCACCCTGAGAAAATAAAACCCAGAAATAAACATTTTTGGATAAATATTTAAATATATACTATACACTCAGTACATTTGGGCTGTCCTTTTCTCTACAGCAGGACTCTACTTCCCCCTCACTGAAGCCCAGGCGGTGCAGTGCTCAGCCTGTTTGCATGTGACATCACAAACACAGCTATTGCTTTGAACCTCAGTCTTTACAAACGTCATAGTTCACCCATAATCTGACATCGTTTCAGCCCCGAGCACAAAAATCCTTCATGTTTTGATCAATATCTGAGAGCAGGAAACAGACACAAACCATACAAAATAAATTAATCAACTCAAGTGGGAGAAACGATGGCGGTAAAGTGCTCCATGTGGCGTTGTTGGGCTCGCTGCATACCCATGGAGAGCACGGCCCGATCTCGGCAGACTCCAGTCCGGACAGTACTTGACGTTTTCATGGCGTTTCACACAAAAAGCAGATACATATGTTACATTTGTCAGTATTTCTCTGAAGCGCGAGGCTAGTGTTGTCCATGTTTCCTTTTTGGGCCTTTGCTGGGAAGTCCGAGTTTTGTGCAAGTCCCAGTTTTGGTGTAGTCCCAGACCCAGCCCTCTTCACGTGAGGTATAGTTCTTTGGGCCCTCACGTAGATCCAGATGACGCCTGTTTGATTCAGCCTTTTAATATTACTATTATAAATATAAACGCAAATCAAAAAATATCACAACTGTAGTGACGTCGGATTTTACACAAATAATGCACGACTTTGGACGATTATCGAGTGAGTTTAAAATTAAATTCAGTTCCATTATTTCTAGTGTCTTTAAGTGTCTCCAAATGTACAGACTTCATGTTTTCCGTCCGTCGCTGGGCCTTACCTCGCCCACTGTCAGACTGTACGATGAGTTCAGGAGGACATGCCGTTGACCAGGCTGCGCAGCTGTTTCACCACCGTCTCGATCAGCTTCTGCTTGTCCCGGTCGTTCTTTCGGAACTGGGAGAACATGTTGTTTTTCTTACTGGTGTCTTTCATCCTGGAGCAAAGAGAACGCAGGAGGTCAAGGAGCGTTCGCCGAGGAACGGAACAGACTCAAACCCAATCCAGACAAGAGTAACCTGAGAACCCAATCCACCCTGAGAACAGGGACTGCAGATGAAAAATAACCTGCTTGGCCAATTCTTAATGCACAATGTCCCTGTCAAATAAACTAACAAAATAAAAATACAAACCAATCTACCAGTTCCATTGACTCCGTGAACAGGTGGGAGGGGCTAACTCCTTTTGCAGATTGAAACGATTGGATCGGAGTTTACCGTGACGTATGTAGTGCGCCCGAGTGACTTGTTAGCATTTAGCATTTAGCCTAGCTATCTCCTTTGCCTCTAACGTAGCCCGTGGGGAGTAGCGCCACAATCTTGACCAGTGATTACATTTGCTAAACATTCCTCTTGCTCCTGCTTCAATTTCTTGATAGAACCAGACCGGATTACTTTACTATCGCATTCTTCGCCATTGCCAAACTACAACCTGCCCGTTCGGCGCAAACTCTTGACGTCACCGGCACCGACCTACAACACCTCCCTTCCGCGCTCTCTGAGTAGCCGGTCGAAATACGACCGATTGTAATCGCTAACACAAGGACCAGACCCAGACGTTACATGCAGTGAAATGATGATTGAGCGGAGAGTACGGATGGCTATGGCCAGGCTACCTGAGAACCCAATCCACCCAGAGATCCCAATCCACCCTGAGAACCCAATCCACCCTGAGAACCCAATCCACCCTGAGAACCCAATCTACCTCGAGAACCCAATCCACCCTGAGAACCCAATCCACCTGAGAACCCAATCCACCTGAGAACCCAATCCACCTGAGAACCCAATCCACCCAGAGATCCCAATCCACCCTGAGAACCCAATCTACCTCGAGAACCCAATCCACCCTGAGAACCCAATCTACCTCGAGAACCCAATCCACCCAGAGAACCCAATCCACCCAGAGAACCCAATCCACCCTGAGAACCCAATCTACCTGAGAACCCAATCCACCCTGAGAACCCAATCTACCTCGAGAACCCAATCCACCCAGAGAACCCAATCCACCCTGAGAACCCAATCCACCCAGAGAACCCAATCCACCCTGAGAACCCAATCCACCCTGAGAACCCAATCTACCTCGAGAACCCAATCCACCCAGAGAACCCAATCCACCCAGAGAACCCAATCCACCCTGAGAACCCAATCTACCTGAGAACCCAATCCACCCTGAGAACCCAATCCACCTGAGAACCCAATCCACCCTGAGAACCCAATCCACCCTGAGAACCCAATCCACCTGAGAACCCAATCCACCCCAGAACCCAATCCACCCAAAGAACCCAATCCACCCTGAGAACCCAATCCTTCGAGAACCCAATCTACCTCAAGAACCTAATCCACCCCGAGGACCCAATCCCACCTCAGAACCTGCAGTGCACAGACACACAAACCCCAAACTTAGGAATGTGGTCAAAATATCAATTTGTTTTAATCTGTTGAAAATAAACAGTTTTGCTTCTGAAAAATCAGATTTTAAAAACTTTATTTTTTTTGGGAAGTGCTCTAGATGTTAGAGATGATTCACTGCTAATGTCGGGGTCTGGTCTCTGAAAAGCGTGAAAAGTGATTTACGACATGGGAAAGTCTAGGGCAGCCTGACAGACGACTGGTTGCCTTGTTTCTGTCGGTGTGCCCCAGGGCAGCTGTGGCTACAGTAGTTCACCGCTGTGTGTGGAGTGAAAGAATAATCACATCGTCTTTGAATGTCCAAAAAAGTGCTGTATAAACCCAATTACCCGCATTATTATAATATTTAATTACTGTAGGGTAAAAGTAAAGCAGTAGTGGTTCATTTAGCAGTAGTGTCATGTTCTTTGACTTGTTTGTGCTCCCAATATATGCCCTTTAATAACATAACATTATATTGACAACTGGAAGACTTTACCCCAGATACCAGCTCTAAGACCAATACATTATCTCTCCTTTCTAAGCACTCTGCATGTAAAAGGAGCAATGAATATCGTTTGAAAATGACTAATATACTTCAGCACAAAACAGGAGTAATGAAGAGCGTCATACGTACCCTCTGTGAACCCTTCAGAAGCAGCAGGAAACAAGAACAGACTTTAGAGGAAGCTAAATAATATGTTTAACAGCTGAGTCATGCATTTGTTTTCATGAAGTGTTGTAGTTTAACCCACTTTCTTCTACAACAACTGAGAACTACTTTAGAAATAGCTACATGTAAAAGATAATTGTAGTGTGTAGTGTGGAGCTGGTCTCACTTCTCCAGCAGAGCCAGGGCTGTGGCGGGATTCACACGCAGGTATTTGGAGTTGGGCTGCCCATAGTCCGCCAGGTACGTGGACCAGTCCCACACCATGAAGAGGTCCAGGAGCTGAGGACACAAGAGATCCAGATGTGGAACTATCCATGGAAACTATCAAGTGGTTGTATATTTACTCTCTTCAGTGTTGGCTGTTCTGCTTCTATGTTGTTTACGTGCACAGACAACATGAAAAATCTACACAGTGCTTTGATTTTAATTGTATAAAGGTAAAGTAATCCTCGTCCTAAAGGATAAGATGAGATGAGATAGACTTTATTGGTCTCACACATGTCACATTTGGCACAGATTCACTCTGATTGTGCAAAAGACAGAAGTGTGAAACATGTTGAAGGTTAAATGGACTGGAATTCAAGATATTCTGTGTTGCTGCTTGAGTTTGGAGTGAAAAGGTGAGATGTGAAAAGTTTACACTAAAATCCTTCGACTAAAACAAAGTCTTTTTGTCCTATCTGATTCACTTCAGTTAGACTCAAGTTAGACTCTGGCTCACTTGGGGCTGAAGTGTGAATGCACCCTGATTTTAAAATGAATATTTGGATGTAAAAACATACGTGGCATTAACCTCTGAATAGTGTAGACTAAACGTGCTGCCATTGTTGCAGCAGGCTGTGAGAGAGCTACAGCATGACGAGTGGGGAGTGTCCGATGGCCAACAGCTTGAGTTCAGTGTTAGCGAGCGGTCAGCAGCCGCTCATCACTCTCTCCAAACACTTGTTTATGCGGGTTGCCAGAGGAACACGTTAGGCGGGACAAGGGAGGAGGGAGCTGTGCTAAAAGATGAGCGTTAGGAGAGCGGGGATCCCCCGGTCCACGACCCTTCGGTCCACGACCCTTCGGTAACCTAATGGAGATGACCCCCCCCACAGACAGTATATGCAAATGTCAGAAACAGCTGGGTGTGAGGTTGAAAGAGCAGCTTACTGATAATGGCATTATTCATCTGCTCAGAGTCTGAGACAAAGGCCCCTCACCTGCAGCTGCACCTCAGACACATCAGCCTCGCTCTAGAACTGCAGCTGACAATGCAACTGGGTCACGAGCATAAGACCTGCTGTCAGTATACAGACAACATACAACACTGTGGTACTGTAGTAGTAGTAAAGTTACTGCAGTACTGTAATAGTAGTAAAGTTCCTGCAGTACTGTAATAGTAGTAAAGTTACTGCAGTACTGTAATAGTAGTAAAGTTACTGCAGTACTGTAATAGTAGTAAAGTTACTGAAGTACTGTAATAGTAGTAAAGTTACTGCAGTACTGTAATAGTAGTAAAGTTACTGAAGTACTGTAATAGTAGTAAAGTTACTGCAGTACTGTAATAGTAGTAAAGTTACTGCAGTACTGTAATAGTAGTAAAGTTACTGAAGTACTGTAATAGTAGTAAAGTTCCTGAAGTACTGTAATAGTAGTAAAGTTACTGTAGTACTGTAATAGTAGTAAAGTTACTGCAGTACTGTAATAGTAGTAAAGTTACTGCAGTACTGTAATAGTAGTAAAGTTACTGAAGTACTGTAATAGTAGTAAAGTTCCTGCAGTACTGTAATAGTAGTAAAGTTACTGAAGTACTGTAATAGTAGTAAAGTTACTGTAGTACTGTAATAGTAGTAAAGTTACTGTAGTACTGTAATAGTAGTAAAGTTACTGTAGTACTGTAATAGTAGTAAAGTTACTGCAGTACTGTAATAGTAGTAAAGTTACTGCAGTACTGTAGTAGTAGTAAAGTTACTGCAGTACTGTAATAGTAGTAAAGTTACTGTAGTACTGTAATAGTAGTAAAGTTACTGCAGTACTGTAATAGTAGTAAAGTTACTGCAGTACTGTAATAGTAGTAAAGTTACTGCAGTACTGTAGTAGTAGTAGTAAGCACGGCTAAGACCAATCAGAAAGGAAGGGGGAGGAGCTTGTGTTGCGCTCTCTTTTTTCTGACAAACTCCAGACTATCACTTTAAGACACATTGACTTTTACTTTAGCTTTAAATCATAGTAATATAAATAAACTTATTCTTCAGTGTTCCATTTTGTTTTATTTTGGTTAAACAATAACAATTGTGTTCAAGTTTACCCAGGCATGATGTGCTTTCTGAAGCAAACTGAATCAAAATGTTAAAGTTTAGGCTGATAAAATGCTTACTTGTTGACACAAAGTTTATATGGAAAAAAACATCCTTGAAAATAAATATCCACATTCAACCCCCGACCATGGGTTTACCATAAAACACTGTAAAGGCAGTTCATGCTGCGCTTAAGAAGCATTTAGCTAGTTATTAAGCATTTAGCTAGTTATTAAGCATTTAGCTAGTTAAGAAGCATTTAGCTAGTTGTTATTAAGCATTTAGCTAGTTATTAAGCATTTAGCTAGTTATTAAGCATTTAGCTAGTTAAGAAGCATTTAGCTAGTTATTAAGCATTTAGCTAGTTATTAAGCATTTAGCTAGTTATTAAGCATTTAGCTAGTTAAGAAGCATTTAGCTAGTTGTTATTAAGCATTTAGCTAGTTATTAAGCATTTAGCTAGTTAAGAAGCATTTAGCTAGTTAAGAAGCATTTAGCTAGTTAAGAAGCATTTAGCTAGTTAAGAAGCATTTAGCTAGTTAAGAAACATCTACTACAACAGCTAGTGGTTTTGTATTTTTGTGTGCTACATCAAAATGTCCCCTCTTTGGAACAAAAAAAAGTTCTCTGATCTTATCTTAAACATAAACAGACATATCTGTAACAAAATCCATTAAGGGAGTGGGAAGAAGATAACTCATTTCCATATATTTCTCTGCTAGTGCAAGAATGAACACAAACAAGGAAACTCAGGAACCTCGACAAACAGAAAATGAACCAACAAGGGTAATTAAAACTTCATAATGTGTGATTAACCCCGGCCGACTGAGAGGGAATGTGATTTTGGCTGTGAACATAGCATGGCCTCAGCGTAACCTCTGCCTCTGTGCATACACCCCGGGCTGGGATTAACACGGCCGCCCTGAGCCACTGTGCGGAGGAAACGCATGAAGAGATCCACAGTGTTGTGTTATAATTATGCCCCAGAGGACTGACACCAGCGCTGCCTCTGCGGGATGTGCCAGAGCTAATGCAGGTGAAAAGTTGAAAAGGTTACGTCTCAGCATTACCTAAGTGAGAAGCGGCCTATTTTTCTAAAAGAACATTGCTGGTATGTGAAGGGTAATCTCAGCCTGCAGTAGAGGAGCCGCTAAACCAGCGAGACATCAATGTTTTTCTAGAGGGGAGACATTTTTCCCCCCCAACTCTGAACATACTATAATAACATCAGTATTTGCTCACAGAGAATCTATGTGTTTTTATCACAGAACGTCAAACCAACAGTGGGGAAGGACAGGGGTATTTAAAGATGTGCCGTATACGTTTTCTAAGTAAGTTGTGAAAAGTCACTGGGATCTCATCATGGAGGAGAATTACGTCCAAACCGGTTTGAAGCAGCTCACATCGGAAACTAAGCAATAGTAAATTAGTGAAGTTGCTAACCTTGGATCTTGAATGCGACTTTTTGTGCAATTATGTTTAAACTGAGGTGTCACAAGTCAGTACTTTTCCACTGGATGTTTTGGTCTGAAGGTAGAACAAAACATGGGTCTCCAACCTATAGCTAGCCACGCTCTTTAAAGTAGCTCAAAGGATAATAAACCAGATTTGTCAAGGGATCGAGACATTTGTTATATCCATGCTTGAATTAAGACTAAAGCTGGTTGCTCCATTGTTTTCAAATCCACAGGAGCGCTCCATTGTGTCGACTGTCTAAGTTTAAAATGAGTAGCTCTCTGCAACTTCTGTCCTGTAAAAGTAGCTCTCCCGAGAAAAAGGCTGGAGAATCCTGGAATAAAATCATGTGAATGTGGCGTCACTTATGCTGAGACAGGATCCCAGACCTCCATCTTTTGTCGATTCCGTCAGTTGCCGTTGTCCTTTCGAGAGGAGCATGGCTTTTAAGACTATTGCAGCGACATCTAACATTGTGATAATTGTATTCATAAAAAATAAAAATGTCACTTTCTTTTGGCCCAAATGGTTGACTTTCCATTTGGACTTTACTCTCTGATCCCTGCGTTTATTTTATGGCAGAAATGTTGTCCCTGTTCGTCACCATGGAAACCAGACACTGTGGGTGGAGCTAACCAAGCTGCTCTTTTTTTTTTTTTTTTTTTTTACTTGAATTGGGACAGTGCACATTCATCAACATGTGTTTTTTTCAAGATATAAATGTGCCAGAGTTAGCCATGTAGGTTAACTCTCATCCGTAGTCCTATGGCAGGTTGATAACTCTCTGATTCTCTTTAGGGAGAAGGAGAAACGTGGATGTGACTGAAGCGCAGGCAGATTGATACGATTTATGATTTTAGCAGAGAAATGTGTGCACAAAGACAGAACGATTTGTGGCACGGGTAACATTCTCACATGAACACACAGAGAAGCTGCGGTTTACACTGAAAACATATGGTGGAAAAGAGTGAGGGAGAGGTGAAGAGCTACGCATGTATTAGTGCTTAATGAGCGACTGAGCAGGGTTAGTGTGAGTGAAACTGCAGCAGAAGGATTTTACCTCATGTGGTTTGTTATCATTTTAATCCCTCGAGTCGTTTAAATGTTTTGAATTACTTGTGTGACTTTGTGTAGAAAAAGTGCTCTAGAATTACTGATTGATTGATAATGGGATCTCAAAACTGCTGTGATTTCGTAAGTCACTTATCTTGATCTTTACCTGTCTCAAGTCGATGAAAGCCAGCTGCAGAGTGTCTCCTTGAAACCCGGGAACCGGTTCGGAGCTTGCAAACACTGAGAAGAAAACACAGACAGGTAAAGTATGCGTTAGTGCGGGCAATGACAGATATGAAACTGTCTCAGCTGAAATACTTACGTTCACACTGAATGACGTCCAGGTTGAACTGCTGCACGGCGCCCATGCTGACCTGCTTGAGCTCTGAGTCCAGCAGCATTTGCATGAGGGAGGTGGAGAGGTGCTTACAGGCCGACATACAGGCCGTCTGAGCCACTTTGCCCTGTGCACAGTCACAACACACTCACAAACTCCACAACTGAAGCATGCAGATGTGCAGCAGACAGCACCGACACCTCACTTACTGCACGACTTCATGTGACAAGTCTGAAAACAGTCTCTTTTGAGAACATCTGTCATGCAGAAAGTGTAGACTAAAGTGTACGGTTTTACGTGTTTCTTGCTCAACAGGAAATGTAATATACTGTAATTGTAAATTAACTAAATGGTTTTACTTTATTGAATCCACATGCATCAAGTCAAACACAAAGATTATGAGGTGTCTCTTGGGAAATACTCTGTACATGAGGCCTAGTCTTGGCACAGTGGGAGTCCCACACGTTCCTGTGGACTAATACATCATGCAGAGGAACACTGGCAGTTACACTGGAAATATATTTGTAGCAGTTACTGTACTTGTCAATTCGACAGGAATAAAGCTCAGCCACTGACCACTGTCTGCATTCTTAATGACACTGGCCCTAATTCAATAAAGTCAGGCTGTCCACAGTTAATTATGCAGACGACAGAGGAATGTGGCAAAGATTTAGAGAGAGCAGTTCAGAACTGTTAAAGCAGCGGGTGATCCATGAAGTGCTGATCAGGGCTTGTGCTCTGTGCTGCAGTGACTACAGTCAATTGTTCTCAGTGTCTTCACAAACGAGCACCATTGAGGACAAACTACTGCCAACTAACCACTGTCACTGATGCTGTATCAAAATACACCTGAGAATCAGCATCTCGTCTGATCAGCGTCTGAAAGCACTGGACTCACAGACAGAACTAACATTGAAGGATTTTAGGCTGCAGTAAAAGCTCTAGTTATCTCTTGCATTGATACTGTGTTTATTATTACACTTGGAAGACAAAAGTCTCATCCATCGTTGGAGTTCATTGTACACAATCCACTACTCTGTTTTTAAAAGATGTGTGTATAATTATCAACAAAACAGCGGAAGCACATTCAAACACACAAACACAAGGATTTTCTGGCTCTAAGCTCGAGTTTAGACTCCAGATCACATGAACACCTTTCTTCAGAGACAGCACTAACTCAGTGAAGATCCTTATTTGCATCACCACCATTACGTGCATGTAAGATACAGACTGGGTATAAAGGGGGCGGAGCCTGAAGAGGCCGACAGAAGGAAGCATGCGCTCCTCAGGGCTCAGGTACTCACCGACATGGACGCATGGTCATTGTTGTTATTCTGAGCACAAGCCCAAATCAACAAAACATGGAAAAGAGGAAGGGAAAGAGGGAGAGGAAAAGAAAAGTGGTAACTGTAAATGGACAGAAGGCATTCAGTTCAACAATACATCTTTTCATGCAAGACGGGGGCCACAGAAAAGGGCATGGTAAAGGCAAGGGTAAGTTTGTAAAGGAGGAAATCATAGATAAGTTTGCAAAGATGGGTTTCCATGCAAAACTCCTAAAAAACAAATAAACTATGAAGTAACCAGAACAGGTCTGCTTCATAACAGAAGGAAGAAGCCACTGCAGCAGTGTGACCAAGCAACAAGCTTCAGAGATTCTTTATAATGTCACCAGACCATCAATAATCAACTCTTAGAATTTTCATAATTTCTCATAATTTGTTTTGTATAGAAGTGCACAAGCTCAGACTAAGTTCTTCACTACTTCCAGACAGAGAAGCACAATTTATAACCTCAACAGTGTCAAACAAGACAATTAGCATAAGAGAGAAAGAAAGAAGCCTCCAGAAGACCACACAGTGGACAGAACAAAATGATAAATAATTGCTCAGAATTTTCCCAAAGACAAGACAAAGGTTGATCTACTGTTGCATTCTAGTCGTTGCCTCTCGTTCTAAAGAATATTTTAACCCGACACAGGAGTATTATCCGAGGCTCCTGACGTACCGGAAGGTGAGTGAACACTTGAAATGTGGAGCGTAGGAAGTTGATGAGGTCCATGAGGTACCCAGAGGCCCGGCCCTCGGACTCAGCCATGCCCCAGTCGTAGTCTGCCAGCTGGATGAACTCGTCGATCTTTTGGTTCAGCTTCGTGTAGATCTCTCCTTCAGCCGCGTGACGAGCGTCCTGCAGACGACGCAGAGGTAAAAGACTGTCCTCCGTTTGCCGGCTGCTGTTTACATTACATTCAATACCAGATCATATTTTTATATTGGCAAGATTCATTCATTTGGTCCAGGCATTTCCAAACCCGCTCAGCACGACCAATAGTCATGCTGTACCTTGTGGTAAAGCTTTCGTTCTTTGAAATCCAGACTTTTATTTGTATCTATTTCTTTGTTTTTGATTGTGCCTGAGGGTGGTGCTCTCTTTGTCACTTTTCTGTCTGAAAAAGCCGATATGAAGATGTGACAGAGGCCAAAAAGACAGAAATGTGAAAACTAGTGCAAGTCAGGTACCCCAGCTTTAACAGCTTACACCAGGCATGGCCAAACTCAGGCCCGGGGGCCAATTGCGGCCCTCAGTGTCATTTTATGTGGCACTCTGCCTCGCTAACACACAGTAGTCTTTTCACTGTCATCCATCCAACTTCAGCTCAGCCATAATAGACATGTTGTAACTCGTTCTAAAGCCCAGTACGTCTGGCGTTCAGCCGTTGACTTGTGAGATGATGAGACGGTAAACATGTGTCATTCAGCCAACTTCATCTCTGTTATAGATCATTTTAAAGCTCAGGACAGCCCGATGGCAGTCAAGACAGTTTTATGACGTCTGCCCCAGGACTAGTCTGGAGAAAAGAAGTGACCCTCTAACTAAAAAGTTTGGACACCCCTGGCTTACACCTTCTGTACCTTGAAGGTGGACAGGCCGTAGAGCCGCGTGGTGTGGACCGTTTCTGGCGACACGTTGGTGATGTTGGTGATGAACTCCTCTAAGTACCTGCAGGCCTGCTCCAGGTGAGTGCTGTTGATGATGATCTGCACCAGCTGCAGAGAAAACATCACCATTAGTAAGGAATAGTTTATTTATATAGCGCATTACTATATGACCTCTCAATGATGTCGAGCCGTATGAGGAGAACAGTCTGCATAACATTTTTAAAACAGAAATTAAACAACAAAGCTTGAATGAAGGTCTAAGAATGATGTGAAATGTTTATTCAGTCTTGTGTTATTTTGTTTTGTAAATGTTTTTATACTGTATGTTTTAAATGTTTTCATGTGAATTGATTCCTTGTGGAGTGGATCCCAGAAAGACTAGCAACCAACGGTGAAAGCTAATGAGGATCCAAATAAATAACTAAGTAAATGAACGTACCTCGGTCAGACCTATGTGGGGCTTCTTAATCAGGTTCTGCAGACAGCTGCTCAGAATTCTAGTCAGGAGTAGATTTGTGGATTTTCTTAACATGTCATCGATCTCAGTTGAGCTGTAAAAACAAACCACATCAGTACTTCACGTCCAGTCAGTGTAGTTGGTAGAATAAAAGCTGACAATAAGTAAACTACCTCCGGTGAAGGGACTCTGAGAATTTAAGACTGGCATAGATAAACTCTTTGACTTGGGAGTAGATTTGAGGCACTGATTGGGACATCGGGAGCTTCTTTGGAAAGTCCTGCTGCTTTGCAAAGAATACACAGAGAAAGAAGGGAGGGAATGTGTTTAAGAATTATTTCAGCAGAGTCTGAGCGTTACCTTCTCCACCTCGGGGTCATGGAAGGGAAAGCGGCTGATGACGGACTTGTATTCCTCCTCCGTCTCCACCGGGATAGGGCTGTAATTGTCCAGTTCAAAGATTTCTCTGCAGAGGAACAAGCAGAATGATTCTCTGACACTGTAGCGCAGCAGGAAACGTCATTTTTAGTCTTATTTTTATAAACACACACCGGAAGACCAGAGCCCACTTCTTCAACAACGTCTCATTGTACTGGTCTCGGACCTCAAACAGCAGATCGAACATGCGGGTGACTGGAAATCCATATCCCTGTGAGCGACATACACATGAGGAGAGCCAACATACTCTACATACACCCTCTACATACATCCTCTACATACATCCTCTATATGCATAAACTTTATTTACATCCTCACGTGTCAAAGTCGAGGCCCGAATGAATTACAATCTATGGCCACCGGGATGATATTTGCCTGCCATAGACGCATTAATACGTCAATAACGTTTTTCCCTATTTTCATGTTCCCAGATGTCTATTATATCTTATAGGTATAGGGGATTAGCTTTAGAGCATATTTTATCGAGCCAGCAGGGGGCACCAGCGCTGCCTCTGGATGTCAATAAACATTGAACCAGTCCGGCCCTCAGCTCGCAGCAAATTTGTTTTTTTGGCCCTCTGATGTATTTGACTTTGACATGCCTGCTCTACATACATCCTCTACATACATCCTCTACATACATCCTCTACATACATCCTCTACATACATCCTCTACATACATCCTCTACATACATCCTCTACATACATCCTCTACATACATCCTCTACATACATCCTCTACATACATCCTCTACATACATCCTCTACATACATCCTCTACATACATATTTGGATCTCTTATAACAATTTGAAGCAACTGTGGTTAAAGTTAAACTGGACGTTCTAATAAGACTATGGAGGACGTTTAGGTCTGAAGGCCAAAGCTGCTGTTACCATGGCAACTGCTGGTTTGGACCGTCTCTGTCCTCCATGGTTTAATATCACATGCACACAGCAATTCTTTGGTCGTGTCTCTTTGTAACATCAGTAAAATGTCTTCTGTCTGTGACGCGACCCCAGACCCCCGTGTCGTGTCCTTCACATACTCTACATACACTGCGGTAAAAAGTATATGGGGCATTTACTCTTCATAGCCTACTTTGATCTAACTGTGTACGTTAGATTTAGTTTAGGGCCGTTGCAAATCGCGACCCCAGTCCCTGCTGATCGAGTCCCATCTCAAACTCTCTCTATATGATCTGGAAAAGCCATAATAACTTCTATACAAACCCTGCACAACATTGGGGCGCATTCTTAAACCACGTCTTATTCCATACGCTCTCCGGTGCACTTCCTGCTCCATTTGTGGGAGACCAAATGTGAGATTTCATAACACTTTGAAGCAACTTTTGTTAAGGTTAAACTCATCATTCTATCAATGTGCAGAAGCCAGTACTTTTCCCTTGTTGTGTCTATCTGAAGGCCAAGCTACAAGCACACCGTGGAAGCTGCTGATTGGAGGTCTCCATGCCTCCGCTCTGTATAATACACTTGCATTCTATTGTATCTGTTGTTCGTGCTGTCTCTACCATCGACAATAAAACATGTCTTCTGTCTGAATGAAAGACGCGATCCCAGACTTTGCCATCTTCTTCAGGTGGTGGAAGGATGCGGGCCTTGTCTGTAACATCTACAGAACAGAAGACTTTTTTTTTTACACAAAAAGTGTTTTTTTTTAAGCCAAAACAGAGAAACCTCAAGAGAATGCATCTGGACCAGCACATGGACAATCTGCACAGCCCCTGATTCCAGTCAGGCTGTGAGCTGCTGAGACATGGACAACACCATCGTCCTCTTTTGCATGGACATGATTTGGAACAATTGGATTTCTGAATTTGGACATAATTTGGACTGAATTGGATTTCTGAATCTGGACACTGAAGCTGAAACGTGTGATTGAAAGACACGTCACAGAAGAATTCATGGCTCGACACAAATGCAGCCTGAAGAATAAACACGGAGAAGTGGGAGAGACTGTTTTCAAAGCAATATCTGGAACCATCGACTGATGAAGTTTGGTATTTTACTGAAGATTGTTGACAAGTTTTATGAAAGATCTGAACATGTTTTATGAGTCTGAGTTTTTGAAGTATTCCGAGTTCTGAGTTTTTTGAAGTACCGAGTTTAAGTATTGAGTTATGATGTTATGTTGCTGTTTATCGATCCTGATGGTCACACGTGAATGTATGACCAGAGGGGGGAATGTGAGATTTCATAACACTTTGAAGCAACTTTTGTTAAAGTTAAACTCATCATTCTATCAATGTGCAGAAGCCAGTACTTTTCCCTTGTTTTGTCTATCTGAAGGCCAAGCTACATGGCACTGTGGCAGCTGCTGATTGGAGGTCTCCATGCCTCCGCTCTGTATAATACACTTGCATTCTGTTGTTCGTGTTGTTCGTGCTGTCTCTACCATTGACAATAAAACATGTCTTCTGTCTGAATGAAAGACGCGATCCCAGACTTTGCCATCTTCTTCACAAATCTTAGTTGTGGCAGCGTCGAGACCTTGCATCAGACTTAAGAGTTAAAATAAATATGTGCGGTTAAAGAAGCTGAACTCATCTTTTCGAGAAATCTGGTTACTCACAGTTAAACACAGAGGAGGGGGAGAAAGGTTTGATTAATTTCTCCTCAAAATGAAAACTGCAGCTTTAGCAAGATAATGATCGAGACTGATAGAGAAGGGACTTTAGGGAAGAGGCAAATATTTCCCCCTTGACTGTAGATATTTTAGGACATCAGAAAAGGCCGCACTGACCTGGAGCGTGTCGGCAAAAATCACTATGAGATTCTTCAGCTCCAAAACCAGGTCTGGGTCGTCACAGTACGACTTGAAAACAGAAACATAGCAATTTGTTACTACCATACTCAACACTCAATCATTGTGGCTATTGTCAGATCTGAAATAAAACATTCAGTGAAAACAGAAACATTTGTGTACTTTGGGCTGGAGAAGGATGCCACTGTGGTCTGTGCTAATCAGTCTTGAAGTAGGAGGCCTGACCTTTCCATTGACAGTAGCGGTCATAAAGTCGTAGTGACTGCAGGAGTGGGCAGTTCCACCCCTCACGACGCCTCACTGTGATTTATTAGCCCCAGAGAGGTCACTGCTCACGGGACACATCATCTTCCTTATGTTGTGTGTAGCCAGTAAACAGAAGTCACGTTTGATGATGGAATTAAAAAAGCCTGAGCAGCGGATGAAGTAAAGTGAATGATTACTGCGGTGGTGGGCTCCTGAAGGCCAGGGGGCATGGGACCCCATACTGTGAGCCTATTCTTCACACTGTTAGCATAATCCTCCTCCTCATTTACAACTGAGTGGACCCCAACCGTCAGGAATATGGCTCCTTAATCTTCCGTTATTGTTAGAATCTGTCTCTCATTAAGTGTCAATCACCTCACTCTGGCCCATTTTCACAACAGAAACATCATTAGTTTATCAGTGCAGGGACTTGCATAATGCATTAACAAACTGCTGTAGTCATTTACAAGTCTGCGTGTGTCAGACTCTAATCCTTACAGAGTGGGTGCGCAGCACAGCAATGATCTTGGCCAAAGCCATGTTCCACAGCTCATCAGTGAAAGCTTTGGTCACCAGGCCTCGGGTCGCATTCAGGACATGATCCTCCACCACAAAGAATCTACAGAAGAAACAATTATTCATTATACAAGTCGTGTTCCATTTAAACTCTATGAAAACATACCCAACAATCTGATTGAAATATCTCCTGTAGCCTTCCACTGTTTCATGCTGCACACACACAAAGGAGAAAGGTTAAAACAGGAGAATAACTGTAGAAAGCTAAACTACATGTTAGTGATGTTATTACCATATTGGCGTGAGGCTGTAGGACGAGCCGCGCTTGTTTCTTCCTTTGCTTCCTGTAGTAGTTTTCAAATGTTTCTCTGTCTCCCTAATTGGAATAATAACATATATTGTACCATTGTATTACTGCAAAATAAACTTGTATTATGTGGTTTATTCAATAAACTAAGACCAAACTCACCAGCACAGTGTAAATGTGTAGACACCTGTAAACAGGAGAGAAGTCCACCAGCTCCTGAGCCGTCAAGATCTAAACATCATCATCACACATCAGGGACACATCAGGGACACATCAGGGACACATCAGGGACATCAGGGACATCAGGGACATCAGGGACACATCAGGGACACATCAGGGACATCAGTGACACATCAGGGACACATCAGGGACACATCAGGGACATCAGTGACACATCAGGGACACATCAGGGACACATCAGGGACATCAGGGACACATCAGGGACACATCAGGGACATCAGGGACACATCAGGGACACATCAGGGACACATCAGGGACATCAGGGACACATCAGGGACACATCAGGGACATCAGTGACACATCAGGGACACCAGTGACACATCAGGGACACCAGTGACACATCAGGGACACATCAGGGACATCAGGGACACATCAGGGACACATCAGGGACATCAGTGACACATCAGGGACACATCAGGGACACATCAGGGACACATCAGGGACATCAGTGACACATCAGGGACATCAGTGACATCAGTGACACATCAGGGACATCAGGGACACATCAGGGACATCAGGGACATCAGAGACACATCAGGGACACATCAGGGACACATCAGGGACATGTCAGGGACACATCAGGGACACATCAGGGACACATCAAGGACACATCAGGGACATGTCAGGGACATCAGGGACACATCAGGGACATGTCAGGGACATCAGGGACACATCAGGGACACATCAGGGACATCAGGGACACATCAGGGACACATCAGGGACATCAGGGACACATCAGGGACATCAGGGACACATCAGGGACACGTCAGGGACACGTCAGGGACACATCAGGGACATCAGGGACACATCAGGGACATCAGGGACACATCAGGGACACATCAGGGACACATCAGGGACACATCAGGGACGCATCAGGGACACATCAGGGACACATCAGGGACATCAGGGACACATCAGGGACACATCAGGGACACATCAGGGACACATCAGGGACACATCAGGGACACATCAGGGACATCAGGGACGCATCAGGGACACATCAGGGACACATCAGGGACACATCAGGGACATCAGGGACACATCAGGGACACATCAGGGACATCAGGGACATCAGGGACACATCAGGGACACATCAGGGACATCAGGGACGCATCAGGGACACATCAGGGACACATCAGGGACACATCAGGGACACATCAGGGACATCAGGGACACATCAGGGACATCAGGGACATCAGGGACACATCAGGGACACATCAGGGACATCAGGGACACATCAGGGACATGTCAGGGACATCAGGGACACATCAGGGACACATCAGGGACATGTCAGGGACACATCAGGGACACATCAGGGACATCAGGGACACATCAGGGACATCAGGGACACATGTCACAGCCGTTTAGTTTTCAGGAAGTCCATGTTACCTCTTCGTCTTCCTCCATCTCCTCATCCATCTGTCCGTTGTGAGTCAGAGAGTATGAAGGCTGAGTGTAGTGTCCAGTGCTGCTCTGTTTGGCCACTGCACTGTTGAACGTTCTGTGCTGTTGGGCCTGTTGGGTTCATGATAGAGTTAGCCCTCTGCAAGATATGCTAACAGCATTCTGCTACAGCTAACAGCATTCTGCTACAGCTAACAGCATTCTGCTACAGCTAACAGCATTCTGCTACAGCTAACAGCATTCTGCTACAGCTAACAGCATTCTGCTACAGCTAACAGCATTCTGCTACAGCTAACAGCATTCTGCTACAGCTAACAGCATTCTGCTACAGCTAACAGCATTCTGCTACAGCTAACAGCATTCTGCTACAGCTAACAGCATTCTGCTACAGCTAACACAGCATTCTGCTACAGCTAACAGCATTCTGCTACAGCTAACAGCATTCTGCTACAGCTAACAGCATTCTGCTACAGCTAACAGCATTCTGCTACAGCTAACAGCATTCTGCTACAGCTAACAGCATTCTGCTACAGCTAACAGCATTCTGCTACAGCTAACAGCATTCTGCTACAGCTAACAGCATTCTGCTACAGCTAACAGCATCTTCGCTATCGCATTCTGCTACAGCTAACAGCATTCTGCTACAGCTAACAGCATTCTGCTACAGCTAACAGCATTCTGCTACAGCTAACAGCATTCTGCTACAGCTAACAGCACTCTGCTACAGCTAACAGCATTCTGCTACAGCTAACAGCATTCTGCTACAGCTAACAGCATTCTGCTACAGCTAACAGCATTCTGCTACAGCTAACAGCATTCTGCTACAGCTAACAGCATTCTGCTACAGCTAACAGCATTCTGCTACAGCTAACAGCATTCTGCTACAGCTAACAGCATTCTGCTACAGCTAACAGCATTCTGCTACAGCTAACAGCATTCTGCTACAGCTACAGCATTCTGCTACAGCTAACAGCATTCTGCTACAGCTAACAGCATTTCTACAGCTAAAGCAGCATCTGCTACAGCTAACAGCATTCTGCTACAGCTAACAGCATTCTGCTACAGCTAACAGCATTCTGCTACAGCTAACAGCATTCTGCTACAGCTAACAGCAACAGCATCTGCTACAGCTAACAGCATTCTGCTACAGCTAACAGCATTCTGCTACAGCTAACAGCATTCTGCTACAGCTAACAGCATTCTGCTACAGCTAACAGCATTCTGCTACAGCTAACAGCATTCTGCTACAGCTAAACAGCATTCTGCTACAGCTAACAGCATTCTGCTACAGCTAACAGCATTCTGCTACAGCTAACAGCATTCTGCTACAGCTAACAGCATTCTGCTAAGCAATCTGCTAACGCTGCTACAGCATTGCACGCTACAATCTGCTACAGCTAACAGCATTCTGCTACAGCTAACAGCATTCTGCTACAGCTAACAGCATTCTGCTACAGCTAACAGCATTCTGCTACAGCTAACAGCATTCTGCTACAGCTACAGCAGCATTCTGCTACAGCTAACAGCATTCTGCTACAGCTAACAGCATTCTGCTACAGCTAACAGCATTCTGCTACAGCTAACAGCATTCTGCTACAGCTAACAGCATTCTGCTACAGCTAACAGCATTCTGCTACAGCTAACAGCATTCTGCTACAGCTAACAGCATTCTGCTACAGCTAACAGCATCTCTGCTACAGCTAACAGCATTCTGCTCTACAGCTAACAGCATTCTGCTACAGCTAACAGCATCTGCTGCTACAGCTAACAGCATTCTGCTACAGCTAACAGCTACCAGCATCTGCTACAGCTAACAGCATTCTGCTACAGCTAACAGCATTCTGCTACAGCTAACAGCATCGCTCAGCTAACAGCATTCTGCTACAGCTAACAGCATTCTGCTACAGCTAACAGCATTCTGCTACAGCTAACAGCATTCTGCTACAGCTAACAGCATTCTGCTACAGCTAACAGCATTCTGCTACAGCTACAGCATTCTGCTACAGCTAACAGCATTCTGCTACAGCTAACAGCATTCTGCTACAGCTACAGCTGCATTCTACAGCTACATCTGCTACTAACAGCATTAACTTCTACAGCTACAGCTAACACAGCATTCTGCTACAGCTAACAGCATTCTGCTACAGCTAACATCGCAGTCATCTGCTACAGCTAACAGCACTCTGCTACAGCTAACAGCATTCTGCTACAGCTAACAGCATTCTGCTACAGCTAACAGCATTCTGCTACAGCTAACAGCATTCTGCTACAGCTAACAGCATTCTGCTACAGCTAACAGCATTCTGCTACAGCTAACAGCATTCTGCTACAGCTAACAGCATTCTGCTACAGCTAACAGCATTCTGCTACAGCTAACAGCACTCTGCTACAGCTAACAGCATTCTGCTACAGCTAACAGCATTCTGCTACAGCTAACAGCATTCTGCTACAGCTAACAGCATTCTGCTACAGCTAACAGCATTCTGCTACAGCTAACAGCATTCTGCTACAGCTAACAGCATTCTGCTACAGCTAACAGCATTCTGCTACAGCTAACAGCATTCTGCTACAGCTAACAGCATTCTGCTACAGCTAACAGCATTCTGCTACAGCTAACAGCATTCTGCTACAGCTAACAGCATTCTGCTACAGCTAACAGCATTCTGCTACAGCTAACAGCATTCTGCTACATGTGTCTGTGTTTGTGGAATCATACTTGTCTCATGGCCGTCTCTCCCACTTTGTCCGAGTGTTTTCTGATGCTCTCCAGAAAGTCCTTCAGGTCCGACATGGAGATCTCCTTGATCTCCTCTCGGAGCCGCGGCAGATTTTCAGCCATGATTTGGCAGAATCTATATTGACTCACTCTGTGAACAAAACAAGCATGTAATGTTTCAATGGTTTTGTTTTAATTAAAAGTAATAATGGATCAAATAAATCCAAGCAACACAAACACCAGAATAATAAAGGCTTAAACTGGATCCTTGATCGTACCTGGGAATGTAGACTTTCTCCAGCTGCTCCATGGTCTTCAACGCTGCATAATATCTGCACATGTACATCAGTCATTCAGGCATTTATAAGTCTCCCTCACATCCACAAACTCAAAGGATTTGTTGGTTAATTATAGGTAATGCTAATTACTCAGATATGTTTGAGGAAAGAACTCTGAATTAAAACATTTCACATTATAAAGTTTACATTTCAACATTGAAGATTATAATTGGTGTTATAGTTTTTCGTTAGTGTAAGTATAAAACAGCTGATCAGTGATGACCCTTACCTTTTGACCTCCAGCTGCTCCTTCAGTTTACTGTACATTTCCAGAACTGAAAATCAAAAGACGTGAACCAACATCAGCTCTAAATGATGAACATGAAACTACAAATAAAACACTTTTTGTTTGCCTCATGCTTTGCTTAAATTATCTACATTTTTTTTTTTTAAACTTCAACGTATTAAATGATTATTATCATTGTTACAAACAACAATAGTATAAATGTGGCGTTAGGAAGTGCAGTCCTGCCCTCTAGAGGCCAGGCAGGATATGACAGGCGCCACAACCCCTGCTGACTCTATATACAGCCTATGGTCAAACCCTGTGATAATGACAATAGTTTATATTATAATGAGATTTAGGTGTTTTTCAGCCCTCATACAAAAGCATGTATAAACTATATAATCTGTATAATCTAAATTTATTGACATGGATTGCATGGACGGATTAACATTTAATCATCTGAAACAGCATATATAATACATGCTGATATCTGAATGTATGTTTGAGATGTTTTAATCGTTGAGACAGACACTAAACACATTGTATCTAAGAACGTAACATTTCTATTTTGATTCAATCATTGTATGGCGACAAAGACGTTAGAGGAATGGGTCATTATCAGTGTTCTAGCGCCCCCTGGCGATAAGCTGAAGAGTGGCCCTTAATAAAAGTGTCCAAATGTAGCTAGTGTGGTTTAAATACACGTGCGTCTGTCAAAAAGCGTTTGACAGAGTAAACTGGTCTTTTCTAATATCAACATTACAAACATTTGGCTTTGGGGAGTCATTTATAAACTGGATACAAATTCTACACACCTCAGCCACAGCTACAGTAACAACAAATGGAATAATCTCACAACCATTCACTCTCCACAGAGGAACCAGGCAAGGATGTCCACTCTCTCCAGCACTTTTCACAATATTTATTGAACCACTAGCAGCAGCAATCCGCCAAAGCCCAAAAATCACCGGAATTCAGACACCCACTGGACACCATAAAATCAGCCTTTATGCCGATGATATATTATTATACCTGCAACACCCATACACATCCCTAACAGAAACAATCAAACTTATACAACAATTCTCAAATATCTCAGACTATTCAATCAACCTTCACAAATCAACCATACTCCCTGTACAACATGACAGCTGGGATGCAGTGGTCCATCCCCCTCCCATTCCCATATCTAAACATATTACCTACCTTGGCATTAGGATCTCCCCCAGGCTGTCAGAGCTGTTTCATCTAAACTACACTCCACTCCTCAAATCAATCACAGACAACCTTCAACGCTGGATGAATCTACCCCTATCCCTCATTGGTCGAATAGCAACTATCAAAATGTCAATTCTCCCCAAAATAAATTATCTTCTCTCCATGATCCCAATCACCCCAACATCATCCTGGTTCCAATCCCTTAACTCTATCATATCAAAATTTTACTGGAAAAACAAAACTCCCAGAATAAAGCTCACAACATTACAAAAACCCAAATCACAAGGAGGACTTGGCGCACCAAACTTCACTCACTACTCGACAGCAATTCATATGCAATATATTTATAAATGGACACACCCACACCCTGCAGACAATACCTGGTCCGACATTGAACAGACAATCTGTGGAAATATATCATTATCTGACCTTCCATTTCACAGCAGCTCAATTAAACGACACCCATGCTTCACATTCTATACAATATCATCAGCTCTGACAGCCTGGTGGAAATTTTATAAAATCACTAACACCACTCCCACACCATCCATCTTCACCCCCATCTGGAACAACCTAGACCTCCTACAGTTCAAGAAACCATTACATTTTCGTACATGGGCAGAGGCAGGCATCACACACCTACAACACATTTTTCATGACAACACACTGGTTTCATTCTCGCACCTGGTCCAGAAGTTTGGCATCAGGGACACACAATATCTCGAGTACCATCAATTAAAATCAATCATCCAAAAATCATATGACACAAAAAATATAGATCTCACTCTCCCCCCACCAATTACAAGATTACTAAATATCAAGACCCCAAAAAAAATAACTGCCAACATCTACAGAATCATCATCCATTCAAATTATACAATCACCTTACCAACAGAAAAATGGGAAACAGACCTTGGAATTGCCCCTGATGCCAGCTTCTGGACCCAAATATGTAACAACATCTACAACATGTCTGACAACGCAAACCTTCACCTGATACAGTACAAAATATTACACAGAACACATCTCACCGGACAGAAAATGTCAAAATTCAGCTCATGTACAGACAAATGCACCAACTGCACACAAAACTCAACTGACACGCACATACATGCTTTTTGGCTCTGCCCCCCTGTTCTTCAATTCTGGAAAGAAGTGACAGAAACCCTCTCAACCATTATGGACCACTGCATCCCCCACAGCCCTTTACACTGTCTACTCGGCGACACATCCACTCTAACCTTAGACCCAGCAGACCAACAACTTACCCTGATAGCACTAACAATTGCAAAAAAAACAATACTCCTCAACTGGAAAAAAAAAATCAAAGTCAACACTTCACAGTGGAAAGATCTCCTCCTAGAACACTTATCCTTTGAACAAACATCCACCAATCACAGAATTACTGAAACACCCAGCAACTGGAACAAACTCATACTTTATCTTACAAATTAACTAATTGCATTGTCACTGTTATTATTATTGTTACGATAATTTGAATTGTTATGATTATTATTATTACTTTTATTTTTTATTTTCTATTTTTATTTTAATGTTAATTTAGTTTTCATATTATTATTATATATTATTGTTATAATGATTATTATTGTGGATTTATCTTATTTTTTTCTCTCTTTATTTTTGCTCACTTGTGTTATTATTTTTATTGTTTTTTATTTTTATTATTATTATTATTATTATTATTATTATTTTTTTTTTTTTGTTCGTATAGTTTCTGCTTAACTATTAATATTATAAATTATATAATTAGTATTTACACATACAAGATATATCATATTTGAATATGTAGAATAAGCAATGGGGAACGGTGATGGTGAGGAAGCAACAATAATAAGTAATATTGTTTAATTTAATTAATACACATTGTATGATAAATATATGGACTCCTCCCACAAGCATCCCAGGCACATGCCTTTTTAATGCACAACACCTCACGCAGATATTTTTCTTTTTAATACACCACACAATCACAGACAAACTATTGAGGAAAGCTGTCGGAAGAGTGCCAGTAATAATGCTACTGTTAAGGACGCTAGTATGGTCATAATTATTATCTTCATCATCGCCATTGTCGCTATTGCTGTTATAAAAAAAAAAAAAAAAAAAAAGAGGTTTTGTATATATATATATATATATATATATATATATTTTAATTGTCTTTGTTTTTTTTTTTTTGTTTTTTGTTTTTTCTATTATAAAAATATAAAGTAAATAATAAGTAACACACAGACACACACACACACACACACACACACACGCACAAACATGGAAGACCCCCCCCCCCTTCCCCCCTTCCCCCCCTTCCCCCCCATGTATGTATGTTCATGTTGTTTTGTTTAAATAAAAAAAAATAAAAAAAAAATAAAAAAAAAAATACACGTGCGTCTGATAATCCAGCAGCTACAGTTCTTTACATAAAGATAAAGGAGACAGTGGCTCTGAAACAGAAAAGTCCAAAGTCCGGCTCAGCATACTTACTTTAACTGTTAGCTTCCATGACTCATTTACCTTTTCTATTTTGCCAATAAACGAGTGTCCTGTAGCTACTAAAACTTGATGTTGTCAAATGCATTACTGAAATAACCCCACTATGTGAAGAATACAGGGTCTTTTCATTGTAATAAGTCCATTAATCAAACGACATACATTAGCCGCATTCCTTTACAGACCACAGCGTGACAAGAGTCATTCTAAAGTACCTGGAATACAGAGCTGCATTTTCTCCACAGTTGTGGCCATGTTTCTTTGCTGAATACGACAACGAATCACATCTTCCGTCTGAACGGTCACCTGCACAACACACAAAAAGGAATGTCAAAAATAGAGAACTATCGGCAATTTACACTTGGAAGCAGTTACACCGCATTCACATTCACTGCCTTTTTTTTCTCACTGTCTAAAACTAAACATCTGGCTTTATACCGTATATTGTGGGTATACTGAGTCACTATAGAGTCGTATAGTAAAGTAAAGTATAAGTGTAAACCTTATTCACCTTTTTCACCCGGAGAGCTACTTTCTCGGGACGATAAAAGCACCTTCTTTTCAGCGAGAAGGTGTCATGTGTCTACGTAAGTTTCCTCCAGGTGCTCCGGTTTCCCCCACCACTAAAAACATGCACAATAGGTCTGACATGTGCCTCCTGTACTGGCCTCACTACCATCTCTGTGTGGAGTCAAAATACAAAATACCCACAATTCTAAAGTGCTTTGTGAGTCTGGTCTGTGAAAGGAGTTATATAAATACAGATTATTTACTAGTCGCCTCTGGGACAAATGTGGTGATCTACTGATGTGAACGAGGCTGATATTGTGTACAGTCAATATTTATCACATATTTGTTACTAGGGACAGAGTTCGACCATTTACAATAATAAAAAATGAAAATGAATAATAAAATCTGAAATATTAAGTATATTATTTGATTTGTTCATTTCTAAATCCTTTGGCCTTTAACTGGTGGCTCCAGAGTCCCCTGCACAACATAAACATTAAAGAGCGACTAAACACCAAATCAACTTTTTTTAACTCAAAAACCGCATAAATATGTTTATTGTGGTGCTCTCTAAATATCCTGGTCATTTTTGACATTTTAGTGCAAATTAGATAAAATCTCACTTTTGAGCCTAAAAACGTCTGTGTGGCGCCCTCTCAACTTTTTCGGTGGTACTACATTTGAATTTGGTCCTGGCCTCTCATTGGCTCTGGAGTGTGTGACGTCAGTTGGTGTGTGTGATATCAGTTTGTGTGTGTGTGACGTCAGTTGGTGTGTGTGACGGCAGTTGGTGTGTGTGTGATGTCAGTTGGTGTGTGTGACGTCAGTTTGTGTGTGTGACGTCATTGTGTGTGGTGTGTGTGTGACGTCTTGGTGTGTGTGACGTCAGTTGGTGTGTGTGACGTCAGTGTGTGTACGTCAGTTGTGTGTGTGTGACGTCAGTTGGTGTGTGTGACGTCAGTTGTGTGTGTGTGACGTCAGTGTGTGACGTCAGTGTGTGTGACGTCAGTTGTGTGTGTGTGACGTCAGTTTGTGTGTGTGTGACGTCAGTTGGTGTGTGTGTGACGTCAGTTGTGTGTGTGTGACTCAGTTGTGTGTGTGTGATGTCAGTTGGTGTGTGTGACGTCAGTTGGTGGTGTGTGTGACGTCAGTTGGTGTGTGTGACGTCAGTTGGTGTGTGTGACGTCAGTTGGTGTGTGTGACTCAGTTGTGTGTGACGTCAGTTGGTGTGTGTGACGTCAGTTGGTGTGTGTGTGACGTCAGTTGGTGTGTGTGTGACGTCAGTTGGTGTGTGTGACGTCAGTTGGTGTGTGTGACGTCAGTTGGTGTGTGTGACGTCAGTTGGAGTGTGTGACGTCAGTTGGTGTGTGTGATGTCAGTTGGTATGTGTGACGTCAGTTGGTGTGTGTGACATCAGTTGGTGTGTGTGTGACGTCTGTTGGTGTGTGTGTGACGTCAGTTGGTGCGTGTGAGTCATGGTGTGTGACGTCTTGTGTGTGACGTCAGTTGTGTGTGTGACGTCAGTTGGTGTGTGTGTGACGTCAGTTGGTGTGTGTGACGTCAGTTGGTGTGTGTGTGACGTCAGTTGGTGTGTGTGACGTCAGTTGGTGTGTGTGACGTCAGTGGTGTGTGTGACGTCAGTTGGTGTGTGTGACGTCAGTTGGTGTGTGTGACGTCAGTTGGTGTGTGTGTGATGTCAGTTGGTGTGTGTGTGTGACGTCAGTTGGTGTGTGTGTGTGACGTCAGTTTGTGTGTGTGTGACGTCAGTTGGTGTGTGTGTGACGTCAGTTGGAGTGTGTGACGTCAGTTGGTGTGTGTGACGTCAGTTGGTGTGTGTGACGTCAGTTGGTGTGTGTGACGTCAGTTGGTGTGTGTGACGTCAGTTGGTGTGTGTGACGTCAGTTGGTGTGTGTGTGTGACGTCAGTGTGTGTGTGTGTGTGTGTGTGACGTCAGTTGGTGTGTGTGTGTGACGTCAGTTTGTGTGTGTGTGTGATCTCAGTTGGTGACGTCAGTTGGTGTGTGTGACGTCAGTTGGTGTGTGTGTGACGTCAGTGTGTGTGTGTGTGTGACGTCAGTTTGTGTGTGTGTGTGATCTCAGTTGGTGACGGCAGTTTGGTGTGTGTGACGTCAGTTGGTGTGTGTGTGACGTCAGTGTGTGTGTGTGTGATCTCAGTTGGTGACGTCAGTTGGTGTGTGTGACGTCAGTTGGTGTGTGTGACGTCAGTTGGTGTGTGTGACGTCAGTTGGTGTGTGTGTGATGTCAGTTGGTATGTGTGACGTCAGTTGGTGTGTGTGACGTCAGTTGGTGTGTGTGTGACGTCAGTTGGTGTGTGTGTGACGTCAGTTGGTGTGTGTGTGACGTCAGTTGGTGTGTGTGACGTCAGTTGGTGTGTGTGACGTCAGTTGGTGTGTGTGACGTCAGTTGGTGTGTGTGACGTCAGTTGGTGTGTGTGACGTCAGTTGGTGTGTGTGACGTCAGTTGGTGTGTGTGACGTCAGTTGGTGTGTGTGTCATGTCAGTTGGTATGTGTGACGTCAGTTGGTGTGTGTGACGTCAGTTTGTGTGTGTGACGTCAGTTGGTGTGTGTGTGACGTCAGTTGGTGTGTGTGTGACGTCAGTTGGTGTGTGTGTGACGTCAGTTGGTGTGTGTGACGTCAGTTGGTGTGTGTGACGTCAGTTGGTGTGTGTGACGTCAGTTGGTGGTGTGTGTGACGTCAGTTGGTGTGTGTGACGTCAGTTGGTGTTGTGTGTGACGTCAGTTGGTGTGTGTGACGTCAGTTGGTGTGTGTGACGTCAGTTGGTGTGTGTGTGACGTCAGTTGGAGTGTGTGACGTCAGTTGGTGTGTGTGTGACGTCAGTTGGTGTGTGTGTGACGTCAGTTGGTGTGTGTGTGACGTCAGTTGGTGTGTGTGTGACGTCAGTTGGAGTGTGTGACGTCAGTTGGTGTGTGTGACGTCAGTTGGTGTGTGTGTGACGTCAGTTGGTGTGTGTGTGACGTCAGTTGGTGTGTGTGTGACGTCAGTTGGTGTGTCTGTGACGTCAGTTGGTGTGTGTGTGACGTCAGTTGGAGTGTGTGACGTCAGTTGGTGTGTGTGACGTCAGTTGGTGTGTGTGACGTCAGTTGGTGTGTGTGACGTCAGTTGGTGTGTGTGACGTCAGTTGGTGTGTGTGACGTCAGTTGGTGTGTGTGTGTGAGGTCAGTGTGTGTGTGTGTGTGTGACGTCAGTTGGTGTGTGTGTGTGACGTCAGTTTGTGTGTGTGTGACGTCAGTTGGTGTGTGTGTGACGTCAGTTGGAGTGTGTGACGTCAGTTGGTGTGTGTGACGTCAGTTGGTGTGTGTGACGTCAGTTGGTGTGTGTGACGTCAGTTGGTGTGTGTGTGTGATGTCAGTGTGTGTGTGTGTGTGTGACGTCAGTTGGTGTGTGTGTGTGACGTCAGTTTGTGTGTGTGTGTGATCTCAGTTGGTGACGTCAGTTGGTGTGTGTGACGTCAGTTGGTGTGTGTGTGACGTCAGTGTGTGTGTGTGTGTGTGACGTCAGTTTGTGTGTGTGTGTGATCTCAGTTGGTGACGGCAGTTGGTGTGTGTGACGTCAGTTGGTGTGTGTGTGACGTCAGTGTGTGTGTGTGTGTGTGACGTCAGCTTGTGTGTGTGTGTGATCTCAGTTGGTGACGTCAGTTGGTGTGTGTGACGTCAGTTGGTGTGTGTGACGTCAGTTGGTGTGTGTGACGTCAGTTGGTGTGTGTGACGTCAGTTGAAGTGTGTGACATCAGTTGGTGCGTGTGACGTCAGTTGGTGTGTGTGTGACGTCAGTTGGTGTGTGTAACGTCAGTTGGTGTGTGTGACGTCAGTTGGTGTGTGTGACGTCAGTTGGTGTGTGTAACGTCAGTTGGTGTGCGTGACGTGCGTCTGTCTGCGCCAGTGATATAAACCTATATATAAATTACATGAGTTGACAACCACTGCTGCTGAGATAATTCTGTGGCTTAGGTTCAGGTGTAAACTAGGGTGGAATGAGACTTTCTGGTGTGTTAACTTTAGCTTAAAGCAAAAGTGTGGGCTGTGATTGACTAGTGAGCTGTCAATCACAGCCCAGACCACGCCCAACTCTAAGCCCCCCTTCTTGTCCCTTGGTCCTCCAGGCATCGCCAGTCGCTCTTTACGAAAGCACTAAATATATGTTGTTTACTGGGTTTTGTCCTAGTTTAGCTTCGGTTTCATGTTGGTGCAGACTTTGACATCTGCTTGTACCTCTCTTCCGGCTTCCTGCAGTCTGCGGTTGGTGTCTCTGACTTGACCCTGTGAAAATAGGATCATATAACTACTAGTTCAAACACCTCACCCACACTGTCCCATCTGCTTCAAACATAATACACAAATTATAAACCAGCATTTGCATAATCAGGGCTGACCAGTAGTTTCTCTGCATCAGCGCGGACTTTGAGCAGCTCTGTGATGGCGTCCACAAAACCCTGGTGGTGGAAGTTGCACATCTTTTCAATCTCCCGGTCGTGGTTTCGAATCCGGGCATCCAGCTTTTCCATAAAACGCTTGTGGGCATTGGGCTGATCATCGTAAATGGACCTGGGATACACAAAGACACAATGTTAGTCTACAACAAAGCTTTGAAGATACAAGAACGAGGATCTTAGTTAGAGCTTTTAGCAAAGGGATTCAGATTCAGCTGAGTCATGTTCAGACCTGTATAATGAAGTACGGCATCATAGATATTCATTCACATTATATGGAGCTGAATTTGGCTGAATGACAAATGTTTTATATTCTCCCTTACTGCAGATAGAAATGTTGTGTCAAATAAATGACATGAAGTCAACGACTGGATTCCAGTGGTTCTGAGCTTTACCACAGCTGTAAAGTATTGGCAGAGCTGAAGTTGGCTGGATGACACTGTGAACTCGCCTCACTTCGTTAGTGATTCTTCTGGGACAGGTGACTGAATACACCTCATGTCATTAATGAACGACTGTGTTGTATTCATGCAGTATACCTGTCTGCAGTATACATGTCCGTGGTACTGTCATGCCTGTGGTATACATTATCCCAGTATCCATGTCTGCCGTATTCATTACCACAGTCTACATATCTGTGGTGTATACTGTATGTCTGCAGTATACATGTATGAGGTATACATGTCTGCAGTATTCTTCAGCCCAGTATACAGGTCTGCAGTATACATGTATGAGGTATACATGTCTGCAGTATACATGTCTGCAGTATTCTTCAGCCCAGTATACAGGTCTGCAGTATACATGTATGAGGTATACATGTCTGCAGTATACATGTCTGCAGTATTCTTCAGCCCAGTATACAGGTCTGCAGTATACATGTCTGTGGTAATGTCATGTGTGTGGTATTCAATACCCCAGTATACAAGTCTGAAGTATACACGTCTGCAGTAATGTCATGTGTGTGGTATTCAATACCCCAGTATACACGTCTGCAGTATACACGTCTGCAGTATACACGTCTGCAGTATACACGTCTGCAGCATACACGTCTGCAGTATATATGTCTGCAGTACATATAACATGGTGATGGTGATTGACAGCTGCCTTACGCCACACCCACAGATGGTGAACGTCAGGTCCCGGAAGTCCACGCGCGACATCAGATATAGAAATAATGGATCACAAATGACCACTAAGTGAAATGTGGATGATTCTGGTCCTTGGTGTTTACTGGTTCTGTTCTGCTGCATATAGTGCTCAGTGTTCGGACCATGGGTCTGTAATAGTCCGGACCATAGACCGTTAGCTGGGGCTAGCTCGTAAACAAAGGTCCTGGATCTGAATCATACACAGAACAAACATGCTGTATTCGGACTGGGTGTAAACAGGACCGGTCCCTCACCGCAGCGTGGGGCCCACGCAGGCCGTCTCCGTGCTCTCGATCTCCTGTAAAATGCGTTCGTGCTCCGTTACACACTCCAGGCTCCCTGTGTCCGCCATGACTGCTGTCTGCAGCGGAGCAGTGCGCACTGCGGCCGCTAGAGGGCGCTAATAGCACCAGTGTTACACTGTCTACAGTGTCCTCAGTGTCCTCTGTCCTCTCTGTCCTCTCTGTCCTCAGTTTCTACAGTGTCCTCTCCAGTCAGTCAGATCAGTCACAGATCAGTCACAGATCCTAAAATAATCTATTAAAGCTGGGATGCCAAACTTATTTAAAAGTGATTCATGTGGTTTGTCACAAACAAAAGAGCATTGTAAAAGTAAAATGTCATCAACCAATGAGACCACTACATGCGGTCTTCAAACGGAGGTAGCCCTGTGAGTCACTACTTTACACTTCTGGCTGAGTGGCCAGAATTACGGTTTAAAAATCCATATACTTTGTTCTTTGTCATTGTGTTCTCAGACAGTGATTGGTGGTGGTTGAAATGGCAAATGACAATGACAGTTAAATGGCAGCCTCACTTCAAGTAGTCTGCCCCAGGGCAGCTGTGGCTACAGTAAAAGGTTACATGGTAACAATGAATAATGCCATGGATATTTTTTTGTTTTGTTATGGCATTACATGATAGTGTGTGTTACAAATACATGTTATTCTCTTTAATAGAAGTATTATTAATAATTCTGCCACTACCATTTAATCTAAAGGTCTTTCTCTGCCGTACCGTAGGGTGGTCCCCAGAGGCAGGTCCACAGACTCCAGCTCCGCACAGATGTGAGTGAAGTCCTCGTCCTCTCGCTCCTCCGTCCCAGACTCTGCTCCTGTCGCCATCAGAGCTCCAGGTTCAGTTCAGAGCTCCAGGCTCAGCTCAGAGCTCCAGGCTGCAGTTCAGAGCTCCAGGCTTCAGCTCAGAGCTCCAGGCTGCAGTTCAGAGCTCCAGGTTCAGCTCAGAGCTCCAGGCTCAGCTCAGAGCTCCAGGTTCAGTTCAGAGCTCCAGGCTGCAGTTCAGAGCTCCAGGCTCAGCTCAGAGCTCCAGGTTCAGTTCAGAGCTCCAGGCTGCAGTTCAGAGCTCCAGGCTCAGCTCAGAGCTCCAGGCTGCAGTTCAGAGCTCCAGGCTTCAGCTCAGAGCTCCAGGCTGTAGTTCAGAGCTCCAGGCTCAGCTCAGAGCTCCAGGCTGCAGTTCAGAGCTCCAGGCTTCAGCTCAGAGCTCCAGGCTCAGTTCAGAGCTCCAGGTTCAGCTCAGAGGTCCAGGCTCAGTTCAGAGCTCCAGGCTGCAGTTCAGAGCTCCAGGCTGCAGTTCAGAGCTGGACACATGCTTCATCAGCACAAAGGAAGCCTGGCAGAGACAAGGACCTTGTGATTCAATGAACTTTGGAACACCCCACACCAATAGCTGACTTCAGACTATCCACACTATCCATGTGCAGCAATGATAGATATGAGATGTCTCCAGTCGACAAAAGTGATTGTAATTATTCTCTAAGTTATAAGTAAGTTAAACTTTCATTGAAGTATAACTTTACTTCATTAAAAGCCACGGCTGAGGATCCTCCTGCCGTTGTCTTATGAATGTAATGTTGCACAGATGAAGGTTATAATGCTCCTATGTCTCTTTGAACCTCGGTCTTTATCCTGCCTTTTGTCTGTGGAAGTTTATTCATGAAAGTATTGTGAAGTTTCCACAACCACTTCTCCTTTCCTGCCATTCTTCTGCAGAAGGATTGGCTCATTGTGAGTGTGCCTGGGCCAATATGACAACACACACTTTCAAAAGGCCTGACTATGAGTTTCCTTATTGCCCCACTAAAAAGGAGAAGTTCTATCAAATTAGGTTCTGGTCAGTATTAATGTCTCTCACTGTTTACAATACACACATGAGCAACCACGTATGAATCTTTATCAGTGCACTCGGGTACAAGTGTGGACTTTTGTCAGAACATGCTTTTATGAAAATGCCCGTTTGCTCAATGAGACACAAGATCATGGATTCAAATTGTTTTACTGTTGTATTTTACTGGAATGGAATAAACAACACATTAAACATGTAGAAGTAGAACCAAACAAATTAAATAGTCAAGGACAGATGCAGTAATTAAGTAAAACCACTTGTTTCTTTCCACCTCTGGCTTTGGGATGTTCATCCACTTCCAAAAAGTAAGATGAGGTCAATTATAATTTCATGTTTCAGCTATGAATACTTACAATGTATACTTACAATGTATACTTACTATGTATACTTACTATACTTACAATGTATACTTACATGTATACGTTACCATTACAGGTCTGTGGGGTTGTTTTAGTTACATGTCTTTGGGCTCAGAATAGCATCTTAAATTGTGATGGATCAATAATAAATTCGTTATTTTTGTCTGACATTTACATAATCCTTCTGAGCTGATCCAATGTGTTTGTGAGAGCATAAAGAGAGGCCATGGTGAACCTTGTTGTTTGTCCTGTGGATGCAGGATGTGTCAGAGCTCTTCCTGTTTCCTGCTCTGCTCCACTGTCTCCCTCAGCAGAACTATTGACAGTTTTCAGAGCTTTGCAGATCCTCTTCTGAGCAGAAGTCCTATCACTGCTGCTCTATGGCCTCACAGATGCTAAATACTCATTTCTGCAGATCCCGCTCTCTCACAGGCGAGTGTCCAGGGATCAGTCATTATCATCACAGTGAAAGTGGCCACAGGCAGCTGCTCTGTGCTGCTGCACCGACACTAACCTGCAGAGGGCGCCATCGAACCTCAGTCCAAGTTTTTTCCCATTTGGAGCAGATCCTTTCATTCCAATCAATAATATAAGTAATGTTTTAACTGGAATTACAGACACTGCTTCTCTGCCACAGTGACAAGGAAGCGAGACTAAAGCTATGATTCAGATTAGAGAATGCCTCCTGTATCTGTATTCATATTTTATTTATGACATCACTCAATACACTTTTACTTCCATGTGCCCACACCATCAGCTATGACACTATTGATGTTTTTATGATATGTTACTTTTTGTTTTTTAAATATATCAAAAGCTAAAGTTTACTGAAGTTTGTGTATTTAAACGTATGTAAGAAACAAACCGTAACCTTTGGCTTCCAAACAGACGGGCTCCAGTACCTTTTGAAGCCTCTGCTGACTGCTGAGAGAGCAGTGTGGCTCACTGACCTCTGAAGGGCTCCAGAGCAGAGGTCTCCAACATGAGGCAGACACTGACGACCCACTGCAATTGTGAAATTGTCTGCAGTATTTTAGAGACGGGAAGTGAAAGAGGAGTAAACAAGCTGGGCAGAGCCATACACATGTGGATATTCCCTTCTGCACAAATCAGTTCAAAGCAGAATCATGTTTGTGATGATCAGACCAGGCCCCTGTTACAGCTCTGTACAACACTATGCTCCCTTTTATGGGGACTTGTGATTGACACAACCTTCTGTTAGCAATGAAGGAGAACAGATGATTATGGGTAATAAACATATTATAGATGGAAGAGTTGCAGCAGAAGCTCTTTCTCAAGTGTGAACATTACACAACTATAACAGAAATCACGGAGATCCAAATAGTTCCAGTTCTTTAGAGCCACCCTCTCTACAGCCCCCACATTTTTCCACCTCTGTCCTTTCCTGTATATGTGGCCATCACTGTTTTCACAGTGGTGTGGAGGAAACCAAACACAAGAACACGGCATTGTTCGACCCAGGCCCATTATAGCTGCCAACAAGTGCAGCAATAATTTCCTGAAAGGCCATAATGAAGGAAGAGCATCTGTGGCAGTTTAAGCCTCTGAACATGACTGTATCAAAACTAACTTCATTAAACATTTCATCACTTTGAATATTTAAAATGTTTGAAAATGATAAAAACATGTGTCATAACTGTGAGCGGGCTTGAATCTCCCCAGACCTGACACATGTCCAGAGGAAGACCTTCTCTTTGTGTAGATGATAATGTTGTTCCTGTAATCCACAATAGGCCATAAATGAGTGGATTTACAAAGAAAATGTTTAATATGTGTCAAAATGTTTTAAATTAAGCAACATTCACCTGTGAATGTGGAGAACCTTTCCAAATGAGCAGCTCAAAAGTCCTGCAAGACCTGGTTTAGAAGCTGACGTGTAGTTACTGTAGGTAGAATACAGCCTCAGTCCTGGGTCTACAGTCTCAGTCCTGGGTCTACAGCCTCAGTCCTGGGTCTACAGCCTCAGTCCTGGGTCTACAGCCTCAGTCCTGGGTCTACAGCCTCAGTCCTGGGTCTACAGCCTCAGTCCTGGGTCTACAGCCTCAGTCCTGGGTCTACAGTCTCAGTCCTGGGTCTACAGTCTCAGTCCTGGGTCTACAGCCTCAGTCCTGGGTCTACAGCCTCAGTCCTGGGTCTACAGCCTCAGTCCTGAATCTACAGCCTCAGTCATGGGTCTACATCCTCAGTCCTGGGTCTACAGCCTCAGTCCTGGGTCTACAGCCTCAGTCCTGGATCTACAGCCTCAGTCCTGGATCTACAGCCTCAGTCCTGGGTCTACAGCCTCAGTCCTGGATCTACAGCCTCAGTCCTGGATCTACAGCCTCAGTCCTGGGTCTACAGCCTCAGTCCTGGATCTACAGCCTCAGTCCTGGATCTACAGCCTCAGTCCTGGGTCTACAGCCTCAGTCCTGGATCTACAGCCTCAGTCCTGGATCTACAGCCTCAGTCCTGGATCTACAGCCTCAGTCCTGGGTCTACAGCCTGGTTTTTGACAGTGATGATCCGAGACATTTAAAGACATTCATAAACATTCACGGACAGTGGTCATCCCGCCCCCAAGTGTTTGTTATTATTGCATTTCCTATTTTCGAAGTTTCTCTCTCTGATCTGCTGATTTAGGGCTGTACACAAATACATTGAATTGAATTGAAATAAGCTTAGAGTGTTTTGATACAGCCCCTAATTAAAGGACACTGTATAGGATTAAATGAAATGTGTATTAGTAAAGACCAGTACTTAGAGAACACTGCTGACCAGAGTGGAAAAACAAACCTCTTTCCCTGTACACATTAACAGCACATTGTTCCAAAATGTCACTTGTGCCTAATAGCACTTTAATCAGGTCTAATGTTGGGCCATCTCCATGTATTCCGAGGTGTTTACTCTGCCGGGGCCTGTTTGAACGGCTAATCGTTCAGATGGAGCCTATCTAAATTGTATGGTGAGGCAGAAAATCCTGTACTCTTTTAAGTAGCGTCTGAAAAGCCCAAACTGTCCCTTCTTCCGTTCGGCAATGGCCTAATTGAAAAGCAAATATTCCAGCTGAGTGCTCCCATGATTCAGTGGGGCGTCTCTCCTTGGCTGTCGGAGGAATGGAGAGCTCTTCACCGCCGCTCTGTGCTCACATACTTTACCCTTGGCTTCAGCAGGATTCAGCATCAGCACAAATCAAAACACTAAATGACAGATAATAAACAATGGTAAGTTTAAACCTATGGGTCGATAATGAGAATATTATTATTATTATTATTATGTGTTTTTTTGATCGGGACAGAACAAAAACATTGTCACAGGAACCGATGCTGTGTCCATAGGCCGTATAACTTACAGCTAGTTTCTAGACCTGGCCCCTAAGACATAGAAATATATGTCTTAGGGGCATTCGAATCCCGGTCGGACCAGGGCCTTTCTGAGTGGAGTTTGCATGTTCTCCCTGTGTCTGCGTAGGTTTCCTCCGGGTACTCCGGTTTCCCCTACCACTAAAAATATGTCCAATAGTTCTGGCATGCGCCTCCTGTACTGGCCCCGCTCCCATCTCTGTGTGGAGTGAGAGACAAATGCCCAAAAATTAACAATTGTAAAACCGCTTTGAGACTCAGATCTGCAGTGAAAAGGCGGTATATAAATAAAGATTACTACTAAAGATTACTACTACTACATCACATTTATCATTATACATGTATCATTATATCACAAAATAAATAAATAAGTGATACTAAATTGCAGACAAGGGATGAAGTGCAGTTTGATAATAAATGTGTAATGGAACAAACAGATGTACACAGCCACACACTAACTATGGACAGAGCGGGAGTAACAGAGACAGTGGCAGTAATGGTGGTGGCAAAATATAAGAGGACCCATAATCATATATAGATATACAAATACACATAACGAAGTAAATTAAAATGCTCTAATTCAAACATTGGTTGCGGTAAGACTCAGGGAAGGTCAAACTCCTCAGACTGTCAGTCAAGCTGCATAGGGAGTCAGTTTGCTGGAGGAGTATGGTAACAGCACTATCCTCTCCTCCTTCCTACTTTATCTGTTTAGCATTGTTAGGATTTTGACTGTAGTTTGTTCATTGCTATTCACCCGTTGTCCCATTGTCTGTTTCATGGCGCGACAACGGGACCTTA